TGAGGAATCACAATGTACACAACGTTTAGAGCATTCATTGCATGGAGTATCATTCTCCTTCATAATGATGCCACAATTTTTACACCTTTTATTGCTTTTACATTGGGTCGAAGTATGCCCATATCTTAGACATTTGAAACATTGAATCACTGGTGAATAGTAGGTATCTACAAAACATCTCAATTTTCCGAAAAATACATATTGGGGCAATTCTACTTTAGCAAAAGTAACTTTTATTAACTGTCTCGGCACCCTTATGAATTCTCCCTCTTGAGTTTTGCTTGAAGTTTTACGATAAAGCCTTTGAATTTTATGAACTTTAATTGGAGAATTAATTAAATTCATTAATTGTTCTTCAGTGTAACTAGTATCAATACCCCGAATAATACCTACTTTTTGTGTTAAATTTAAAGGAATATAAGCCACTAAATCATGTTTGGGAAAAAAATCACTTTCAACGATCCGATTTGCAGTGGCGGCATCGTTTATTTCGAGTTTAATTAAATTTTTTCCTACTGGATACAGTTCTAGAATATGTTGTTCGTCATCGCCCAACTCTTTAAGAATTTCATTAAGTTTCATAGGATGTATTCGACCTACATTTAGATATTTATGTTCTATAAAAACATAGTATGGACCTGGATTATCAAGATAAAAACGGTTCGAAATGTTTATTTTGTTAATTCTATCAGATAATATTTTTTCACTTGTGTTAATATTATTTTGAGAAATATTTGAAACCATTTGATCATCATCCATGATATTGATAATATTGATAGGCGGCCCCCGGCCCCTAGGTATATCCCCATCGATGTCCGACATTATGTCAGATCATCGAAGGGCTGCAATTCAAAGGCTAACTTATATTTTATACCCCTACTTAGATTTAAAATAAAATGGAATATATTCACCAAATGCAAATGATTCTCGTCAAAAAACCACTGATAAGCAAGCCACAAAAAACCAGACAGACCGATCAATGCACACGCTACGGTGTTTCAAACCGAACTGAAAAAATAAATTTAAATGCTCAATTTAAATAAATAACAACGATAACCCGCATTATCGAAACTATGAATTTAAACTAACAAACAAATTTACATAAAAACTTAAAATTAAGCTTAATTTTAAACAAAATAAATTTAAATAATCAATTTAAATAAATAGTAGCGACAACCCACATTATTGAAACTACAAATTTAAATTAACAAGCAAATTTACATATAAATTTAAAATTAAACTATATTTTAAACAAAATAAATTTTAAAAATTTTACAATTTAAATAAATAACAACGATAACCCGCATTATCGAAACTATGAATTTAAACTAACAAGCAAATTTACATATAAACTTAAAATTAAGCTTTATTTTAAACAATAAATTTTAAAAATTTTGCAATTTAAATAAATAACAACGATAACCCGCATTATCGAAACTATGAATTTAAACTAACAAGCAAATTTACATAAAAACTTAAAATTAAGCTTTATTTTAAACAAAATAAATTTTAAAAATTTTACAATTTAAATAAATAACAACGATAACCCGCATTATCGAAACTATGAATTTAAACTATCAAGCAAATTTACATATAAACTTAAAATTAAGCTTTATTTTAAACAAAATAAATTTTAAAAATTTTGCAATTTAAATAAGTAACAACGATAACCCGCATTATCGAAACTATGAATTTAAACTATCAAGCAAATTTACATATAAACTTAAAATTAAGCTTTATTTTAAACAAAATAAATTTTAAAAATTTTGCAATTTAATGAATCTATTTTTCATAGAAAAAAATTAGTACTAAAATGTATTATCTCGCACTAAAAAAAATCATCTTGTACTAAAAATAATCAACTCGTACTAAAAATAATTTAACTTTTTTTTTTCGCTATTTGGTTGAAAACGCCGCAAAATGAAAAATTTCACCTTCTAGCAAAATCTCATTGAAAACCCTAAAAATTAACAAAAAAACAAAAAAATACCAAATTTAGTCAAAGAGTTTTCTATAAAAACCCCGCAAAAAAACTTTTGACCTAAATCATCAAGTAAGCAACTATCATAGAGATAATTATTTTTAGTATTTTTTTTTTTTAAGTAAAACGCTTTGTAAAAATTTTTTTTATGAAAATAACCTTTAAAAAAAAAAAAGTTTCGTGCTCAAAATCAGGTTGACTTGAAATCCCATAGTAATTAATTTTCGGGATTTTTTTGAATTTTTAATTTTTAGTTTATTAAATTTAAAAAATAATGACATACAAATTTAATAGGGATATTCATAGTTTTTTAAAAAAAACTACTTTTTGATGGGTAAATTTTCTTAAAAAATTTTTTCAATAATTTTTTAACTAAATTAGAATAAATTTATTTTATAATAAATTTATGAATAATTCAAAGAAAATGGTTTTTTTTTTTTTTTTTCATTATTATTTATATCTTAATAAATGTATATATTTCTATATATATTTATATATTATTATTATAAATATAAAATATTACTGTTTTACTATTAAATAATTAATATTGGTTATTAATATATTTAATTATAATTATTCTTTAAATCTATATTTTTTCTTACATGTATTATAAATCTATTATATATCCTTTTTAAACTCTTTCTAATTTACTATGAAATTTGTACTATTAGAAATCAATTGTTATATAATTGAAAGACAATTATATATCTATATACTATTATTAATTATTAAATATTAATGTGTATTGATAAATTAAACTATTATATACTAAAGCGTTTTTGCGCTCGGCACTAAAATGGATACTTAAATTGCGACGTTTTCATAGAAAGCACTTTTGGGGCGAAAAAAAAAAATGTTGAAAAATGACAGATTTATGCTCATTTTAAAAAAGGTAATACTCTTTAGTACTAGTTAGAGATATATTCTAAGCGATTCGTAAGGAAGGGTATCAATAGAATTTACAGTCAAAATAAAAATTCTGTAAATTTTTACCTGATGTAAGCAATTATCAACATTTTTATAAAAAATAAAAATTTCAAAAATTTTTATTTTTTTTTAAAAAAATTTCAAAAATTTTAATATTTTAAATCATAAAACTATGAATTTTCAATAAAAACGAAAATTGGCTCAAACTGATTTTACAAAAAAATGGCCCTCAATTTAAATTGTTTTTCTTAGAAAATTAATTAATGTTATAGTAACTCTAATTACATAAAGTGAATTAATTCCTAATAGAATGCCTGAAAAAAGGGTTATCTCGATAAGATAAATAATGCAAAATTCTTGCTTCTATTAAAATTTAACGAAAAAAAAATTTCTTTCCCGCAAAATCTATAGAAATTGAACAAATCAACCTCTACCCGCATATGTTGATGGAAATTGGCTTGATTAGGCCAATTTGAATTAAATTTAGATGAAAATTAGCTTGATTGAGTTAGTTTGAAATTGAATTTAGATGAAAATTGGCTTTGATTAGGTTAATTAAAAGTTAAATTTGGATGAAAATTAGCTTGATTAGGCCAATTTGAATTGAATTTAGATGAAAATTAACTTGATTGGGTTAGTTTGAAATTGAATTTAGATGAAAATTGGCTTAATTGAATTAGTCAGAGTCGAGTTTCAATGAAAATTAGCTTGATTGAATTAGTTTAGAGTTAAGTTTCAATGAAAATTAGTTTGATTGAGTTAGTTAGAGTTGAGTTTCAATGAAAATTGGCTTGATTGAGTTAGCTTAAAATCGAGTTTCGATGAAGATCAGCTTGATTGAGTTAGTTTAGAGTTAAATTTCAATGAAGATCGGCTTGATTGAGTTAGTTTAAAGTTGAGTTTCAATGAAAATTGGCTTGATTGAGTTAGTTTAGAATTGAGTTTCAATGAAGATCGGCTTGATTGAGTTAGCTTAAAATCGAGTTTCGATGAAGATCAGCTTGATTGGATTAGTTAGAGTTGAGTTTCAATGAAAATTGGCTTGATTGGATTAGTTAGAGTTAAGTTTCAATGAAAATTGGCTTGATTGAGTTAGTTTAAAGTTGAGTTTCAATGAAAATTGGCTTGATTGAGTTGGGCTAAAACCCGAGTTAGACAAAAATTGACTTGATTGGGTTAGTTAGAGTTGAGTTTCAATGAAAATTGGCTTGATTGGGTTAGTTTAAAGTTGAGTTTCAATGAAGATCGGCTTGATTGAGTTAGCTTAAAATCGAGTTTAGATGAAAATCTGCTTGATTGAGTTAGTTTAGAGTTGAGTTTCAATGAAAATTGGCTTGATTGAGTTAGCTTAAAATCGAGTTTCGATGAAGATCAGCTTGATTGGATTAGTTAGAGTTGAGTTTCAATGAAAATTGACTTGATTGAGTTAGTTTAAAGTTGAGTTTCAATGAAAATTGGCTTGATTGAGTTGGGCTAAAACCCGAGTTAAACGAAAATACTTCCATTATTTCATGAACGCTTTCGCGAGAAACTATGACGTCATATAGCAAGGATGATACACACTACTACTACAAGGATGACCTTTCCTCATAAGTCCTGTGTGTAATAAATCCCCCCCTTCTCCCCACCGCGCTTAACCAACAGTTGCGACGTAGGCAGCATTTTATTTCTCGCCTTGACATTTAAACAGCTGAAGACGAGGCCGATAAGCAATCCTGTAGGTGTGTATCATCCTTGGTCATATTGAAAGTAGTGTTCGTCGGAAGCATGGATGCAGCTTCTAGCCAGCGTTCAAACACATCACGTCACAAGACGAACTATAGTTCGTCCTTGGATGAACTACATTCGTCGCGAAAATTCGGTTCTATACTGTTTTAAACGCGGCTAATGCATTTTACGCCAAGCGTTGAGGTTTGCGGCTCAAATAAACAGTGAAAGCTCAAAGGAACATTTTTTGGATTCAAAAGTCCCGCCTGAATTAGGGATTGAGAGAAAAAGTAGAAAAGAGAAAATAACCTAATTTTCTGATAGATGAGTTTTCGACATTCGCCTTCCATTCTGTCTTCTGTCAGAGTCAGTTTCAGTTTGACGTTCTTAGCGGACGGTCGTTTTTTCCTATAGTTTGCCAAAACTATTCAAATCAGCATTTTGGCTAATAAATTCGGGAAAAATGTCGGTTCCAGGTACCTCTGCCACAATTATTTCTAGCAGCAGTCAAACACAAATCTCCCAAATGTCCTGGGAAATGGATAATAACGTAGAGCTTGTAGATGATGAAATCTACAAATACGACGAAGTGCAACACGGTAACATTTTGTCTGCTCAACCATGGGATAAAGAGTAAGTAGCTATACATATAAAAATTACATTAGGTCTGCTGTTGTTTACCTCTAAAATTAAGAACTAAATTTTTCGGTTCCCTCTTATGTTTTCCTTCTTTGGTCCAAAAAGATCGCTAGTCAGCCATCTTATACAGACCAAGCATGTCTTTGATCACTATCCTCTTTATTAGATGACTCATTCCAAGTAGTGTCACTCCATATTTTGTTTCAGCCCTCATTTCTTCAAAAACATCAAAATATCAGCCTTAGCTCTGCTAAAAATGGTAATGCACGCAAGATCAGGAGGTTCCCTAGAAATTATGGGCCTCATGTTGGGTAAAGTAGATGGAAATACAATGTTCGTAATGGACTCCTTTGCTCTACCAGTGGAAGGAACCGAAACTAGAGTAAACGCCCATGACGAAGCTTACGAGTATATGAGCTCCTATATCAATGCTGCTCAACGTGTTGGAAGACAAGAGCACGCAATAGGCTGGTACCATAGTCATCCAGGTTACGGTTGTTGGTTGTCTGGCATAGATGTTAGCACTCAAATGCTAAATCAACATCACCAGGAACCTTTTGTTGCTATTGTCATTGATCCGGTGCGTACCATTTCCGCTGGGAAAGTTTGCTTGGGAGCTTTTAGAACCTACCCGAACGGTTATAAACCTGCTAACGAAGCACCGTCTGAATACCAAACCATACCTCTAGATAAAACTGAAGATTTTGGTGTACATTGCAATAAATACTATTCGTTGGATGTTTCCTACTTTAAGTCCGCTCTTGACAAAAGATTGTTGGATACTTTGTGGAAAGAGTATTGGGTTAACACTCTCAGCTCATCCAGTCTACTTACAAATGCGGAGTATACTAACGGACAAATAATGGATTTGGCTAAAAAGCTTGAGAACTTTGATTGCACCAAAATGTCCAAAACCTCCGAGGATATTTGCAAAACCAGTATTGAAATGATCAATGGACTAATGGAGCAAAAGATTAAAAATATGTTGTTTAATCCTGCTATATCTATTTAAAATTATTTTGTTCCTGAAAATGGCGTTAAGTATTTCATCATTGATCATATTTATTTTTTGTATTCATATTTAGAAATTAATAAATATTTTTTTGAACTTGCTAAAAGTGTGATTGTATGTAGCACGTAGGTAAATGCAAAAACGTATGCCTGAATGAGTGAGTGGGGGGGACGCTACGAACTACCGCACAATCTACAAACAAACAAGAGACGGAGTATATGGGGCAATTACATATAGATATGCTTTGTTTCATTCTCTCGCAGGCGAAATCCTAATAATCTATATCGTTTCTCTGAACTTCCGACTTTTTCGTTTCACATTTCACAGCGTTCCGATAAGTTACGCTTAAAAAAAGAAGAGATCTAATAAAATTATTGTAAACATAGCCTAAGATAATTCCCAATGTTTTGATTTGTATCAAAAACAAGATTTTACAAAATAATATAAAAAGCTTATAAAAAGTAAGTAAAGTGATTATCATATTATGCATATACAAAGTGTATCTTTTAATTAATAAACTGCAATATTCCAGCTTCAAAAATATGTTCTCCCTGGCAAGAACTCTATTAGTAACATCCAAACGTCTGTATTCTCCGTGCACCACAATCCTATCTGCAAATTTCCATGCCCTAGTCAGCAAAACAGTACTAAACATACCGAAAATCGCTTTACTATCGCCAGAAACTCCGAGCCTGCTTCCTAGTTGTGGCTTTAAAATGGTGGGCAAAGTCAGGCGTAGATGCAAAGACTGTTTCCTCGTCAGACGAGAAGAGAGATTATATAATATCTGCAAAACGCATAGAAGACACAAGCAAATGTCGATGATGAAACGGGCGAGAAATACTTGGATACTTTCACATGCTACACAGTCAAAAGTCAGACCGTGGTAGTCTTTTTTATGGACTTTATGAATGTAGCTTTTAATTGTTTAAATAATAAACACTATAAGAAATTTCTGGTTTTTCTTTTTTTAAGTTGTATTACTGAGGTATTATTATATTTCTTGTATTATGTACTAAATATTTCCTAGGTACAATTGGGCAACCAACAATATGGTACACAACCTGTTCATTTGGTTGGCTACTAAAGTCCAATTTTTTGGTATATTTGGTAAATCAATTCAAAAGTTCATTAGGAGATAATGCGAAAAGTGATTAAACATCACTTAAAGTAAGCAATTAGATGCCTGAGTTTGAACAAAAACGATTTTTTATTGAAACATTAAAAACTAAAACTGTCAAAATAGATTATCTTTTATCTATTGAAACTGAGTTGATAGGTTTTTAATAATTTCCCATCAACCATTCATTAACGAATAAAATCTACATCCTATAGATGTAAATAATAAATAAGATCATGCAGAGCAATTTAAAAACCTATTTAATTACTCATACATTTATTAATTTTCAATTACAAATACATTTCAATAGAATCAAGTACCTATTGCATTTTTCTTTCTAGTAAGTTTCAGAAGAAAGCTTAAACATGAAACAGCTGGGCGAGAATGAAAAAAATGGTAAATCACATTCATTTTTACCCATTGAAATCTACAAATAAAAAAGATTTACCCATCTTCATTTGCAGTTTTAGATGAAATAATGCCAAATTTCACTAAACTCATGTCACTGCTGAAGCACAAATATATGGTAACGATTTGCATTTCGAATTTAATCGCTTGGGTGTTCTGCGGTGGTCTCGTACAGGGTGTTTATTGCTTCAGAAAAATTACTTTTGAAAACTGGATGCAATATGGACCCATTTTCTTTGCCTGTCTATATGTAAGTAGGTATGTGTTTTATGGATGGTCTTAAAAAACTTATATCCTCTTGGTCAAGAATATTTTTAAAAAATCAATTTTTTTCTTGTAAATGGAGATCTGAGAGGCTATAAGCTGCGAAGCTGTGCTATTGTCAAAGAGATCCTGAGATCTACATTTGTTATCAATTTTTGATTATTCCCGGCTCGAATCAAGAACCAGAAATAATTATTCGATCAAATTTATTCTGGGAAACACAGAAACAGGAGATCATTATTAAGACTTAGATTTGATTTCGCTCCTCTTTGTAGCCTTCAGATTCACCTGTTTGTGAAAGAAATCCACATTTAAACCAATTGTAGTTGCTCAAATTTTCTTTTGATTAGCTGATCTTTTTTGTTATACAATTTTTGATTCGAATCAACAGCCGGGAATAATTACTCGATCAATTCATTCTGGGACCCACAGAATTAGGAGATCATTACTTATTACTAAACAATGAAGGCTTTCACGGCTGGTGGAATCTAGTAAAAAAGTTTTTTCTGGGCTATAATGCCGTACGTGTTCGAGTAATATTTCTACCTAACGTTTCGTCTACTGCTGCTGTAGACATCTTCAGAGGCGGTGTGGTGGAGGACGAAGTGTTCTCTTCCGTGTTCCTCCGATGACTGGATTCGACATTGTTGGACCTGCGTTATTTATAGCCATGGTTGTGGGCGTGGATTGTATTACGCTATTTTCCTTGTCTCGTTCTAGACACGAAGGATCTTGTTTTTCGGAGAACTGGCAACCAGCTTTTGTTAATGTTCATGCCCGCTTCTTTTCTGTTGAAGTTGTTGTGGTGTTTATGTATCTCTATGGCTTCTTTGTGGAGTCTGGTGTAAAAATGTTTGGTTCTATTATCCAAGGCTTGAGTCTGGTCGAAACGTATGACATAGTTTGTTTGTGTTAACACGTGTTCGCGGTGATTGCTGATCTATTTATTTGTCCCTGCTGGCAGTTTCTTTTCTGTTCTTTGACGCTGGTGTTGATAGAGCGTTTGGTTGTTCCTCCATAGACAGATCCACAAGAGCAGGAAATTCTATAGACGCCAGCCGTTTTACGAGGTGCCTTAGGATCACTTTGCTAAATTGTTCTTGTGGGCTTGTAGATGGGCTTAATGTTGTGTTTTTCTATGCGATCTGTTCGTCCTATGCTATCTGTGACATTTTTGATGTAGGGAAGAAAGGCTTTCCCTGCTACCTGTGCTGATTCCTTATTATTTGTACACTGTTGCTTCGGTCTTATGGCTCCATTTATCTCCTGCTTGGAGACTCTGTAGGTATGCGTCGGCTTCCTATATACTATATGTCTCAGTTTACCTGAGGGTAATCTTTTTAAGAGGACGTCGAGAGAAGCAATTTTGGTTTTCCTTCTCAACTTCCATCCTGAAGTGTATCCTGGGTTCTATTGAGTTTAGATGAATAAGGAAGTTTTCGAGCTCTGCCTGTCCATGGTTCAAACAACAAAAGTGTCGTCTAAATAGCGAAACCAACAAGTAGGTTTTTTTCTGGGCGTTCGCAGTGCCATTTGTTCAAAATGTTCCATGTAGAAGTTGGCGATAACCGGGGGCTGCGGGACCATTGCGTCTCCATCTGTCTGCTCAAAGAATTCACTTTGCCATTGACTACGTCTTATAGTCATCAAGACAGTGGTGAAATAAGTTGTTGATTTCCTCTGGAAAAACATCTTTCGGATACTCTAAGGCCTGATTTACTGCTACTTTGGTAAACAGCTAAACGACATCAAAACTAACCAAAATGTCTTTTGGTAGTAGAGTGATGTCTCTGATCTTTTTCCTGAGTGGATTATCTGTTCCAGCAGGTCTTTTTTCCCAGCGAAACAAACAGTACATAACAAAATTAAATATCTTCATTGTACCCAAGGGGTATATGACAAACTCAGATATACACTAGCAGTATGTTTATCAGAGACAGACGAAACGAAGCAATAGAAAAGCAAATTACCCTGTGGCCGTCGTTTTAATTGATTTGCTTTACATTAATTCCGAGATAGCACAGACATAATATACTTTAAAGACGTTCCTAGATGTCCACAAACGACATTTAAGGCATCATGTTACAAAACCCAACATCTTTAGGACATTTTTCTAAAACATTCTAAAGACGTTTTCAACGAGATATCTTAAAGACGTTGGTCGACTTGTCTCAAGTATTTTAACGTTCTCCGTTGCTTTCCAGTTCATCTGGCAATATGCAATAGCTCTACACATAATTTTGAACATAAAAGCATCAGTAGAGGCAGAAATGCGGAAACTTTCATGGGACATATGCTCAATGAGCGTTGAAAACAAAAATAGGGTTTTGTTGAAATCTAAATCTGCCAGTCGATTAATGGTATATGTTGTATTAATGATAATGTTGGTAATTGAAATGTGGCTCAACGATATTATACCGAATATATCCGACTATGCGGCCATCTACGATCTCGCAGGTTGATAGGTAATTTAATCTAGAGAATTATACTTTTTGCCTTATTTTTAGCAAAATATACTCCAGCCTTTTTTCCAATTCTATTATGGACTACCATACTAACATTACCTTTTGTAACACTCATGACAAATATATCGATATTTTACATTTACTATGTGGCAGTAGTTTTTGAGGTGCAACTGATTATCTTGATGGATTATTTGAGGAATCTGTCTCTGGAAGGACCTATTGATGATGAATTGATTAAACGCCATTTGGTGGTGGTAATTGAAAAACACCATGCACTTATGAGGTGAGTGAATTGATTAATTAGGATAAATTTATCTAATAGGCTTGAGTGGATAATTAGCAAGAAGAATGTACTTTTTCATCCTAGATAGGAAAAGTACCGTTTCAGAGACTTAAAATAAGTAAAGAATGTTTAAGTAACTATTAGCCAATAATCTGTGTCTTCCTCATACCTATCTTAATTTTTAAGATCTCTAGGAAAATACCTAGTAGGTAATGACTTTTCTTTCGAATTATTGTAGATGTTACCAAAAAGTCAGAGACTTATTGTACGTGCCATCGATTTGGATTGCACTGAGTGGCATAGTAATTGTGACATGTTTTTCATTTCTCATAGTATCTGTAAGTAGTTTACTCCATTGTAATTCTTGATTATGAGGTTTTCATGTAATTTTAGAGTACTTTTGGATTTTTCAGCACCTACTGCAACTTTTTTGGAATGATAGTCACTGTCTCTTTTATATGTCATGAAGTGCAAACACTTGAAGATATGGTAAATAGCCTCTATAGTATCAACTCAACAGTTATATTACATTTGTTTTTGAGAGTGGAGATTTTTCCAAGGCGCTGTACGATACAAAGTGGTACCTCTGGAATCAAAACAATAGGAAGACATTTGCTATATTTTCAATTGTCGCATCAAAACCGCTTTTATGGAATCTTACATTTGAGACTAAAATTAATCATGGATATTTGAGAAAGGTAATATCTTTCTTAAGAGCACTGTATATTGACTAGTTATGTTACTTCTTGCATAAACATAGGCATTAACTTTTATTTTATTATTCTTTTAGATTTTGGGACTCATCTACACCATAGAAAATTTTCTGAGGTCATTTTCAACATAATTCAGAAGCCTAGAAGCCTTCAAAGCTGTTAGAGATCACTGTAGTTCATAGTGTAATAGTACACCATAATCATTATAACTACATTTTAATTCAAAAAAGTACATGGAAGTTCTTATAAGAACTAAGACAACTGTTTCATTTCAAAATTCTCAGACTCTCGGTTATCTCAGGTCTTAAACACTAAAAAATAAAACAAATATATATTTTCGAATTTTTCTTATATTAAAAATGATAAGTTCTATTTGGCACCCTTAAGGTAATCTTTCAATACGTCGAGGGCTGGAGATTCTTCCCCATAATCCTGCAGAAAAAAGATTTATTAAGAATCATTTGGAAAAAAAAGGAATAAATAAATTTATAGAAAATTAAGAAATCAGTAGACAGTTTATATCAACCACGGTTGTTTGGGTTCAGTCTGAAGAGGGAGCCTGCCTTAAATCATCATAGATTTGCTGATAATTTATTTTGATATTTGATTATTAAAAATCCTTACCCTGATTACTACGCAGGAACTTCCAACGACTTTACGGGCTTTGCCAGTGTTGTCAATTTTACATAAACCAGACCATTCGCCCAATTTTTTGTTGTTGTCCACTTTGATGAGGTCAATTTGATGTTCTGCGCACAGAGCTTGAACCAATTGTTTGTATCTGCAAGTAAGAATAATTTTCTTTTGAAATTTTTAATATTTGATTCAAATAAAATTAATAATTAAAAAAAAAGAGATCAGATGGCTAGGGATATCAACCACGGTTGTTTGGGTTCAGTCTGAAGAGGGAGCCTGCCTTAAGAATCATCATAATGATTATTTATTTAATACTAGACCTTAAATAGGTATGCAGTAAATGCAGCATTTTCAGTGACTTTATTATAATTCAAATAAATTGAAATCTTACCTTGGTTCATCACAGTTCTCAGCCAACACACACAAAACAGCCTGTCTCTTATCCAAAGCCTTGGCAGCCTCATGTAATCCGTGCACTACTCCATCATGAATAAGGGCAGTCTTGAGCACTTCTTGTAGGGCTACATTTACGTCCATAGGGCCATTGTTAACTGGGGGGGCGACAACCGGGGCCACAGGCGCGTCATCTCTAAAAACATCCTCGAGTTAACACATTGTTTACATTTTGTCAAAGAGCCCCCTAGCTTCGCAATTTATAATATAAATTGCGAGCGTAACAGGGGGCCCTCATGTATAACCAGTTAACCCTCAATTTTTAGATTGAACTGGCCGGTTTTCCAAAGACAACCCCCCATTTTTAAGGGACTAGATTTTTGATACTCACACTTCAACGTCGGACATTCTGGTTTATTTCCTGAAAATTAACAAAAATATTAATTAGAAACGATGCAATGAAGCTTGACGCACTTATTAATTGAAAAATTATGAAGGGATGACTAGTAAAAATCCAGGAAAAAATTAGATTTGAAAAAAAAGAAATTTTACCTTGCGAACCTCTCGGGGTGCGAGCAAAAAAGAAAAAGGAAGAAGGAGAATGGAGAATAAAATGACATATGTCTAAAAATTGTCATTGAACGACTGAACTGCGTTCGAATCCATTTACTTTATTTTACTCCGAATGACTTCGGAACTCGTTCTAGAACAAGGCAAGGTTCTCGTTATTTACCATGCGTTCGGTAATATGAGCTGAGTCAATGAACTATAACCAAAGACTGGAATGCGAACACGTATTGACGAACGTGAAGCCTAGTGCAGCTGCTGCGGAGGGGATACCTGTTTTTGTCGCACTCATAATGTTAAATGGCGAATATATCGGGTCTTCAAAAAAAAAAACAATCAAAGATTGCTTTGATTCCGAAAAAGGACGTCGCATTATGTTTCTTTATTGGCCAGGATTTTTGACATGACATTTTGACATTAAATTTTATTGACTGACATTGTCAAAATTAAATAAAAATATTGCTAAGACGTACGTTTAAAAAACCATAGCAATCTTTGTTTGGTTTTTTTTTTGAAGACCCGATAGCTTCCAATACGTATTCCAATTGATGAAACCTGTGAAGGTAAATATGACAAAACTTTCCAAAACGTCATCAGCGAGCAACAGAAAAAAACAACATTCCCCTTTGTGGCATCTGTCTTTCATGGCTTCATTTTTTTGGCAGATATGGCAATGTATGCGCATTCCAGTTTTTGGCTATAGTTCATTGAGCTGAGTTCTCCGAACTTGAATTTACCGTTCGTTTATTTAAAAAGTGTGTTCGGTGCAGGCTCATTCGCGTTCTTTATTAAAATTTCGAGGGCTCTGATTTGATCAAAATACCGAATCTGAGTTCTCCAAACTTGAATTTATCGTTTATTTATTTGAAAAGTGTACTCGGTGCAGGCTCATTTGCATTCGTTTATTTAAGTTTCGGGCACTCAGATACAAGCGTTCAACTGCTCTGTTCGCTCGCTGGTTACGTGATTACGGCTCCACTCAGCACGCTCTGCTCTTTGAGCAAAATACCGAACGCAAGGTTAGTTAAATAATTCAAAATATCTAGTTTCTGCCCGAATTAATAGTTTAGGTACCAAGTCAACAAATATTTTATTAAATAATGAAAATCAAAGTTGTAAGCAAAACTGTATGCAAAATAATATAAAATATGCATAAAAACATATTCAAAACAAACTTGCTTGGCCGCCACGCCACATTGAATTTTCCTTTTTGACAGATGGATTGAATAGGCATGATGACAAATTTTGAAAAACTATCCTATAATGTTCGGAAATGTATATTATTCACAATGAATAACATATTTCTGCAGATAATAAAGGTTTTAGTAGAAAAAATTACATTTTAGTTTTTATATTCAAAATTCGCGCCAAAACGCTTCTCAGTGTCATGGCGTCATTCGTGACGTCACGTTTGAGTAAATAAAACCTAAAGGCTCATTGAAAATTTGAATAATTTAGATATTTTGTGTAATTAAATATGAATTCCAAAATGTACAAGTGGTGTGCGGTTCCTCAGTGTGATAACACATCATTAAAAACTCCTGGAAAGTTATTTGCCTTCGTTCCACAAAATAAAACGATAAGGGACAAGTGGCTTAAATTTGCAACGCGAGATTCAACAGCAATATTGCCTAGAACTTACCTTTATTTTTGTGAAAATCCTTTCAACGCAAGTATTTAATTTACTTCGTAGATTTTAAAATAGTATGTATCTTGTTTGAGGTCTAAAAATATAAAAAAAAATTTACTTAGATAGAAGTTTTACCATTTCTTGATTCTTTTCTGCTTAATCTTTGTTCCATGGCTCGCGTTATTTCACTTTTGATTCAATATTCGGTATAAACAACACACGGTATAAATAAAAAAATAAATGCGTGTTTCGTATTCCATGAGTCAAGTTTCATCAAGTGAAAACACAATTTAAGTGATTTACAATTACTGTCATCATGCCTATTGCCTAATAGAGGCGATTTTCAGCCTGGAATGATTATTTATCGGTAAATACCGTGGTTATTCTTTTGGTTGACAACTTTGACAGCCAGGTGTGACGTCACAGCCCCCCACCACTCAAGAATCATAACCCAAGGAACTGACCGCTGAAATGATTTGGTTATAGCAGTGTAGGATTATGTTTATGATTCCTATTTGTTTTTTCGTTTCAACAATGGTTTGTTGTTTAGGTACAAAAAATGGAGCGGAATCTCTCGTTAGTCCGGTTTATCGAACAGATTTTCTTTGGGGATGATCTAAACATGGTGAGTTGCAGTGAGTGGGTGAGTGTATACTTCTTCCATTGTGCTAGGCCACAACACAACTGCAAAATCACAAAACACCAATACCAGTTCCCAAAATAATAACAATAACATCAAAAAGCTGTAACCAAAAGATTAACCCAAGTCCAAAGCTGGGTTATAATCGGTTATAAGTGGTAAATACCAAAAGCAAATCAGCTGGATGTGACATCACAACTTCCCCTACTTTGGTTAAAACCGCGACGGCGGAAATGCTTTAGTTCTTTTCACGTGGCTCCGGTTTAACTAACCGGGTTACAAAACGGTTAGAGAAATGACATACCGTTTTCAAACCCGGTTACAAAGTACGTGTGAATACCTAACACTCGAATTTGAGCGGTATGTTGCGGTTTGTTAAACCGGAGCCACGTGAAAAGGGTTATTGGTTATAACCAAATAATAATCATTCCAGGCTGAAAATCGCCTTAGGTAACAACTAACAACCAGACGTTTACCAGTCAGTCCATAATTTGGTCCTACTCAGTTTGATCATCATTCTGAAAATAAGAAATGGCTTTTTATAACATGCGCATGTGTAGAATGATTCCGACCAAACACCGAACTAGTTCTGCTTCCTGAAACCAAAACAAGGCCTCAGTTTAAAAATCCCAGAATCCTTCTGGAACCGATTCTAGTTGACCCGCGAACAGAAAGCTGTAATCCGAAATCCGAGCTAATAGTTCCGAATCAGTTCTGATTGTTCTTGTTCGTGTTCCGTGACATTACTTTTGTGTGGTTAGGTTTTCATGTTTTTGTTTTGTTCTGAAAACTCAAAATTATTTAAAGTGTAAAGTTGAAAAAGCGACTCAAAAAAATAGTTTAGCTTATTAAAAATTGGTAAAAAAACATACTGAAATCAATTATCTCAACCCATGAAAACTGATACCGCCATGTCCTATCACCCAATAGACATAGAAAGGGACAAATACCCCTATTGCATCGTCTGGACTCCAATACCCCTATTAACATGGCTATTCCCTATAATAGGCCATATGGGCATAGCTACATCTTCAGGAGTAATCCGAGACTTTGCAGGACCCTATTTCGTATCCGAAGACAATATGGCTTTTGGAAGCCCGACAAAATATTTCCAGTTGAATCCCGCTCTAGCTAGAGCGCAAAGTTGGGACACTGCAGTAGCCGGAGCTTCTGAAATCTACAAGACTCGTATGCACAATTTGTGTTGCGATAATTGCCACAGTCATGTGGCTACAGCATTGAATTTGATGCAGTATGGAGGCTCGAATAGGTGGAATATGTTTAAGTTGGCCTTATTGATTAGTTGGCATGGGAAATATGTTTCTTTGGGAAGATATTTGAAGACTTGGCTACCGTTTTATATAGTATTAACCTTTCTTATTATATTTAGTATATTTTATTTCAAATAAATCTTCTCAGTATAATTTTTTTTTTTATTGACATTGACCATGTGAAATGCTCCTCAGGTCTCGGATCATACATTTGGGTGCAAAGTACCTATATCAAGGCATCTTAATGCTGGTTGGTGTTTGTATCTGACATACTTTGCGATTTGAGGACTTGTAGATACCTACTATGCAGTTGGTAGGTTGTAGCTTGAGAAACAAGTACCACCTTACAAGAAGACAAGCCTTATTAACTTTCCATGTAACTGATTATATTCAGTCTCCTATTAACTTTCTGTGATAAATTACTGGTATTGGACACTAGAGAGGTACATTCCAAGTATGCAACAATTGACCTAAAATTCCAGGAAAAATCCCTATCCCCAAGAGCTATATAATTTCCTATCTCCAGCTGAAAACCAAATTTGATCCGAGACATCTTATGTCTGACGTCATCGAGATGGCAGTAAAGGAGCTAAGAAGTAATGAATGGAGCTTTATCTTCATGTGAAATTCAAAAATAGAAGCTAAATTCAGATTTTGGTGATATTATGTGCCGGGGAAGACTATACAGATGAAATTGCTGGCGAGAAATGGGAGAAGCCTATTTCCAATGATGGATAATCAGGCTAAAGAAAAAGCGAACTGATTAATCTTTATGATAAAATATGGCTTTAACTTTCACTGTACCAATGCAACTTTCACAAGCCAAAAATTTTTGAACCAAAAAACTCCTTTGAAATCATCTATTCAAATAGTTAATTCAAACATAAATATTTGCAATTTCAATATTCCCGGTTCTTCCAAAAACAATTTAACCATTTTTCCTTGGACAATACTGCAAACAGCCAATGGACAATCCATAAGTTGCATGCCAGAAAGGAACATCACGAGTTGTTTCAAGTCTACTGTTGCCGACACCTTATCATCGTCCTCATTTATATTTGAAACTTCCTCCTGGGCGAAACTGTTGACGTTCAAATCGGCGAAATGTGCGGCCAATTTAACTGTGTTGGTATTAATTTCCAAAGTGAGTTTGCCCGTTCTGTTGGCACTAACAGTTACACTTTGGCCGAGAGTTTTGATTTTTTCTACAACATTTTTTATGGATTTCAATTTGGGCATTTGAATTGAGACGTGAAAATCGTTGAATACCGGTTCTTCGTTGTAGTCGGTCCAGTATTTTCTTGCAACCAATTCCACTGGGATATCGTGCACACATCTACGAATCCGCATTTCTTCTAACATCTACAACATTTACACATTGAGTTTTTAATTTTTAATTCAACTCAAATCCTTACCAATTCCATTTCAAAAGTTAAATAAGTCGCATCTGCAGGTGTTAGTAATTTCATTTTTATCATTTTAGCATTTTGTTTGAATATCGAACAAGTTCTGGCCAATAATGATGTGGATAATTCTAAAATAATATCATCGTTATCTTGGATTTTGTAATCTTTAAAATAGAATGCAACAGGTAGTTCGCACCAGACCATGGGACGTCTAGGGCCTAATTTTTCCTCGGACACTATAAAGTACATTTTGTTTTTGGTTAGTCTCAGGATGCAAGCTTTTCCTAATTTTTGCAGGCTTAGAGAAACATCTAGAAAATTATTTGTATTGGAAATTATAGGCACTTATGAAGATGTGCTTACACTTACTTAAAAATTCTCTCACAGCAGTGTCTTCGTTCATTACTGCTTCAAATTTCATTTTTGAGGTGTATATTCAAATGTCTAAAAATAGAGGCATTTGTTAGTTATTGTCATAGAAATCTCTGGCCAATTTTAGACTCAGATGGTAATACTATAGAGGTAACAAGGCTCAGATCCTTTGAAACCAGTTTCTGCCTCAATTTTAACTATTCTGTTGATGTTTAAATCAGTAAGAGCCGAAATCAAAATACGTTTGAGAACAATAACTGAAGTTTCCATTTTATGCAAATAGACTAGAGAAATAAGAAATCAATCTCAAGTTAAGTTTTGCTGGTTTTCAACCAAAGAAAATTGAAAAATGATCAATTGAAGAGATTTATTATAGAGATTACAAGTTCAAAGAACAGGAAACGATATCAACTTGCTGAAGTGGGAATAAGGAATATTACAAAAAACAAATGATGCGTCTCAATCAAATTTTTAAATCAATTTGGATGTCAAATAATCTAATCTGAAGTAACCTTTTGAACTTCTCTTGTTCCAATAGTAAAAAATATATTATATAGGTAATATTTAACCAAATCTAGGTGAAAATACAATTTTTTTTCAAGGTATTCGATATGATTGTTATCATCATAGCATTCCAAAGATATGCACTCTACTTATGCATATAAATGAAAAAATTAAATCAGGAAAATACAAAAATCCTTAATCCGACTGAACAATTCTACCTGTCACTCTGATAAGCTGGAGATAAGATAACGGCATGATTGAAAACTACACATTTCCAAAACAATACAACTAGATTGATGAATAATTCGTTTCGTACAATGAAAGAAAAATGAATCTTTATGTGCAATTTTTTGCTGTGCTTTGTTTATTTAATTCAGGTAAGAATTCTCATTATACAGGGTGTCTGGTACATCGATAGGAAGTTTTCAATGAGTGATAGTTGGGGTCATTTGGGACCTGTTTGACCACATTCTCCCTTATGCAAAGTTTCGTCGTTTTTGAGATATCAGCATTTTTAGATATTTTTGAATTGTTCCTAAAACATATTGAAGTGAACACTTTACTCTTTCTCAATTTTTTTTTCGATATTCCTTATATACTCTCTTTCGAAAAATACAGAAAGAAAAACTGAATAATTGATACAAAAAATATGTAGCCCGAGTTGTGTTAAAATACATGGTTTCAAAATATCTAAAAATGGAGAAAGTTTTCATAAGGGTAAATATGGTCAAACAGCTTCCAAATGACCCCAACTATCACTCATTGAAATATTCCTATCGATGTACCAAACACCCTGTATATTCTATGAGGTGAATTTCTGTATAACAAAGAAGTTCAAATTGAAATTTATATAAAACTACACCTAAGCTTTATAGACAATAATGAATCAATCAATGTTTTCACCAAATATGACTTGACTCTGATTAATTAATCTTTAAAATTTCAAATATGTAGTTTCCAGCCAAAACGCTAGTATAGAATTAACAGACACGAAAAGTACCTATTCCTGGAAACCCACAGATGCAACATCTATCCAGGTTTCAGCGGAAGACGGCTACCAAATTCAAGTAGACGCCCTTAAAGTGGACATAGACGGAGAAAATGGAGATTATATTGAAATCAAAAGCGGTAATAATCCGTATTAAATTTTCAAATTATGCCTAAAAAATACTGTTTTTATAGCCACTGAAGATACCAATTTAACTTTAATATTCACCTACACAGTTAGTGGAAAACCTAGCTACCTATACAATACCAACAAAATCGAAGCTAATTATGTTGCCAGCAATAAATCTAATAGTTTTCTAATACAATTCACTAGAGTGGGAGAAATTGCAACTACCACTCCAGAACCGTCTTCGACGACTACAACTCCTGCAATGCCTACCGCCTCTCCAGAAGAGTCCCCCTCGTTAACTGTATATATTCATGGCAAAGCTGCAGCCGATTTTCGAGCAGATGAAATAGATAAATTACGTGGTTCTATAGCTGACATGGGCCAGAAATATTGTGCGGATCAAAACTGTCCTTTAAACGAGTCTATTACGTAACTAATCTGATTTTTTCAATATTATTATTTAAGCCTATCTAATTCAATTATTTTTAGGACAAATAATGTAAAAATCAATAGTTTGAGGCAATGTCCCTTATTTTGGAACAACTACGAGAGCTGCATAAATCTTACTTTCGCATTGCCAATAGTGAAAATGGAAAATGTTAAAACAGACTCTTTGTGGGATGGTTATCAACTAAACGAGGCAAATTTGAAATTGATGTGGGAAAACTATGCCCGAGAAGGTCTAGAAACCATAAGTTTGGATTTGTACTCGCAGCCAAACGTTGAATCCATATTTAATGTCCGATTAATCGTTATTGGTATAGTTGTTGTGGTTTTAGTGATAATTGTTTTGATTTTTGGACGATTTGTGGGGAAATTGACTAAAAGACGGTAAAAAGCATAGTAATGTATATTTTGTAGTACTCATATAAGCGATTTTTTAGCAGGAAATTGAGTGATACAGTTTCAATTATTGATCGTCAGGTCGCAAGCAGGACCAGTCAGCTATCATTGACTCCTCACTATTTACAAGAACTACCTCCGCTGTTCAGTAACGATTTTCTTTTACATCCTGATCAAAGGAGTCACAATAAACTTTTTACTGGTGGATGTGAGTATGTTTCTTTGATTTGATTTAAATGCTTGATTCATATATTTTGCAGACACTAACGATTCTTCTACATCGGGGCCTAGCAATCTGATTAATTTATCCACCAAACAAGATGCTGATGATTTATTTGAAGATACGAATGCATAAATTAGATGATAGAAAATATATTTTATTAGGGTGTGTTGCTTTGTTGCTTGTTCATTATTTTCAACTAGGATTTGGACATGGATATGTGGATGTCTAAGGCGTTGTTGTAGATGTAGACTGTTTTCTTTAATTATTGCTCCTTATCAAAGGAAATTAGTTTTGTTATATTTTTATTGTGGACTAACGTTTAAAAATGTAAGGTACCAAATATTATGAAAATTTTAAGCTACAAAAATGTATTTTCAACCAATTTCTAGCAATAGTAATTATGTATTCCTGAAACTCATTTCCTGTAAGCCTACGTACATTTCAATTGTATCTAAAATTTCAATAATAAAGCTAGAAGTAGGTATAATACCTTAGAATGAATATAATATAATGTATTTAGAAGGTTCGTCACCTCAGAATCATGTATAGAAGGCCAATGATTCATAAAAAATATACATTTTTGTAAATATTTTTGCTACTATTGTATCAAGAGTCTTTCCCTTAAGTTGAGGAAAGATTCTGTAAAGCCAGGTTGACACAGTCCAAGTGTACTTAGATCAAGTACCCCTGGATACAGCATGCGCCTCACTTGGATCATGTCAACTGCTTATCCAAGTTCAATTGGATAGGTTCTAACATTAGGCTGGCTGCCAACGTTCTTGGTCCAAGTTCTCATCCAAGTGCACTTGGACCGTGTTAACCATGATTAAAGCCAGGATGACAGTGTTGACACAGTCCAAGTAGGTACTTGGTCTAAGTACACTTGGATGAGAACTTGGACTGTGTCAACACTGTAAACCTGGCTTAAATTAAGCCTGGTTGATACGGTTCAAGTGCATTTGGATGAGAACTTGAACCAAGTAAGTTGGCAGCCAGCCTACTTGCTTGGATATTATTAGATCTATCCAACTTGACTTGGATAAACACTTGATACGATCCAAGTACCTATACAAGGGTACTTGATCCAAGTTCCCTTGGACCGTGTCAACCTGGCTTAATGCTTGATAGGCAAAATAAATGGAAATGAGGCATTAATGAGGGAAATTAGGATAGTGGAATACTACTGAAAATGCAGTTTCTACTTACATAAAAAAAAAACAAATACCAGTAAAACCGGTAAAACCTAACCACAATCAGAAATCATAATAAAATTAATTGTTTTGGGTTTCACTCAGAACTAGCTCAGAATCATTCTGCACATGCGCATATTATAAAACTCAACGCCACAACGTATTAGTTCTTTTCACGTGGCTCCGGTTCAACTAACCGGGTTACAAAACGGTTAGAGAAATGACATACCGTTTTCTAACCCGGTTACAAAGTGACGTGTTGGATACCTACCACTCGAATTTGAGCGGTGTGTTGGTGTGTTGCGGTTTGTTAAACCGGAGCCACCTGAAAAGGGTTATTGGTAAACCAGAACACTAGAGCTAGGTTCGGCTATTCAGCACGGAGTGGGAGTGGAGTAATAACAAATCTTTGTCACGTGATCTAGGAAAGATTAGACTGATTAGAGTGAAAAATTAATACACGAACGATCGGAACGGTCGGAGCAAAAATTTCAAAACAGCTGATTTGTTTTGTTTCAAAATAACAGTCAACCGCCGTGACCCTACCACGTTCTATTCCCAATTTTTTTTTCACTTTTGTCTTTGTCTTTCGTGTTCTATAAATTAACTTCAAATCCTCCATAATATTTTAGTTGTATTCCTTTCAAGAGTTTGAAACACTCGAGCTACTCGTTCCGGTGATTAGTCGCCCCCGATTTGCAGGGAACAGATGCGTGGTGCAACAAACACTTTTCGAAAGGAGTAAGCGCGTGAAGCCCCGGAGCTGTTCCGGAGCTCCTCCTAGGTGTGAAAGGAATACAACTAATAATGAATAATATGATGCATTTGTCTGTGTTCAACTCTGTCAAGGAAATTTTTCCATCATTAATAAATTTTAAAACCAGATCAATTATTTTATTCGATGATTTTACCAATTCCCGCATCCACATGAAACGATTTTTAATTTTTTTAACAACCAACAACCACAACGTGACAACACAACAAGCTTGACAGTTTCCACATTTCGCTTCTGCGCATGCTTACTCTAAAAAATTCTTTTTCCGAGGTAGAACTTTTGAAGTGAACTCCATTTACTCCATTTTGTATAGTCGAACGCTAATGGAGTCACCCCTTATACGCCAAAAAGCAATACCCGAACGGCTGGAGTGCGAATGGAGTCACTCGGAATGAGCAAGCCGAACCCACCTTAGGTTTGTTTTGGTTTCACTGCGAACTAGTTCGGAAACATTCTACACACGCGCATGTTATAGATCGCATTTTCGTTTTTTGAGAATCGTAAGCAACCTGTGTTGACAGCGTTTTGGTTTATAGAACTATAGGCGATTTCGCCCCAAATTTTCAACTGCTGTTTGGTAGATTAATATGGTTAACCAATTGGTACGTAAGTGACGTAGCTCAACAATCTCATCCGCATTCAGTGGATAGGGCGTTTGCTTAGAGCAAGTAGGACAGCGCTTACCTGCTCTAAGGGCGTTTGACTTTGACATGTTTATTTGGACATGAGAGAAAAAGAAACGGCCCGGTGGGGCGGTATTCAGGGGGCGGATTACGAACTCTCGATTCGAACCGAAACCGCCATGGATTTCGAACGCATTCTGATGCATTCGCATGGAGTGCGTTCGAAATTCTTGGCGGTTTCGGTTCGAATCGAGAGTTCGTAATCCGCCCCCTGGTTCTCAAAAACGCTCACCGCTTTCTAGTCGCTCGGCACTTTAAATGCAAATTTACATTAAAAGTGCCGAGCGACTGAAAAGCGGTGAGCGTTTTCGAGAACGAGAATACCGGCCCGGATTCCGAACTCACGATTCGATAGTATCGTCTCTCTATTTTCTATGGACGATACTATCGACACGCGAGTTCGGAATCCGGTTCCTGGAACCGGAAGAAAGCTATTAAACCTCCACTACCCAGTCAAACTGCGGTATGGCATCTGAGAGACCAAGGGCCTACCAAAGTTGTTTTGACAGCATCATTCACCCATCCGAAATTGAATGGTACCTGTTTGACAGACCAAATTGGGGTACCAATCTGAGGCGAAATCTCCCTAATGTAAGAACAATTCTAGAACGGTTCTTTCAGTTCTTGCTTTGAAGGAGAAACTGTTTTGGTTTTTTTGGTTCCGAATCCGTTCAGAATTAGCATTAGAACAGTCCTTCATCATTTTTGTATGCGCAAGCAGCGTTGCGAAATCCCAGAACCATTCCAAATTTTGAACCAAAACAAAGCTAATAGGTCTGCTTCTGCAGAAATCACAAACCCAGTCAGAGTGAATTTCATTGGTTAAAACAGTCCTCCTTTATTTTTTGTCCGCAAGCAGTTCTGCGCAATCTGGGAACCGTTCCTAATTTCGAACCAAAACAAAAGCCTAGACAGTACATATAAATGAAACTGTTTTACCGACTTAACAGTGGGAATCACCGGAATCACCCAAGAATCGTGAAGCACTAGGCCGAGTTCAGAAATAACGCACAGGGTGCGAGTGCGATTTTATGGGTGTGCCTGAATTGACAATTGGCCATTGGGCCCATAGCACCTTCTAGCATTTTTGAACGGCTAGGGCGAGGGCGTCGCACCGGTGTCACACTCACACTGGGTGTGTCATTCCTGAACTCGTCCCTAGAAAATCTAAAGGCAAAGTTCCACAGTGCGCACACAAGATTTGTATCTAAACGGATTATTTTATTGTTTAATTGCTGATAAATTACCACACTAATTCGATATTCTTTTATTAGATATAAATAAAAATATGTACACATAATTAAAACTTACATAATATTATTTCAATTAAGTACTTATTGTAAAAACCTATTCATTTAAAAATTAATACATATTCAAGAAACAAAAATATACACATAAGTAATACATAATACAATGAAACTAAAGAATGTTGAAAGATATTAAACAATAATGAATATATTCAAGAAAAAAATTGATGATTTTTGAATGCGGCAAGGTCTGGTTTATCAAGCAACGAATCCGCTTGCCTAATATCTAAATTAATCGCTTCAATCAGCTCGTTCAACGACGAAAAATTCTTTTCGGGCCTCAAATAACCCAGAATCACTACTCGCAATTCTTTCCCGTAGAAATCCTCGTCGTACTTGTGCAACATGTGAGTCTCCATCGACTTTTGCGTATTGTTGTAGAACGGATTCCAGCCGATGCTCATGACCATCTTTCGAGGCGAGTCGTCCGTTTCGACTAGTCCGAAACCGTAATAGACTCCGGTTTCCAGATTGAGGCCTTCGACGACGTCTTCTGGAAAATTTGCAGTGGGAATTCCGAGTTCTTTTGAACCGCGGCCGAACCCTTTGACGACCGTGCCTTTGGTGAAAAAGGGCAGATGGACTTGTGAAGCCATATTTATTGTCTGAAACTGAGGTCATAATAATTTTGAATTTATGTTCTTATGGGTAACAGTAGATCGTAATAGAGAACGAGAATAAGAAGTTGATCAGTAAAGCACTTATTCCCCATTTAAAAGCGGACTCTACTAAGGTTGTTCTTACAGGAATGTAGACATCTACATCAGTAGCTTTAGTTGTACCGGATTATTTTTATATTATTATAGAGCATTCTAAAATTACCTTTAGGATAAGATAAGTAATATCGTTGGTAATGGTAATAGTGCAATAGGCTCGTACAGCATATTTTTTGATTTGGTGGATTTCGTGGGTTAGAGGTCGGGACAAAATAGAAACTACCAGATGTGTGGCAACGTTTCGGTTCTAATTAAACCTTTTTCAAACCTCAATCTCCTGTTTCGTAAGTCCGTTAGGGATGGAACAAGGCACCTTAATCATTGGAAAGCAGTAAATTATTTCGTCGTGAGAAAGTATGACCTTCCGAACAACGATTGCGTAAGCAAACATGAGTTTATAATAGTCATTCTTGTATCATAATAAGATTATCCTTCATTGCCATCCAAATCGGTGGTGAATGGTGATTTAAATATACATTCCATGCATGCAATTAAGTTATTTTGGGTAATTATCAGTTGATTGTCTGAACTCTTAGCTAAGACGTCACAAGAAAGGTTTTCTTAATTTTTGATTATTGTATATTGTATGCAGTTAAAAAGGAAGATAAAATAAGAGTTTGCGGAGAATATGGATGATGATACGGAAAGATATTTTATCCTCTCTTCCGATGTGACCAAGGGCTTCTGCTCTTTCTTTTTGGTCTGGAACGTGGTAGCGATCAGATCATCAGATCATCTTGTCTTGCTTTGCCTTGTCTTGGTCTTGTCTTGCCTTGCCTTGCCTTGCCTTTGGAGTTTTACCAACTTTCAAGTATTTTGAGTTTTGTGAGACCTTCTTCTCTAAGCAATTTCCAACTTACATCAGAAACATAAACTGCTCAAAGCTTAGAATGTCTTTCAAGGCCTCTGGAGTAGATTTTTTTTTTAAATTCTGAAATAGTTGCGTTTTGTTGATTAAATGGGCGAGAAACGCCTCAATTATGAATTTTAGAGAGGCAAATACTCTAAAAGAAGACCATTTTCTATTGGCTGTAAAAGAGTTTTTGGAATCTGTTGAGAGCCAGAAAAGCCTGTTCAGAGCAATTTCCAATTCGCAGAGAAGCGAAGTCAAAAATCAAGCTGGGGGAAATTGTATTTTAGGGTTTGAAAGAGCCTGGAGAACGATTTCTGTCAGCTATTTTGCCTCACGATTTGACGGGAAGTTGTGTTTGGAATACTTATGCCATTGTGCTTGATTTCTGGCTATAGAAACTCCGAGAGCTATAAATTGCTAAAATCTGTTTTTTTTTTAAAGATAATTCCCCAAGTCAAAAATTTAGTAACTATGTTGGCAACACAAGCCTTTTGTACATGAAAAATTTGAAAGCATTGACAATTTTACATTGTGTTGCCAACATAATGTCAGTTTGACTTTTATCTTTAAAAAAAAAACGGACTTTATAAGTGTTTCGTTCCCACTTTGTTGAGAGCCAGAAAGAGCGATTATAAAACCTCCTTTTAGGACAAAAATCAAGTCGGGAAAAGGGCATAATGAGATAGAGGCGGAGCTTTTATGACCTTGAGCCGGTATTTTTGACGTTTAAGCTTCATGACTCTCGAAAATGCGTTTTACGGTGCGTTCGGTATTTTGATATGGGTTCTCCGAGCTTAAATTTACCGTTCAGCAAACAGTTTTCCAAAGGAATAAGCGCGTAACGCCCCGGAGCTCCTTCTAGGTGTGAAAGGAATACAACTATAGGCGAGATTAAAGCGTTTTACAGGAATTTATGGTTTCCCTGAGGCGAAAAGTTATGAGAAGGCGAAAAACGGCACGCTGGCTACGTCATCACTGGTTCTCTGGCGTGGTGGGGGGCTTGAGATTTGATCTACACAGGCCTTATGAGGATAAGCTATCCTGTAGTAGTAGTAGTATGTATGTAAAATCTGTTTTTTTTTTAAAGATAATTCCCCAAGTCAAAAATTTAGCAACTATGTTGGCAACACAAGCCTTTACTACATGAAAAATTTGATAGCATTGACGATTTAACATTGTATTGCCAACCTAATGTCAGTTTGACTTTTATCTTTAAAAAAAAAACGCACTTTATCATCCACCGACCATGTTCGGTGCAAACGTCCATTAGTGCTGGAAATTGAAAGATAACTTTCTCGAAACTTTCGACCCTCTTATGAGAGCCAGGAAAAGTTCCTCAGAGCAATTTCCGATTTCCAGAGACAAAAATCAATATGGGAAAAATGGCTTCAAGTTCAGGAGAAGATTTTATTTAAATTCTACATCAAGGAGGGAACCACCTCCCAAGAATCGTGAACTAAAAGGATTGCTCATCATCCCAAAAAGGCGTCGGTTCTCCAGTTTTCGAGTCAGCAGGGTCTCCGACTGACGTTACCACATCAGCAGGGCCGAGTTCAGAAATAAGGCACAGGGTGTGAGTGCGATTTTATGGGTGTGCCTGAATTGACAATTGGCCATTGGGCCCATAGCACCGTCTAGCATTTTTGAACAGCTAGAGCGTCGCACCGGTGTCACACTCACACTGGGTGTGTCATTTCTAAACTCGCCCCAGCTAATAGTGGTCACGTCACTCGCAGACCTTGATAGAATGCTTGCGATTCAGGCTGTGCTTGTTATTTAATTTTTTCGTCGATTTTTAATGTAGAAAAGGTGATTTTAACTAGATTAAATATTTTAATGTTCAGGAATTCGTTTTTTTGACCTTCTGTTTCAAACTCGGAAAGTAGGCAATTCGAATCAACTATACTTCAAGATGGCGACGTGGGCATACCAAACTTGACTCCATGACTTTACGTCCTCACTCCTCTACACGTTTTGCGTGTGACGGTGTGGTTAAAAACATAGGGACCCGTACCGAAATGAAATATCGGTTCCGTTCCGGTTCTAAGAAAAATCCGATTCGGTTCCGATCTAAGGTTTTAACATTTTCATACCGGTATAGTTTTTCACAAATATCTAACAGAAAAATTTGTTTCTGTAATTTGTTTTTTATTTTGTATTGGATTTCTCTGCCTATCTGCAACAACTTTAATAATAATAATTATTATTATTTATTAATAAATTTTGTGTTCTCGATCAGTTAATTACAGTTTGTATTTTTTAACTTTGCCCATGCGTCATCAATGAATAATGATATTGTCCGTCGATTTTAATCTGATACTCGGACGGAATGTGAGCTGGTGGCTCTCTACATTAGGAGGCCAATGGTTACCTGACGTCACACCTGTTTTTGCCATATGAAACACCCCCTCGCTCCTCAGACGGAACGTGTCAGTTAAAAATCGACGAACAATATGCATATTCTTATGAGGTTTACTGGTGGCCGTATTACGACACACGGAAAGGTTGAAAAATTCAAACTTTAAGTGGTGTTTTATTGCCATTTGAATGGACTTTTAAATAAAATAAATATTAAATATTATTATTATAAAAATAAATAAAAATATGAAGCCTCCACCCGGCCAAAGTACCAGTGAGACGTGGCAAGCATGTCGTTTCTCTCCTTGACGTAGGGTCGATTTCTCAATATCAAGTCACCCCCTGGTTAAGCATAACTCTAGGGTAAACATTGCAAATAAGACACGTTAACTCTGGAGTTACAACCAACCCGAAGGTGACTCGCTATTGAGAAACCGACCCGTACGGTGTTTCCACCACAAGTTATGATATCGCTAATTTTTGCTTCATGCAACAACCCTTGTTTAGATCTCGTTTGCATCCTCCTCTTTTCCTATTTTGTTATCAAAATAAAATAATATTTTTTTTCTTCGTCATAAATGTATATTCCTAAGTTGGGCTGGGATCACGACAAGTAGAATTCTACTTTCATGACGTCAGGTTGCCTAGCAACTATCATCATCCTATGTACTGTACGCGATAAATAGGTCGGGGGTGCCATCATGAAAGTAGAATTCTACTCGTCGTGATCCCAGCCCTGGGTTCCGCTTGCACACTCTCTGCACTCCGAGTGACTCCGTTTGCACTCCAGCCGTTGTCTGATTCGTTAAAGGCAATACCCGAACGGCTAGAGTGCGAACGGAGTCACTCGGAGTGCACGGAGTGTGCAAGCCGAACCCAGCTTTAACTACGATCGCTGGCGCAAACCGCTATCGAAACCGTTGATTACGTCGGCAACGGTGAAAGACCATATGAACTTGGACTTGATTCCAAAAATCGAGGCCTACGAGCAATCCTGTAATTGTAGTAGTGTGTAATATCCTTGGTGTTGCTTAGCCGTGTTCACAAATACTGAAATACGCGCTTTGCAACGCTCTGTTTTCAAGAGTTTTACTGTTTTAAATTTATTACGATACGAGTGATACGACCAAACAGCAAACAGCCTAATTTATGAAATCCCCAAAAAACCTGTTCTGCTCCGGTTTTCGGTTCAATATCGTTCCGGTCCGGTTCCCTGATTAAAAACATCTTAGGTGGTTTCCCGTGCATCAAAATTTTGCTCAAGAGTCATTAATTAATTACAATTTAGGTACACAACTTTGTAATGCGATCTATCATAAATGATTAACGACGTATTTTGTATTTGTTAATAGACACTTTAAGTTAGACAAAACACGTTAACGCTAACGTAAGATTTGACAACTGCGCATGCGCAGTTTCTTTCCACCAAAAATAGCGTGTTACGTGTCACGTTATTTAGCGGGTCTTTGCGCGTACCTTATCCGTAGACGTTTATTAAACCGAGAAGGCCCGAAAGCTAGATTGCCGGTGTCGACCTTTGCCGAATGTAGAGGTTAGGTCATGATTGTGAGATATAACGTTAACGGTTACGTGAAAATTTAGCTTAAACTGATTTGTGTGCACCGACGGTCACTTGACGCTATAGTACAAAATAGGGTTTACGTATAAAGATTACGTTAACGTATTTGGTCTAACTTAAAGTGTCTAATATACGCAGTGCGTTCCGCTTAAGGACTGACACCCTTCTAAAATTTTTATTTTTTAACCGATGCAGTTTTTTTTTTTTTGTCTTATATCTACTCGAATTTGGCACTCAATAGGCCCATAGTTTTTTTTCTGCGGCTGTACTGGTGTACAGGGTGTCCACATTCCACATTTATAGGCTCAAATTTCAATAAGTACTATTAGGGATTTTTTTAGAAAAAATCTGATATCAGATTCGTATTTTAGAATGGTCTAAAACCAAAAAAACAAATGAACTAATTTTTGTTTCAATACGATATACAGGGTGATGATAACAAAATTTTCACAATTCAATGAATCAAACCGAAAAAATTTTATACATGGGACTCGCTATTACTACAAGTTTTGTTTAAGGATGTCCTAAAACAATGTTGTACCAAGTTTTGTTGTTCTCAAGGCCTTAAACTATGACATTTTTTCGGTTTGGTCCATTAAATTTTGAAAATTTGTTATGATCACCCTGTATCATATTGAAACAAAAATTAGTACATTTGGGTTTTAGACCATTCTAAACAAGAATCTGCTATCAGATTTTCTCTAAAAAAATCTCTGATAGTACTTATTGAAATCTGAGCCTATAAATGTGGACACCCTGTACACCAGTACAGCCGCAGAAATAAAATTATGAGCCTAACAAGTGCCAAATTCGAGTAGATATAAGTCAAAAAAGAGTTAATTGAATAGGTTAATAGTTATTTATACACCAAGTGAGTTAAATGAAGTATTATTCATGGGAAGAAAGTTTAACCCACGAGCCCTAGCAAGTGGGTTAATTTTCTTTTAATCAATAAACATTTTAACTCACGTGATGTATACAAAATTTTATCCCATTTGAAAAATAAAGTATGAAGCCTAGTACTCATAACTGCGAAATTCGCATTTTTTTGACATTGCGTTGATAATTTGACGTTTTATGCGTGTATCAGACGTCAAATTGTCGAAGCAATGTCAAAAAAATGCGGATTTCGCAGTTATGAGTACTAGGCTTTAGTACTCATAACTGCGAAATTCGCATTTTTTTGACATTGCGTTGACAATTTGACGTTTTATGCGTGTATCAAACGTCAAATTGTCGAAACAATGTCAAAAAAATGCGAATTTCGCAGTTATGAGTACTAGGCTTTAACAAGGAAAAATGCCCAGAGTGAGTTAAAGTGCGTTTTCTTTTTAAGATAATTCCCCAAGTCAAAAATTTAGTAACTATGTTGGCAACACAAGCCTTTATTTCTACATGCAAAAATTGAAAGCATTGACAATTTTACATTGTATTGCCAACATAATGTCATTTTGACTATTATCTTTAAAAAAAAAACACACTTTAAAAATATTTTAAATCACTATGGTGTCAGATTTTTAGTTGGGCAGAGTGACTTAAAATGCCGAGAGTGAGTTAAATTTTGTTTTAAGTCACTGAGGTGATAAACGTCCATTTATCTTTGTTATTATGCGTTCAATAATGTCATTTTCAAACGTCAAAATGGGATGAAAAATAAAAAATTTAGAAGGGTGGTCAGTCCTTAAGCGGGACACATAATTAGGTCTATTTCTGTTGAAGCTAGTTCTCTGACTGTTTCTGACTGTTTTCAACCAATGAAATTCGCTCTGACTGGTTTGTGACTTCTGCAGAAACAGACCTACTGTATACGTTTTTCTTCAAAATTCAATTTGGGGAAATATTCAACAATTCGGCAACATAGCTCATAGGTTCGAGTGCACCATCTTTAAATGCACCGAATGTTGCACTGCTGAAATATTTGTAGAGACGGGCTTATCGATACTCATAACAGTCATAGCTATCGATACGATATTCTTTCATAACATATTCCACAGTTCTTTTCTGTATCGATATTAAGATGGGAAAATATGGAAACTTTCGATACGATATTTTATGATTCAGGCTGATTGGATTGGATAGAAGTAGAAGCAATAATTCATAATGTAATATTCATAAATAATAAATAAAATAAAAGCATAATGGAAATGTGATGAGAAAATTGACAGTAATAAGATGACAAAAATGACATTCATTGAAACATGACATTTGCATTAGACGAACGACGTTCGATAATGGGTTTTTATTTTGCAAGATCATTATCGAATTATCGATACATATCGATACGCACCATCATGGAGTGCGTATCGAAACATATTTCGATATACCGTATCGATAAGCACCTTTAATATGTAGCGACCGTCCGTCCTTTTTCAGTACAGTATCTCATTCACCCGGCAATTTTACTGTACTTTATCGTCTTTTTCTCTAGTATTAAATTAATATCGAGATAATTACCTGCTAGCGGCGAAATGCTGGAAATTGGAGCCGATGTGGTAAGTGTCCCGAATATCTCCGATCAATTAAAATTTGTCTTTATCTAAGTTGAGTGGTTTAAAAGGTCACCAAAACAAAAAACAACAACGGAAAAAATCAAATGTCCTAGAAACGACCTTCTCCTCATGAACGCGAATTGATCACTATTTCATTTTCCAAGTCATCATCAAGCTCCAGCGCGTCAAAATACAAAAGTCAACAGAAAGTACTCAATTTCGAATTGCTTTTATCTTTTTGCCGTAGTCATATAGCATGCATGATTGTATAGCAATTAAAAGATAATTGTTGCCTTATCATTGACTTAAAAAAATAATAAGGCGGAATAATGCATTTTACGCAAAACCTTCAAATTGTTTCATTTTTTTTTTTCAGGAAATACCTACAGGATAATATGCAATTTTTTTTCAGGGAATTTCCTATTCTAATCAAACTCGGGTATAAAAACCATTGTCAATACCTTTTATGCCAAATTGAGAGTCTTGAAAGCAATAAAATCCTCACTATAATATAACAGCAAGCAATAGAGAATTGATTATAGGTCTAAATTCATTGGCATTCTATTTTATTTGTTTATATTTGATAAACATCCAGCGATCTTTTTACTACGAAATTATTTTTCCATTTAACATAACGAAATAATGTTCCTTTCTATCAAAAAATAAAGATAAGGAGGATCAGTAGAGGAGTAAAAATATCGAAAATTATTATTTTTAGTTGGTGCCTTATCATCGTCATTGAATAATCGTCAATTATTATTATTATTAGTTTGTGCTTGTACGGTTCCAGTGTAAGAGGATTATATAGTTTATAAATAAAATGTCGACTTTGTTAGAACGTGTAAGTTATTTCCAAATAGTTTGTCATTGTTATAAAAAAATTAGTTTGCTTAATAAAAAGTGTCTGGGGAGGTACAGGTTTAATTGAACATTTTGGGTACTTTTTAAATAGGCAAACTATATTCTGAATTTGAGTTGAACTAAGTTACCTACAATTCAAATAAAAATCAGGATACCTTAATCTCTCCAGATTTTCATAGTCGCTCATTCTAAAAAAAGAAAATAAATTGATAATACATACAGGGTATACCATTTAAAATGAAACAGGCTAAATATCTGATGTCACTTTTATTTTTTTTAAATCGCTCGTACACCTAATTTGATTGTGTGAGTGTTTGAAATATTTGCAGCGCTAACCCTCTAGGGGAGGTGGGACCAACCCTTTTGTGAGTGTTTGAAATATTTTCAGCGCTAACCCTTTAGAGGGGGTGGGACCAACCCTTACCATTTAAAATGGAGCAGGGGGTCGAGTGATGAGTGCGTTCAATTTTCTTTCAAATGATATCAAATGAAAGGGAATTGAACGATCTTTTAAAAGAAGTATCGTATCACTCGACCCCTTGTTCCATTTTAAATAGTAATGGGGATTGGTCCCATCCCGCCTAGAGGGTTGAAGTTGAAGTGCTAACAATGGTTGCAAGAAACTTCCCCCTTTGAAAATTAAAAAACGTGTACGAGCGATTTTTAAAAAAATAAACGTGGCATCAGATATTTAGCTTGTTTCGTTTTAAATGGTACACCCTATATAATCAACTCAATTTTTATTTAAAAATGAATTTAGAATTATTGATATTGTCACGGCTCTGGGTTGCCTGACAGAAATCTTGGGTTCGTTTCGTTTATTCACTCCACGTAACTATACACTTTGACACTAATTACTAACTCAACAATTAAACTCTTTACAACTCGCAACAATAATCACTATTTAAATCGTATCACAGTCAAACTTAAACTTAAACTTACAAACTAATGCCGACCTTCATATATCCCTAAATCTATTCATGTACAGTCTAGAATACACGCGATTACTCTTCTTCTCGAAAATACCGCAAACATCCCGAATCTAAATTGGATTCTTGACATCTGGCGGCGTTATCGTAACACTATCAACGCAAAAACCAAAACTCTGATAAAAATCTCAAAGGTTTTTATGACGTAAAAAACTGTAAATTGAAATACCGGGTGGGCCAGCGAAAACCAAACAAGGCCGATATCTCGTATTCATCGTTCATTGAAAAAAAATCGCTCGGACCCGTCGATTTTTATTCGGAGGGGAAAATCTTTTGCACATATTTTCAATGTTGTCACTTCAACCCTCTAGCGGGGGTAAGCGCCAACCCTAAATCTTAAATGGCAGTAGGGGTCGAGCGATACCTCATTTCAAAGGTCATCGAATTCTCTTTTCAACGGTGCCTAGTTTTTTGAATTTACCAAGTTTTTTTTCAAAAAATATTTGAAATTAGAATGTATCTAGTTGAATTTTATTGAGTGATAAAAAAACCTAGACTTAAACCTTGTGATTTCAAGTTGGATAGCACACAATTTATAAAAAAATACACATAAAATCACTTCTTAAGTGAAAATTGTTATATCTACAAAATTGAAAGTGCTCAAAATGACTAAAACAGTACTAGTTCCGTCTATTTTCAAATGCGAATTCGATGACCTTTGAAATGAGGTATCGCTCGACCCATACTGCCATTTAGGATTTAGGGGTTGGCGCTTACCCCCGCGAGAGGGTTGAAGTGACAACATTGAAAATATGTGCGATAGATTTCCCCCTCCGAATAAAAATCGACGGGTCCGAGCGATGTTTTTCAATGAACGATCAATACGACATATCGACCTTGTTTCGTTTTCGCTGGCCTACCCTGTATAAAAATATGATAATAAAAAAAAGAGAATTTTTGAAATGTATATGTTAATTTTCAATACATAAAGGATTTCTTAGCGACTTACCATTTTCAACCGTGTTATAAACTGTAACTGAACATATAATCCTAGGCAGTTTTTTCGAAACTTTCAAATAGTATCACCGGTAGCCGCTAATTAACAATTATGACATTTGAATGTGATTTAGCGTATATCGCTACCGATACCACCCGCTATCATGGACGATAAACTTGTATATAGTAGCGATGATATGCATGCGCAGTACTGTTGAATTTATATGTATCGTATCTTTTTCTTCATAGAGACGTAAATTATCGGGCATTTCTTTATTTTCTATTTTGCGTTTAATCTTTCATTTCCTTTTATAAGGCAATCCAACGACCTGTCAAAATGAAATTCAAAATGGAGGCCAATGCCTTTTTATTTAAAAAAAATGCCGTTTTATTGCGATTTTTGATTTGTATAAAGTCTGTAAAGTGTTGATTTTTTGGAAAATGCATACGTTATGTATTGTACTTAGTTGTGGAAGCCGTTCTAATCGCGAGAAAGTCTAGTTTCATGCTGTTCCTGCAGAGACAAAACATAGGTTTTTAACAATTTTAACAGAGAAAAATGGTTTGTCTGTACTTTGTGAGGGCTTCATGGATTGTAGCAAAAGATAATAAATCTTACAAAATCCATATTAAAAAACCAAAAAGTCTCTCTACATAAATGGTGTATGGATCCAAGCCATTTACTATCCTCCACATCAGCTTGTGTCGATACCTTGAATAGCAGACAAATAAAATAAACATCAGGATTCAGGATTTGGTTTAGAAAAAACTAAACAGAAAACAAATCCTGGATAGTACCTACCTAATTGTTTAGTAGGTAAAGGTTTGTCACAAAGAAATCATAACTTTTGCAAACATCCGGGTTTTCCACTAATAATTTGTTAAACTAAAAACTTTTCATCTTAAAATACGAAAATTATCCTTCCAAACACTAGAAAAATCATCTAGAAACACCACAAAATATACAAAAAACAGTAAGTACTTCCAATAAATTATAATCCCTACAGATGTGTTATTTGATTTGTATATGTGTAAAATTAAATTATTTTCGAGCTTTTCTGTGCATTTTCTTGGTATATATAAGGCCGTTTCCACCAACGCAAATTTAAGTTTACTTAACGTTAAGTGCCTCTTATATTATAATTTCTTTTCCACCAGTCTAACCTAGTCTCATTAAGATACGCTTAACTAAGCCCAGGAATTTCTAGGCTTATTCCTCCCTTAACAGAGTGGCGATGATATGCGCAAGCAATTTGCATCATGCTTTTGTTGATATGAGCAAACCTTAAAGTTGATGCTTCACAGAAAATAGCAAAAATTGAATTGAGAGAAATTTTCTTAATTTTCTAATTTCTGGTGGAGTAAATTAAAAATGAAACACTCTATTATATTATTGACATTAAAAAATGACAAATGTGAAGTATTTATTAAAAAAATATGTTTCCAAATTTCTTGTTTTTATGGACCACAAATGCCCTGCATGCATCATAAAACCAAAACCGAAACTTCGTAATGTAGAATCTTTACAAAAAGACTTGGTCTTATTCCTAGATTTTTTGGTAAGTAAACATTATTTTGAGGTGGCATAAGGTAAAGATACTTCAGAGCACAATATTTCTTCTAAGAATGTTAGAAAATTAGAAACAACTCCATCAAAATTGAAAAAGAAGTTCAGATTTCGTCCTCACATCCACTAAAAATTCCATCTATAGTCTGTGATCAAAATTATACGCCACTGGAATCATTTCCTCTGACGTCTCACAACCCACGCCACTCTATAGGTCTGTTCTCCTCACAGAAATTACAAACCAGTCAAAGCGTTTTTGATTGATGCACATCGCCAACAAACTGTTTTTTTTTTTACTTATTTCAACCAATAAACTTCGCTCCAACTGGAACAGTCCTTATATGTGAAGTGCCAATAGAGTCCACCCAATTTGAGAATGGTACACAATGACATACCAATACGCAACTTGCCGCGAAGCACGTGCGTGTACCATTCTAAAGTTGGGTGGTCTCTAGTCTCTACCTTTGCTCACAGCCTAAAGTAAAAATATTTTATCTTTGAATAGGTGAAGGGTCATGCCCGTTCTGGCAGCGACTCCAAAGCCTTCATAGAAGCCACCAAAAGAGATGCCTTACTACTTCTAGAAAGCGAACTAGGAAAACTCGTCGACACCGCTCCCCCAGTGCAACGAGAGCGCGTCCGTAAAGAGTTCGATGGATTCACTGATCTGTTTAAAAGATTCTTAGAGGAAACTGGTCCGTCTGTAAACTGGGACAAAATCGAAAAGCTGCCCCCAGATGCCGTGAGAGAATATAACGATCTGGAAACTCCCACTGCGGACATAATACATCAGATGCTGAATAAATTGGTTGTTGTTAAATTGAATGGTGGTCTGGGTACTTCTATGGGGTGCTATGGTCCTAAATCGGTTATCACAGTACGAAACGACTTGACGTTTTTGGATTTAACCGTGCAACAAATAGATTACCTCAATAAAACCTATAAAGTTAATGTTCCTTTGGTTCTAATGAACTCCTTCAATACTAATGCAGACACTGAGCAAGTTGTACGCAAATACAAAAACTTAAACGTAGAAGTTCATTGTTTCAACCAATCCTGCCATCCGCGTATCAGCAAAGACAGCCTGATGCCTATAGCTAAAAATTTAGATGTAGATCATAATTTAGAATCATGGTACCCGCCTGGTCACGGAGATTTCTACGAAAGTTTCAACAATTCCGGCCTCCTGTCCAAATTCGTCAAAGAGGGCCGAGATTATTGCTTCATTTCGAATATCGACAATTTGGGTGCCACGGTGGATTTGAACATTTTGAATTTGCTGATGAACAGTTCGGAAAAAGAGCACGAATTTGTAATGGAGGTGACCGATAAGACTCGGGCTGACGTCAAGGGTGGGACTTTGATACAATACCACAACAGGCTGAGACTGTTGGAAATTGCCCAAGTTCCCAAAGAGCACGTGGAGGACTTTAAATCGGTTAAAGCTTTCAAATTTTTCAATACCAATAATTTATGGGTTAAATTACCAGGTGAGAATCACTTTGACTTTTTAATGAACTTCTTCCTCAACAATTAGAATTATGTAAATATTAATATTTACTTTTAACAAAAGATAATGATTGGAATAGGATAAGAGTGCGCCAGACATTATTTATCGAATTTGACAAAAAAAATAAAATTTTCATGGTAATTTTGAGGAGTAGACTTGTAGACAACATTAGCAATGTTACGAGAATTTCATACTGCGGCGCGTCATTCCCACCTCTCTCCTGTCGTTCCCATTAACACATACGTAGATATAGGCTATGCTACGCATCCATTTCTCCTAATCAAGCGTGTGCGTATCCCCCCACCGGTCGCCGCCTGACGCACCATTCATACTTCCCTTAGGCGACCGAAATTTTCGTAACACTCGAAAGCTGATGCTTCCTTAACAAAGAAGTTTCACAAATGTGATCCCTCCTTAATCAAAATACTAATTACCTTGATTACAATATTTTTTGATATTCCAGCCATCCAACGTGTTCTGGAACAAAACGCGCTCCACCTGGAGATCATCGTTAACGGCAAAAGCCTCGAAAGCGGTGTTAACGTAATTCAACTGGAAACTGCCGTTGGTGCTGCCATGAAATGTTTCAAAGGAGCCATCGGCGTAAACGTTCCCAGATCCAGATTTTTACCTGTAAAAAAAACATCCGATCTTCTATTGGTGATGAGCAATTTGTACAGTCTCAAAGGTGGATCGTTGAGGATGTCTCCGCAAAGAATGTTTCCTACAACTCCTCTGGTCAAGCTGGGCGACAATCACTTTTCCAAGGTCAGGGAGTTCTTACAAAGATTCTCGAATATACCAGATTTGTTAGATCTGGATCATTTAACCGTTTCTGGAGATGTTACGTTTGGTAGAGGAGTGTCTTTGAAGGTAAAGCTTTTTTCATTAGTTTGAAGGACAGTTGACAGAAGATCTGTTACAGAGTAGTTCTGATTTCCCATAAGTCATTGTTCGCTATTCTATACACCATAATTTTTTCTATTTACAGGGTACAGTGATCATCATAGCTAATCACGGGGATAGAATCGATATTCCTTCGGGAGCGATTTTGGAAAATAAAATTGTCTCAGGAAACATGAGGATTTTGGATCATTAGAGATCTGACATTGGCCAGAGTATCTAGTCAATAATTATCGATTATTGCATGTGTGATTATTTTCGTTATTTGGAATATTTGTTGAAATTAATAATTTGCAAAAAATATATATTATATTTAAGAACCTGCGTTTTTTATTTTTATTTGAGCAAAAATCCCTATAAACTAGAAAATCGGTTCAAGATCCGAGATATTTGCGTGAAAGTTTGATGAATTACTCGGTAAGACAATAATATATTATTGACTTTACGCTATAGGAAGTTCACAGATCTTAATGGTCCGCTATTCATTTGCCCTTTCTCCAACGACCACAGCATAATTCATTCGGTAGATAAACGAAACGTCGTCGGTCGTCGCGTCCCAATTCTAACTGCTGGCCGTAGAATAAAAGTAAATTGACCGCTGTTTGGCGCGTCGACCTCGGAATCACGAAGGCAGTACCTCGGGTACCAGTCTCGAGACGCGACGGCTTGTATTAACTTCTGGTTATTCGTACGCCGCTACGTTTGGAATATTATCAATAAAAATGTCTGCTAAGGATTTTTCCTTGCAAGAAGATGAGATGCTGATTGCCGAAGTAAGAAAATATCCTCAAATATTTAATTCCGAGAATAAGGACTCAAAAAATTTGAAAATTCGAGAGAAAAGTTGGAGTCGTATTTCCAAGATATTAAAAAAAGACGGTGAGTAATGTTTTCAAATTACACTTATTTAATAGTTATATACATACTTTAGATAATGCAACCAATCAGTACAGTAGTTTTGGAATAAATTTTATAGGTACCTACCTATACTTACTTATCTATTTTTTTTCGCAGGTACCTATACCACTTCAACTGCAATAATTAATCAATACCAGATTTACATTCAAATGTGTTTACTTACCACCATCTACACATAAAGTAATTTCATTTTGCAATTTGAAAACTACGATTTTCCTCAGTAAACTGATGTAACTAAGATATTTCTACTTTAAATTTCAAAATGAAGAGGAAGATATTCTCCTTCCTAACGCTAAATATCTAAAAAAATATCACAATAATTATTGTTGTAGGTAAGTTATGTAGAAGCCGATGGAAAAATATACGAGATAATTATGCGAAACATAATAGGCGCAAGAAATTAGGACTTGGTAATTCAGAACGTACAACGAAATGGCCTCTCTTGCATCTTCTGGATTTTTTAAATGAGCCATCAGCATCAGTAAATTCCACAAGTTGGTAAGTAGTGAAAACCAAAATATGATTTTTTCTATTTATTTTTAAATTTAATTTACGACAGCAACACGGAAGGTAGTTCTGAACCAAGCATCAGTGCCAATGAAAATGGTAATATACAATATGATTTCGAAGACGACTCCTCAACGACTTCTTTCCTTTACTCCGAATCTGAGCAATCTGCTTCAAAACTAACCGAAATTCAAACTCCCGATTATGTCGACCTAATAGACATATACGGAAAAGAAACTCCAGCTTGTGGAATATTAGGAAGCATCCAAAGAGGAAGAACATCCACGGAAACCGACCATCTGGAAGAAAGATCCAAAGAGAGACTTGAACTTATGCAAAATAGTCAGTCAGAAAAACAAGAGGATGACTTAGATTTATTTATGCGGAGCATTGCAATGACCGTTAAAAAAATGACACCTTCTAAAATTTGCCTAGCAAAAATGAAAATTTTACAAGCTGTAACAGAGTTACAATTCTCTCCGGATTAGTCCGGATATATAATTGTGAATAAAACCAATTTTATTAGTTGTTTGTTTCAAAATTCCCATATTTCCTAAAAAGAATTGCAATAAAGCCTGTGTACAATCGAAGTTTGTTGGAAGACCAGTAGAGGTACCTATCTTTTTTACGCGAAGTTAAACTACTTAATACTTAATTTAACAAAGTTTTGTATAGGCGAGGGCCTGTGAGTATGATGTGGGGAGAGCACATTCAAACCCCTGATTATTTCTAACGGCTGTCAAAATCTAAAACTGAGAACAAAAAATACTGGCACTAATATGCCAGTTTCCGCTGACCATTTTAAGGGAAATTTAACGATAATCAATGCTTGCATAAGCGTTGATTATCGTTAAATCTCCTTGAAAATGGTCAGTGCAAACGGCCATAAGTGTCTTTACTAGTAGGATTTAAAGAAGACACAGCAAACTCCACAATGAGTTTAGGTAGGTTTATAGTGGTTGAGATGTTAATAAATCAGGATAAAAATTATGTTAAAAAATTTGGTTTATTTGTAATAGAACACTATATTTAGAGCATACATTAATAATAAATTGAGCATTATACGTACAATAACAGAACATTAATTATCTAGAACTATAAAAGGACATTATAATGATAATAATTTGTTTTAATCTAAACTCTAGACAAACAACATATAAAATGGATTAATATAAATCACAGGACTCTTAAAGGCTAAATTATGGACTGACTGGTAAACATCTGGTTGTTACCTAGCAGGTACTTTCTATGCTCTAGATAAAAGAAAGTACCTGCTAGGTAACAACCAAACACTTACCAGTAGGTCCATAATTTGGCCCTAAAACATTCAAATCAAGAAGCCATCAGTCACTAGGCTTGCATATAATTAGGTATGGCATATCACAAAATATATTAATCAGATCGATAAAAAAAAAATAGCAATACAATCAATGCATCACTTGCATTTGAAATTCTCTCTTCAAGAAATTCGCCAACTCGAGTAAAACCAATTCCTTAGTAGTGGCATTGGATAAGACATAAGTGAGTAGCCCTACGCAGTCTTCGAGCCTGACATTCTTCAGCGTATCGGTAACAGACTGGCTTAAACGCATCTTTTGATCGTCGTTCATTTCGTTGATGATTTCCACTACGGATTTGTATTTTTTGTTGCTCGATGATACTGCTAGTGCTACCGAAGAAACAGTACCACCAACGGCTAAACCTAAGGGTCCAGCTAAAATACTGCCCATAAAAGCTGCTAAGCCAACAAAGAGGGCCCCTTTACCAGACTCTACTATGGTGGCTTTTAGGTTTTCTTGTTCGGCTAGGACGCGGCATATTTCGATTATATTCGCACGTTGGTTACTATTTAGCATTGTTGTACTGATTTTGTGTAAGAAATAAAAGGAACGAGGTTTTAAATGATTTTGGGAAATAATAAAAAATAAAATAAATATGGCAGTGACTACTGCACTGTCCAGACAGTGTCGACTGAAAACTATCTTGACCAGACAGTGCCGACCTTAGACCGATAGTACCTGGGAGTGTCAATTTTCACAGGTCAGGTCGAGGCCAAATTTTTATTCGAGGGTGGCCATAAACACAAATGTTGCATACAAAATACAAACAGCATTTTCCCTACAAGCGTGCGCAAAGTAGTAGGTACTTTTCACGGAATGCGGAAGTGGAACTTTGAGTACGAAAATGCGTGCGGAAAAGTACTACTTTGAGCACGCTTGTAGGAAAAATGTTGTTTGTATTTTGTATGCGACATTTGTGTTTATGGGTAACTTCGAATGAATTTTTGGCCTCGACCCGACCTGTGAAAATTAGACTTTTAGGTACCTTGGGGCATTGAAAAAAACACTCATTTTGCGAACTTATAACAAAAATAATTATTAATACACTGAATCCCAGCAAGAAATGCAAGCCATTTTGAATATAACTGCAACTTTATATGATATGATAATCAAATTATCTGGTCAGTGCAGATGGTTTTTAGTCGGCACTGCAGATAGATTTCAGTCGGCACTGTCTAGACTAAGGTCTAGACAGTGCTGATAGATTTGATCGGCCCTGTCTGATCAGTGCAGATAGTTTTCAGTCGGCACTGTCTGGACAGTGCAGTAGTCACTCCCAATAAATATTTTTTTTTGGTTGGAGGTTATGTTTAGGTTCAAGTTGAGCTGACTTGACTTTATTACAGGCGTTTTCTTTTCGCCTCCACAGATGGATCCGGCTCTAAGGTCAAAAGTCAACTCCATTGGGATCATACTTTGTCCTAAGATTTCAGGAGCGTGTTCCAACTGTTATCGGCGCTCCTAGCTTGGAGCCAGTAAACTGTCGATTGATCATTTTGATGCATGCTTCTCAGTAAAATATAGCTATATGAAATAAGGCTATCTCTGGATTAGGTTTTTTTTTATGTATTTTAGATTTTTCTTGGAAGACTGAAAAAGGCAGCATGCGAAAACCCGAAAAGCAAGTCTGTCGAACATTCCAGTAACCGTGCGTTCGGTATTTTGATCTGAGTTCTCCTTACCGTTTGTTTATTTAAAAAGTAAAGCTCGGCGCAGGCTCATTCGCGATCGTTTAATAAACTTTCGAGCGCTGTGATACAGCGTTCAACTGCTCTCTGCCCTCGCTGGACCACTCTGCTCTGTTCTTGGCTCTACTCTTTGAGCAGAATATCTAACGCAAGGTTGGAATGTACAACCGCTCCTTAGTCAAGATTCTCAACCTCTAGTCGCAACCTATCGTATCGTCCCGACTTTCCCATTACCTTTCTACGAGTGAGCCGGGACGCTACGTATCGACTCCCCCCATAGGGAGGAGGCAGGAGGCAGGCAGATCCGGAACTAATAAATTAAACGGTTCTTATCAGTATTTTTTGGAGAGGAAACGTCAATAAAGATAGAGAAAATATCTCTATTTGTTAGAGATTTGTAGCCCTGGAAAACTTTATGACGTCATCTGGGGGCCTCAATGTAATGCAAATCTAGATAAGGCATCCTAGATGCGTCATCAAGTTACCCATTGCTAGACAACCTATGAACTCTAGGAACCTTGCGTCGTAGGTAATAAATTTAGCACTCATACAGAGCGTTGAAAAGCGCGCTTTTCTGAACTCGGCTAGGCTACACAAACACTAGCAGTTGAACGCTGTATCCGAGTGCCCGTAATTTTAATAACGGTAAATTCAAGCTCGGAGAGTTTATATCAAAATACAGGAAGCATGGAGAATTACCCATCGGCCTCGATTTTTGGAATCAAAGTCATATGACGTTGCACCGTTGCGGACGTAATCAACGGTGTCGTTAGCGGTTTGCGCCAGCGGCGTAGTTAAGAATGTGTTCGTCGATTTTTAACTGACACTTTCCGTATGAGGAGCGAGGGGATGTTTCATGTTTCATATGGCAAAAACAGGTGTGACGTCAGGTAACCATTTGAGCTCTAATGTAGGGAGCCACCAGCTCACATTCCGTCCGAGTATCAGATTAAAGTCGACGGACAATAGATTTACGATAAATATTATTTCATTTTTTTAAAAGTGTTAAAGCCGACATAACAGTACCTACTTCAGTAAAATAGGTAAAACATCAAAAATATGAAATATTTTACTTTTAACATTTTCGGTTCTACCACAGTTTATTTGAGCGCTGCCCGTCGGCGGTGACGTCACAGATCTCTGCAGAAGTGCTCCGAGAGCGATTATAGGTGAGTTCGGGTTGGCAACTCTTTTGACTCCTTTGACTTTTTTCACTGCAAAATCGTTCAGGTCACGCCACTGGGAGCAAATAATGCAAGCTCCTTATCGTTCGGGTACAGCCAAGTAGAGTGAAAAGAGTTAACCCCACAAGCACCACCTCGAGAGATGAAACTCGAGGAGCGGGCATGCGCACTTCCTATATTTCCAAAAGGCGGTGAAATTTAAGCTTTCCATAATTCGCTATCTTACGATCCTAACCTAAAGAGTTCAAAGAAGATATTTTTTGCTTAGGGCTTGGTTGTCTCCTGGGGCTCCTGGTAGAAAAAATGGCTTCGCTCCCCAAAATATCCACAAAAACAAACACGTTCCGGTTTGTGATGGGAATCGTTCTTAGTAATGAAAAAATGCCAATACAAGTAAAAATTAGTCAATATTTTTGTTTTTATATTACTTTAAATTAGATTATTTTATCTGGGAACAATTGTTTATTGTTTAATAACGGCTCACGGCATTCGCGCGCGATGGCGGCTAACCTTGCTCCCTGCGATGCGTTCGGCTTAACCATTTTACTCTTTTCACTCTGTGATCACGTGACTATGAAACTGCTCTTTATCCGCTCCAACTCCGTTTTGCCAAGCCGAACTCACCTTATAATTCAAACGAGGGTTATTGTTTTAATCCACCGGATTTGAGAGCAAGAAAGAGCGCTCCGTGCGAGATTTGAGAGCGTTCTATTGCTGAAGTCGAACCAAGGATAATACACATTACTAAACGAATTGCTTATCGATCTCATTTTTGGTAATCGCCGCCATACCGCGTGTTGCTAAATTCACCAAAACGGTGCACCGATTGGTGTATCACCATTGTTGACGTCATTAAATAAGTCGTCAGCGACTTCAGCTCTTTGCGCCAGCGGTCCTAGTTTAGAATTTAAATTTATGAAGAAAAATATTATTTAATTTCGATTAACATAATAGGCAAATAGAAAGATGCAAACGAGATCTAAAAAATAATGTTTTAGAAAGTTAATTATGCAGTAAAACCAAGTATGCATAAAGCGACAGTCCGCGGAATCATAACCTGTAGTGCAAAAGCCCGGGGTATCATAACCTGTGGTGCAAACAGCCTACGTCAAGGCGAGAAACGACATCCTGCCTACGCCACAACTGGTGAGTTGTCTTGGTGGGGGTGCTTCAAATTTGTTTTACACAGGCCTTATGAGGATAGGCTATCCTGTAGTAGTTGTGTGTATTATCCTTGAAGTTGAACACCGTTTTAAAGCCGGAGTCTCATGCATCCGTTTTTCGACGTCCGATGTACGAAAAACCTTCTATTCTGACATATTTTTATACGATCTGGGTTTGGCTGTTCTGCGCGGAGTTGGAGTGGAGTGAACAGAGCTATTGGAGTCACCCCTAATACGGTAAAAAGCTACACCCGAACCTTAACCCGATCTGCTGGAGTGCAAATGGAGTCACTCGGAGTGCACGGAGTGAGCAAGCTGAACCCACCTACTCTATCGTACCATCGGACGTCGGAAAACGGATGCATGAAACTCCGGCGCGGAACATGTAAATCCGTTCCGGATCACCTTTTGATCAATCGGGTACTCTGAAGTTCACTATTTGAATTTGGAATGTACAAGTCTCTTTAGTGCCTGTTTAAAATTGATTGAAACGTTAAATTGTCAAAGTTTTCTCTTGTCAACTCAACCGCTGTCAACCTAACCTATAATTGTGAGTGAGTTTGTGTTTTTCGTAGATTTTGATTTCAGCCATTTCATTATTGTAAATTACGGTGGTATAAAATAAAATGGTAAGTGCATATTAGGTATTTGATGCTTTTCCCAGAAAATTAAACTCAATGTCCAATAATTTAGGCTCGCCGATATGATACAAGAACTACTATTTTCTCCCCTGAAGGTAAGCAATTATGCAAAAAAAAATAGCCCCAATTATATTTATATTATTATTAGGCCGACTGTACCAGGTCGAATACGCTATGGAAGCCATTTCCTTGGCCGGTACCTGCTTGGGAATATTAGCCAACGATGGCATTTTATTGGCTGCAGAAAGGCGTAATACCAATAAGCTTTTGGATGAAGTTTTCACTTCAGAGAAGATTTATAAGCTAAACGAGTAAGTTCCACTTTAAATCTTCATCAAAAAAAATTTTAATGGTTCAATTTTTAGAGATATGGTCTGTAGTGTAGCTGGTATAACTTCAGACGCCAATGTCTTAACCAATGAGCTGCGCCTCATTGGCCAAAGATATCTGTTCCAATACGGACAGTCAATCCCTTGTGAACAATTAGTTTCTTGGCTGTGCGACGTCAAACAAGCTTACACCCAATATGGTGGCAAGAGGCCTTTTGGAGTATCAATTTTGTACATGGGCTGGGACAAACATTATGGCTACCAATTGTACCAATCTGACCCTAGTGGCAACTACAGCGGTTGGAAGGCCACTTGCATTGGCAACAATAGTTCTGCAGCAATTTCCAGTCTCAAACAGGAATACAAAGAAGGCGGCATGACATTAAAAGATGCCAAAACTTTGGCCATCAAAGTTTTGAGTAAAACTTTGGACATGACCAAGCTGACATCGGAGAAAGTTGAAATGGCCACTTTGACCAGGAGCAACGATAAAACAGTCACTAGTATTCTGACTGGCAAAGAAGTTGAAGCATTGATTAAGGAGTATGAAACAACTGAGGCCAGCAATGAGGCAATGAAGAGGGAACAATCAAAAGCTGCTGCTTAATTTTAATTATTATGAATTAATATAATCTATAATATGTAAGCATTTATTGAATAAAACTTGTCTAATTTTCAACCCTATTGAGTTTGAAAAAAAAAAATCGCTACCAAAATGTACTGATGATGACGTTAGGCGTAATCCCTTCGCTTTGAGATTTCGCACACTCATAGAAAAAAATAGAAAAATTAAATATATGTATATCGATATATACAAAATATCGATGTTTTTTGTTCGATAAATCGAATGTATCGATATATTTTTTTATTTTGCCATCCCTATTTGAGAGGAAAAGTTTTCTGTATTGCCAACCTGTGAAAAGAAAAAGAACAACAAACCACAGTCATAACCACGCCATTTTGCTTTTGTCAGTGTCACATTCATTCAATACGCAGTTGAAAATTTTCAGTGTTTTGAATTCAGTTTTTTAGTGGTTGCTTGAGTTTGATTTGTACAAAAGGTGAGTAGGAATCATAATTGCGTTTCCGAAATGCATATTTTCAAGATCCAACATGTGGGCAAAAGCAGGAAAAATCCTTTAAAATCAGCTGACTTTTGTATTCCTTCTCCTTCCTTTATTCGAAATTTAATTTATGAGTCAGTTCTCTATTTGTTCTAATATTAATATTATGCATATTTCCGCCCCCATAATTCAATTATCAAGAAATTGATTAATCACGCAAATTGACAAAGCTGCTTTGTTGTGTTATTGAAAATCTGATAAAAGCTTGTCTATAGGCTGGAAACAACAGATAAAGTTTTTTTTTTTATAGCGTTTCCAGATAATGGCTTCAAACAAGAAGGTTTTACTCAAAGTTATCATCCTGGGGGATTCCAGTGTTGGTAAAACATCTCTTATGAACCAGTACGTGAATCGAAAGTTTTCCAACCAGTACAAAGCCACTATTGGAGCTGATTTCTTGACAAAAGAGGTCACAATTGATGATAGGTATGTAAATAACTATAAGTTCGTAGAAGATCTGGTTTAATAATGAACATTATTTGATTTCAGGACAGTTACAATGCAAATATGGGACACGGCAGGACAAGAGAGGTTCCAGTCACTGGGGGTTGCTTTTTATAGAGGCGCTGACTGTTGTGTTTTAGGTAAGTAACTTTTTTTTGTAGGCTTATTTTTATTTATTTTTCTATTTTCTCAATTATTCACTATTTCTCCATTCCAGGACCCGGATCCTGAACCCACAATTCGATAGTATCGTCCATATAAATTACATAGACGATACTATCGAATTGTGGGTTCGGGATCCGGGCCCAGGATTTTAAATTTCCTCTATGTATGTTGTTTTAAGGGTGTCCCTGATCACCCGGATCTTCCGGTTGAATATTTTTTTTTTATTAGCCCGGAATTTCCAGATTATTATTATATTATTATTCATCCAGATTGTTTTTTTACTTGTTTACCAGTTTACCAGTAGTCCAGTACACTTATATCCAGTATTAAATGAACTGTAATGAAACTAACCAAAAATATGCAAACTAGCCCAAACTAACCTGTCCTCGTAATGCGTATTAGTCCTTGCATGAATTGAATTTAGAAAAAAAACAACGCGCTTTGTTATTAACTAGTAGCCCAGTACACTTATAACCAGTATTAAATGAACTGCAACGAAACTAACCAAAAATATGCAAACTAGCCCAAACTAACCCGTCCACGTAATGCGTACTAGTCCTTGCATTTATCAAATTTAGAAAAACAACAGCGCGCTTCACGCACTTTGTTATTAACCAAAAGTCCAGTACACTTATATCCAGTATTAAATGAACTGTAATGAAACTAACCAAAAATATGCAAACTAGTCCAAACTAACCCGTCCACGTAATGCGTATTAGTCCTTGCATGTATTGAATTTAGAAAAAAAAACAGCGCGCTTCGCGCACTTTGTTATTAACTAGTAGTCCAGTACACTTATAACCAGTATTAAATGAACTCTATGAGATATGAACGTTGAAAGATGAACTTTTTTGCGACTTTTTATGTGGAGAGTATACAAAAAACTGGTGTTTATATTTTTCTCTCCAGTTTCAATCCTTTTCTATCCACTTGAAAAATATCAATCCAATCCCTTAAACGTCCTTCTCTAAAAAAAACTAATTTTGCCCTTTGCCTTTGTTTTAAATTATTATAAAAAATTATGGAATTTTGAATGACGTACTTGATTGGTTTGTGGATTACCTGGATAACAGAAAACAAATAACAAAAATTGGGAACAATATATCAACAACAAAAACAAACAATTATGGCGTCCCCCAAGGCAGTACTCTTGGTCCATTACTGTTCTTGTTGTATATTAACGATATTGATTCGGCGATTCAAAATTGCTCTATACACTTATTTGCGGATGATACATTAATCTATTTTTTTTCAAAAGATCTAGTTAGCCTGATGCATGCAATAAATCTGGATCTTCAGCAAATTCAGTTGTGGTTCAATGACAATATGCTTAAGCTAAATGTTGGAAAAACGAAATTCATTATGATTGGAGGTAACAGGATCCAGCATGAATATAATCAGTATGATTTGAAGATAGAAATAGGTACTGAACGTGTAGAGGTGGTACAGAAGATCAAGTATTTGGGGTTCATCATCGATAATTCTCTTAACTTTAAAGAACATATCCTGTACATCATTGACAAAATATCAAGAAATGTAAATTTTCTGTCCAGGGTGTCCTCATCATTATCAAAATGGACCAAAATAACAATATATAATACCCTGATCTTACCTCACTTTGTGTATAGTGCAACAATACTATTTACTGCCAACAAAAATGAAATGAATCGCCTGCAAAAGTTGCAAAATAGAGCTATGCGTATAATATTGAAGAAAAGAAGGGACACACATATAGTTGACTTGCTGAATGGATTGGATTGGCTACCTGTTGAAGGGTTTGTCAAGTATCAAACAATGATCTTTATCTATAAAATAAAAAATGGAATTACACCTGACTATTTGACAAATAAATTGATCACCAGTGGGGACATTCATAACTATGCAACTAGAAATAGAGACAATTTTTATGTTGCAAAAAAGAATAAATCGCTTTCTGAGAAAGCAGTATACCATAAGGGGTTAATAATTTTTAATGCATTGCCCAATGAGATAAAGAACTTGCCAAGCATTGGATTGTTTAAGGGGAGACTTAAAGAATACTTGAAGGGAGAATGATGCAAATGAAAATAAAAAAAAAAATAAAAATTTGTGCTGTATCTGTTAATTCAGAATTGTCCAATGATCTCCACATTGTAAGACGGTAGTATTACTAGGTGAACTAATTATTATATCTCTTGTATTGTAATATTTATAGGATCAAATGTTTTGTACTAAATTAGATGAAGTCTAAAAAATAAAGCAATTATTATAAAGTCTCTGAACTCCTGGAACTTTTTATTTTTTCGCTGAATAGAAATAAACCTTTTTTGATTTGATTTTGATTCCTCTATTCATTTGCAGAAAAGTTATTGTTGAGGTTATTGTCCTTCAATCAGGGTTGAAAATACCCAGGTTTTTGAAATTTTCTATTGGGTTTTTGAGTGTTTCCAGGTTATTGTGATGGTTTTTGTGTTTACTTAGCTAGACAAAATTGTATATTTTTATAACTTTTTTTCTATTAAAGATAGAAAGCTGAAATTTTCAACGATTCTTATTCCAGTAGAGGACTACAATCCCTGAAAATTTCAACTCATCTGGACTTATAGTTCCTGAGATAAAATCGTGTTAAGCAATTTGGGGTGATTCATCAATTTTTCAATTTTTCTGAGTGCCTTTTTTCATAGATTTCGATAATTTAGTTTTTTGGAGTTTAGGGGATCACGAAGGACCATAAAAACACAAAATCTCAACAACAAAAAATTTGAAATTTCATCGTTTAGTAAGAAGGTAGCTAATATTCTGAAATTTCATAAAGAAAATGTCAAGAATGATGAAATTGTGATTTTTCAAAGCTGGGGAGATTCTCTTTTTTCCGTTTCCAGATCTTGAAAAAGAAAAATTAATTAGGAAAATTCATAAATTTGAAATAAAAACAAAAAAAAGAAAGCTCAAGAGCCTGGAATAGATTAAAATTGAGATAAAAAACATGCTGTCAATGAGCTGAATAGAAATTCATATAATTGCTATTTGGAATCAAACTTTGATAGTTAATAAAAATAATTATTTATATTATTTTACGCTGACCCTAACTGAGCTGTTTTAGTCCAGGTCAAGAACAATTTAATGTTTTATCAAATAATAGCCTACTGCTGATATTGTAATTTTGTTTGATTGTTTGCAACTTGATTCCAACATTTAATAAATTATAGAATATAGATTAGGTAGGTCTCAATTAATAGTAATCACCTAAACACCACAATTGATGGGAAAAACCTTGGGTAAACTATACATATAATGATAATATTTGTTATTTTTGACTCAGGTTTCCTTGCAGTCAGTAACTCGGTGAGTAATAAAAATAAACTAAACAATTATGTATATTATTATCAATTTATTTTGAAATAATAAAAACAATATTTTGGTTCAAGTCCAATAGCGCACGATGTAGGTACAATGTGTTGAAAAAACACTATTTTTTTTATACTACTGGTAAATGATTTCTTTAAGTTTCAACTAAAATCAACAAATTTACAAATAACTTTTTTGTATTGATTATTGATTATTCACATATTATTTTTGGTTCCAGTTTTCGATGTAACAGCACCAAACACGTTCAAGTCACTCGACAGTTGGCGAGACGAGTTTCTGATTCAGGCCGCGCCCAGAGAACCAGACAATTTCCCATTCGTTCTCCTAGGCAACAAAGTGGACTTGGAACCGAGAGCTATCAGTGCAAAAAGAGCCCAACAATGGTGCCAGGCCAAAAATAACATGCCTTATTTCGAGACTTCTGCCAAAGGTAAAATTCACTTGAATTTTGTCTCGATAATATAATTTTACTATTTAATTTAAATGTGCGTTTATCGATATTGTAGAGGATTTCAATATTGAGATGGCCTTTAGGAATATAGCAAAGGTCGCTGTTGAACAGCAAAAAGTGTTGAGACCGTTTTCTACTAGCGATATGCCAGATGTTCTTCGATTGGGAGATAGAAATATTGATCCTAAAGGATGCATGTGCTGAAATTTGGTATCGGGTTTATTTAAAAATTTGCTCAGAGCTTCAAAAAACTGTATATAATTAAGTAGCTTTGATGCAAACATTTATCATTTGAGATGAGAACATAAACTTACATTTTCAACTTGGGCGATTTTCTAGAACACTACAAGCTCCTGATGTTGAGCCATTTTTCCAGAGTCCAAAGACAATCATTTTTGTTACCTCCAACATAGCTGTGTTTTCAATTCTTGTCGGTTTTTTCCTATCAGTGAAATCAAGTTAGTTTTCTCCTTCCTTACAATTTAACATCTAAAGGTTTTGTTTGATGTTATTTCCAACTTGAACTTGTTCTAAAACCATGAAAATGAACATATTCACATAAAGTTCTTGTTAATGGCGACCAAAACTAAATTATTGTACATTACGTGGACGGGTTAGTTTGCATAATTTTCTGATAGGAACCAGAACAAATCTATACCCTTATTTCTGTAGGTATATTCAGTAAGTAGCTTTATAATATCTCTTTTCCTCAAAGTGTCACATGGATTTTTAAAATCGAATAATTAAAAATCATTGTCATCCATTAGCTTTTCAGAGACCAACTATTCCATGAATCAAAACATAAATTTAATTTGTAAATGGACTTGCAATATAAATAAACATTATCCTGTAAAAAAGCTTAAAGCTTAACCAACCATCCAACAAATAGATCTGGAAATTGAATTTCTAAATATTTTCAGAGGGTCTCAATGTCGAACAAGCCTTCCTAGCCATCGCCAAAAACGCACTGGCGCAACAAAACCAAAGCGTCGACCTCTACAACGAATTTCCTGATCAGATCAAGTTGACTAACACGCAAAAATCAAACGGCGGCGGAGACTCTTGTGCATGCTAGGAGGGATTTTCAATAAAAAGGTTAGATACTGTCTGTCTACTCAATCTGATTGGTCCAAATCTGATCGGTTGGTTAACATTGTAATTATAAATTAGAAAGTTGTGATAAGGATATTATTATTTCTCTTGATTGCGCAGATCTTTTCTTTAATATTGCTTATTTTGGACAGTAATAGTCTGTTAAAACTGATGTTAGAAAAATTTTATTTTTATTTAATCTAAAAATGTGATAAATATAAGATTTTTTTTTTTGTTTCGCATAGAGTGTTTGTAAATTAGGGGTATTAGGGTCGCTTTAGAAAAAAACTATAAATTATTACAAGGGTGTGAGAAAAAAGCCCCCTTGCCAATTCTAATTTTTCACACCTATAAATAACTGATTCACTATTATAGTTTTACGTTTGTTACGCGATAATATAATTTATTTTCTTTTAACTAAGCTTAACATGATTTGTTTGTTTAGCTAGAAAATTTGGGGACTCTACTGGGTACAGCATTATTTAAATAATAGATATGTAACTATTTTTTTTATGTAAGATTTTAATAGATGTTGCAATGTGTTATTATTCAAAGGTGACTGTATTTTGTGTAAAGGACAAAAAATAAGGTAAGTAATGGCTATATTTGTTAGAGAATCTAGTTTAACAGCAAAAATCTTATGAGGCATTCATAGAATCAGTGAACCCAGTTTTGATACTTTTATGAGATAGAAAAACACTCCTATTTTCTCTTACAAAGATGGACTACTTGCATACAAATATATTAATTTTTTTACACAATATAACGTTATTGCTTTGGCTAGTAATGTATTTTCCATTTCAGTTCAGTAACTAATAATAGTTGAAATTATTATTTATTTTTGAATTAACACGCATATGGGAAATTTTAGTTGTTGGTTGTCAACAACCTTTTTCAATCAATTCAGTTTTGGGCTCATCATGGAATAGAGGTTTCTCGAAATTAAATTTCCCATCCAACATGTATATAGGTATAGCTTTACTATGGATTATATTTAACATATTATAATTATTATAAGTCCTTAATTATATTCAAAAATTTGTATAATACCAAATAAAACAAACTGAAATATAATTTTTGTGTTTTTATTTACAAAATCAATTACATGCAATAAACAAAATATAAATGTTAAAAATGTATAACTTAAGATGTACAGGGTGTCCAAGATTCGATGGTTTTTGGGGGGTTTCTGGTATTTCTAAAGGAGTTGGAAAAGATCTGATCCCCACATGCGAGCCTCAATTTTCAGGAGAAATCGTCTGGTGAAAACCACATCTCGATATGTTGAGTCGTTTTTATACTACGAGGGATTTTTGAAAAGTTTGGAGTTTGGCAGGGGGTCTATAACTTTTTGTAGCTTAAAAATGAATCGAGATATCGAGATGCAGGTTTCACCGGTCAACTTCTCTTGAAAATCGAGGCTCGCAAGTGGGGGTCAGATTTTTTCCAACTCATCCAAAAATACCTGGAACCCGCCAAAACCAGCGAATCTTGGATACACAGCAGCAAAATTAGGAGAACGGACTAAATTTACACTAAGTTTGACATCAATTATCTCTTGAACCCTCTGCTCGATTTCGATGATTTTTTCACAGATTGTAACTTGATTCTTCAGCATAAGCGCAACTAGACTCCAAATTTGAGGAGTGCTGCAGCACCAAAATTCTTTTTTTTTTTTTTTTTGATGGGATTTGTCCATTGAGGGTTTGATGGAAAAGAAATGAGACGCGTAAAAAAAAGTTAGTTTTACAAGGGTTTGTACTTATGTCATCATTTGCCTTTTTTTTTGAAAAATAGGTTTTTTTATGTCTGCAATTTCAAACAATGATTATTTCGCTTCGCGTCGGGAGACAACACAGCGAGCGCGGAAATCTTACTTTTTTCCCATGTATAATACACAGTTTTTTTCTGTGACGGGAAAATTTCAACATTTCCCATATATACATTATTCTCTTTGAGAAAAAAATTTGACTGGTACCTGTTACTTTTTTCCCGTGGGGAAAAAAAAAATAACTTTTTTCCCACGGGAGAAAAAGTGACATTTTTGCCCCTGTCAACAGGTACAAAAAGTCTACTTTTTTCCCGTCACAGAAAAAAACATATTATAATTCGTTGCACGGCACGAAGGTTTTTACTTACGTCATCAATGATGTCATAACTTAGAGAAAAAGTTAAGTCGTAGATTAATTCATGGAGCACCTTCGGAATTATTGTTTTGTAATACATTTTTTAACTTAGAATAGAGTTTATTCAGTTATCCGAAAATATATAAATAAATTTCTCCAGGAGTAATTTTTCACTGGAAAATTTTGAAATTTTCCTCTAATAAGCTCCTCACTTTCCTCTTTCTCCTGTAAAAATTTTTCTCGTTGCCAGTTTTCCAGAAAAAAATTTAAATGTAAGCGGGTAAATTTTCCTTAACTTTGCTTAAATAAGTCAATTTTCCAAAATTTTTCCTGGAGTAATTTTTCACTGGAAAATTTTGAAATTTTGCTATAATGAGCTCCTCACTTTCTTTTTTTTTTCTAGAAAATTTTCACAATTTTCCTTTTGCTTATCCGAAAGGAATTAAAATGTAAGAGGGTGAATTTTCCTTAATTTTGCTTAAATAAAGCAATTTTCCAAAATTTTTTCTGGAGTGATTTCTCACTGGAAAATTTTCAAATTATGCTATATAATGAGCTCCCCATTTTTTTCTTTCTTTTAGAAAAATTTCACATTCTTTCCTTTCCAGTTTTCCAGAAGAAAATTAAAATGTGAGAGGATGAATTTTACTTAAAAAAGTCAATATTCCATTTCTGTAGATTTCTCACTGGAAAATCTTGAAATCTTCCTATAATGAACTCCTCACTTACCTCTTTCTCCTGGAAAAATTTCACAATTTGGGTTTTGCCAGTTTTCCAGAAAAAAAAAAACTGAAACGTGGAGGATGAATTTTCCCTAATTTTACTTGGACAAGTCATTTTTTCAGAATTTTTCCTAGAGCGATTAACTATTGGAAAATTTTGTAATTTTCTTATAATGAGCTCCTGACTTTCCTTTTTTTTCTCTTTTGCCAATTTTCCAGAATAAAATTGAAATGTGAGAGGATGAATTATCCTTAATTTTACTTGAAAAAGTCAATTTTCCAGAATTTTCCCTAGAGTCAATTCTCACAGGAAAATCTTGAAATTTCCCTATAATGAGCTCCTCACTTTCTTCTTTTTCCTGGAAAATTTTCAAAATTATCCCTCTGCCAGTTTTCCAGAAAAAAATTAAAATGTAAGAGGGTGAATTTTCCTTAATTTTGCTCAAATAAGTCAATTTTCCAGAATTTTTCCTGGAGTGATTCTTCACTGGAAAATTTTGAAATGTTTTTATAATGAGCTCCTCACTTTTTTCTTTCTTTCTTCTCACACATTTCAAAGTTTTCCTGGAAAACTAGTGAAGAGAAAATATTGAAACTTTTTGCATGTAAAGAAGAAGGTGAAGAGTTCATTTTCACAAAATTTCAAATTTTTCCAGTGAAAAATAACAACATAAGGAATATTGGAAATCAACCTACAATAACTGGATTAATTGAAAATACAGTCTCACACATTTCAAAGTTTTCCTGGAAAACTAGTGAAGGGAAAATTTTGAAACTTTTTGCATGTAAAGAGGAAGGTGAAAAGTTCATTTTCCCAAAATTTCAAATTTTTTCAGTGGAAAATAACAACATAAAAAATCTTGGAAATCAACCTACAAAAACTGAATTAGTTGAAAATACAGTCTCACATATTTCAAAGTTTACCTAGAAAACTAGAGAAGGGAAAATTTTGAAACTTTTTGCATGTAAAGAGGAAGATGAGAAGATCATTTTCCCAAAATTTGAAATTTTTCCAGCCAGATTTCTAGAAAAAAATTAAAACGTAAGAGGGTGCATTCTCCTTGATTTTGCTTAAAAAAGTTTGTTTTTCAAAATTTTTCCTGGAGTGATGTTTTACTGGAAAATTTTGAAATTTTCGTAAAATGAGCTCCTCATTTTCCTCTTATTCCTAGAAAATTTTCAAAATTGTCCCTTTGCCAGTTTTCCAGAAAAAAATTAAAATGTTTGAGGGTGAATTTTTTTCAATTTTGCTTAAATAAGACAATTTTCTAGAACATAATTGAGATTTCAGTCATGAAAAAAAAACAAAGAATCACCCTTTGCTGTTTGTACATGATATTTAGGAATACCCTGTATAATACGCCGTTAATTAATTTATATATTTGGGACTCCAATGATATTTGAGCAATGACTTTAAGGGCCAGTATTTCAATGTCACCTTAAGATATAGAATAAGAAGTGGCACAATTAGCGGGGGGCTGGGAGGGCTTAGCCCCCCAAGCACAAACCCGATGGTCACAAACATGATGGTAATGACACAAATTAGCCATCCGCCTTCCCAAACCCGAGCAAGCAGATCCGAGTCGCTTTCCAGTGACGTACTTCAAGCACTCCTGAGCTGCTCTAGAATGTCCTGGACTGTTTATAGGCATTCCAGTGCATGAGAGTTTCGCGCAACTGAACTGTTCGTTTTTCCTCTCCACTGCCTTCTCAAGCACCTGCTATTTTATGGGGGCATCAAAAATACGAAGCTTAAAGTAGGGTGCGTTCCAGTGACACACCAGTTGTTTGGACTGTTTGGAGCACCAGAGTATCAAGCTACGGGTGTGGAGCACCTTAAAATTCGTCACTGGAAAGCGGCTCTGAGCGCGGTACAGTCCAAACCGACATGTTCTGCAACGTAGATTATATCGAAGAACAAAATTTATAGCAGAGTATTTCCGTCAAAAGGCATTTGTGAAATACGTACAGTTGCGATCAAAAAAAAAAGTACTACAAGAAAAAATCTTCAAAATCTCCTGGTCTATTATAATTAATTTAATTCATAACCAAAAATGACATATTTTTGGCATTTTTCGACAAGTTTTTAACCTAGAAAGCTCCAGATGACATTACTTTGGCATTTTCCCACCCGTTTACTGTCAAAATTTTGTATGTTACACCGGGAGCTCAAATTGGGGTTAATAATTTTTGTACTACTTTTTTTTGATCGCAACTGTACCTACTGTAGTAAGTTTTGAAAAACATCATATACTGTCACCAAATTGACTTATGGAGACCCGGGGCCGGCTCAAGCCCCCCCAAAATCAACAAGCTAGTTGCGCCCCTGAGAATAAGAATAAACATAGACATTGATAACATTGTCTGACCTTGTTCGATGACGTAATCCTAAATATAACATAAAAACCCTATATTTTAGGGTAAGTTTTGAATTTAAGGTAATATTGTAATACCGGCCCTGGTTGAAAACTATTCCATAATAATAATTGCGAACGTGCTCTATGAATTAATCAACGACAAATACTTTTTTTCTGAACTATGACGTCATTGATGTACAAAGTAAAAAAAGTGCAACAAAAAAAAATAATTTGGTTGAATAATTTTTTCATATTAGTGTTAGGTAGTGCCACTGTAGGTAGTTCTATGGTGGGATGCCGAATGGGAGTGCTAATTTTTGCTTTAGGGGTGCTTATAGCACCCCCCTAGTTGCGCCTATGGTTTTCAGGAATACATCTACCGTTATTAAACGATTCCTCTTTATATCATATACGGGGATGGAAAGAAAGTCAGTAATTTTCAGAGTTTTTTTAGACACCCTGTGGAGTGAACCACTGGAAATTCAGAACAGTTTTCAACACCAAATTGTAGCCTGATCTATTCCAAACATTTTAATTTTTTTCTCACTCTGATATCTTCAATATTATTGAAAATATAGTTTCGAAGAAAAGTTGGATATTGACCTTAATTTTCTGCACGTCGACATACGAATTGGATATAAAAATGTTACGTTATTTCCAACCTCAAGTCGTGTGTGTAAATGCTTTTTTCAAGTTAAATATTGCTCACAGTTTTACCGATCAATTTATTGTGAAAAGATTGCTCACAGATATACAGGGGGATTGGAAAATGGAAAGACTCTTCCATGATTTCCATTTGGTGGAATGTTATTCATCTAAACTAAACTCTCCCTTCACACTTCTTAACCAAGGCTTAGGACTTCTCCAATTTATCCTTCAACAGACTTTGGGTGTTTCTGAAAATTACTGACTTTCTTTCCATCCCTGTAAATGATGTAAAGACGAATCATTTAACAACGGTAATACGTCAGATGTATTCCTGAAGAATCGAGCTACAATCTATGAAAAATTTATCGAAATCGAGCGGAAGGTTCAAGAAAAAATTGATGGCAAACTTAGTGTAAATTTTGTCTGTTGTCTGTCTATCTCTTTTTCTATGTATGATAGAAACTGTCCCAGTTCTTGAGCTAACACAGTGTCCAAGGACAACATCAAAAGCATATTACCATCATATTATCCATTATGGATATACAGCACACATTCTACTGTTTCATGGCATAGTCAATGAAATCCATAAACTTAGCAACATCCGTAAACACAACATAATGTGAAGAATCGCACCTGAACTTATTCTGAAGTGCAACACTGATCGAAACCAATCCTCTGATTTGCCAGACCGGATTGTGCTTGTCGGAACCGTTTTTGGGCAGCACCAAACCGCCTCCAGAATCACCGTTACACACCGACGTACCTGAGGGATATGTTCAAAACAAATCTTGTTAATTGTCTTTGGTTTGGTATTCCAGATTTCATTTTGGATGATGAAAATGGAAGTGATTTTTGTATTACATATTATATTTTACCATTTCTAAATCCAGCGCAAAAAGTAGTACTGCTAGTAAACCTGGAATAAAAGTCTGGAAACGAATAGATGCAGGTCTCTTGAGAAACTATAGGCATGTGGGCTTTGGTAAGTTGTTCTGTTACATGTCCTGTTTCATCGAATCCCCAACCAACAACACTTCCTATATATAATATTTCAAAAATTACAAGTATAAGTAATAAAATACAAAATCTTACCCATTTGATTTACTACAAATTCCAAGTTTGATTGGCCTTCCCACAAGCAAACCGGTCTCACGTAGCTAGTAATTTCTGCAGGTTCAGTCAATTTTAAAATGGCAATGTCGTTGCTGAAACTTTGCGGATTGTATTTCGAATGGACCATTATTTTATCGACGCGTTTGTCTTGAATCCCAGGACTCCTCCAAACTTGCAAATAAAACTTTCCTGAAAATGTACATACAAGTTTATTTCATTGAGGAAGTTTAACAAAAATTCACCTAAATAGATGACTAAATTGTCGGCATTTATTGGCATTTGACTTTTTTTCCTGGTCACGCAATGAGCCACAGTAATCAAGTGTTTGGTGCTGATCAACGAGGCTCCGCATATGTAAGTCAAGTCGATACCTTGGGAATGGTAAATGGCCGAGTGCCATGGAAATTCTCCTTCTTGCGTTGCTTGGCCGTGAGTTATGAGAGGTCTTGGTTGTTTCTAATATAAATACAATCAGTTAGAAAGTGACCACAAAATAGTCTACAGTTTAGGATCTACCAATAGGAAAATACAAATATTCTTTTACTTACCACCACTGTCCCACAAGTGACGCTGTCGAGTATAGTTGGTTTTGCGGCTCCCGGTTTTAGCAGTTCAAAGTAATCACCACGGAAAAAGTCATCGGTTTCAGAGTTTGATCCCGTCCTAAATCAATTTATCATTAATCTATGAAGCAATCATGACTTATGTTACCAGAAACTATTGACAATAGGTTTCTTACCCTACAGAAGGTCGGTATGTTGCAGTCGGTAGCATTCCTCCTTGACTTGGAAAGGATTCTTGCCCTACAGCTAGCGGATCAATCATATCAGGTTTGTTGGTAAAAAGATGAGTTCCTAGAGGAGCTTCTGTTGCCTGGCCGTTTTCAGGACACTTGACGCTAAAAAGGTTTGGTTTATTATCTCAGATATAATCCATTTCCTCTGTCTCTATTTAAATTCTGTATTTGAGGTCTATATAATAGTTTGTACTTACACAGCATTCAATCTAATACCGACAACTTTTGGTATGGGTCCCTTTGGATCGTACCGAATGTAGAATTTAATTTGCAATGGTGTTTTGGCTTTCAGTTTGTGTCCTGGGTTTTTGATCAGGTAGCCGAACTGGTTGTCTCTGGTTTCTACTTCACCAAACCAATTCTGTAAAGAAGTAAAATCAGATATTGATGAAGTTTTTTTAATTTATTTCATTATTCCAGGCTTTTGAATTTTCTTTTTTTTTTTCCTTCTGATTCTCCTTACATATTATCATTCCAGAGTTTTATGCATGTTTTCGTTCAGTAGGAAGAAAAATAAAGACTTGGAAAGACATAAATTAGGAATGAAGAGAAACTTATATTGAACTCAATGTTCTTTATATTCCGAGTTGGTGTTTATTACAAACTGGATATTTTGTTCATGTTCGTTTAGAAAAAATGAAAGTTTTAATAAACAAAAGTTAAAAGAAAAAATAAGAAATGAAGAGACAATCTCCCAGACAGCACAGAGACAGCTTAAAAACGCCGCTAAGATTCCAGAAACGACATTTAAGACGGTTTTTAGACATCTGCTTACGTGTATCTTAGGTATCTTGAAGATATCGTAGACGTTTTTGAATATCTTTTTAATACATAAACCATTATTCACTTTTAGGCCAGGTTGTACCAAATAGTGTGGCTCAGTAGTCGTTTTTAAGACGTGAGTCACACCTATAAAATAAGTAGGTACCTAAAGATGAGCCAAAAATAAAAATTCAAGATAGAGAAAATTTAAAAGCCCAGATAGCACACAAAGTCTTGATTGAAGACGTCGGTTTTAGGTCCGCATTGCGTCTGAACGTCTGAAGACCAAAAAAAAAACGTCTAGAAGACGTGCCATTAGACTAATTTTATATATGCTTTCGTTTAAAAAAAGAAACAAAAATCGAGAGCTTGTATAATAGACAAAAGGTTAAGACCGCGAATAGACAAAATATTGAATAGAAAAAATTTGAAAAAAGAGAAAAAATTCAGTGTTTGAATTATCAATACTCTGTTTTTACTTCACTTATTTTCTTATTCCAGGCTCTTGATGATTTTTCTTCTTTTTATTCCAAGCAGCTCAGGTTTAGAAAAAACAAAAATTCAAGAGCCTGGAATAGACAAAAGTTGAAACGAAAGAAATGAGAAATGAAGAGGAATAATTTAGGAAAAAACTGTCTGGGAATGGTAGACATATTGGCCTGCAAGGTGATCTGATCGAAGGCTCCCACATTTTTTATTTATTTTTTTTCAACCGGAATTTTACTAAAATTATTGGTTTTGTACCAGAGCTGTCACAGTACTTGGAGTACAAGTACAAGTACTCAAAGTTTTATAGAAGTGATTGAAATACAAAGTAGGTACATATTTTTCTCAAATGTACTCCAATTACCAAGTATACTTAATAAAAGTACTTGAATATTTCAGAGTTTTTAACTTGAAGCACAATTGAAGTATTTCAAGTATAGATCGTTTCACCAGGATTCATATTTGACCTTGAAACTTGAAAAAAAAGGGTTGTCGTAGATTAATTCATATGACACATTCAATTTTTTTAACAAATTAAAATGAATGACTTCTGGTTCAAGAACCGACGAATGTTTTTGACGTCATTGATTTGTTTCAGTCAATTTCTATTTGTTAGAAAAGGAAGGCAAATTATTCCAAAAGTATGAACCCTGTGAAACAAAGTTTACTTGTACTTCAAATACATTATAATGGCGTCTTTCTCATAAATATAAAACATAAACATGACAATTTTTTTATTTATTATTTTTCTTGGAATATCTTTGTCAAAAATAACCAACGACCCAACAAGCAGCCTCTAATATCTGTGTTACTTGAAATATTTAAAAATATAAAGTACTTCAAGTCGAGTGTAGTTGAACACTTTTGAAGTACCTGGTGATTGTCTATATTTTGCACCCACACCTATCTCACCTGTTTGAAGACTGAAGAGATACCCAGAAATGTTAAAGGTGGAAGTTGTAGGTAATATCAGAAACTTTGCAATAAAGTTATGTACAAGTACACAGGGTGTGTCACAAAAGTGTGGCGAAGCAAAGTTATGCTCTTTAAATGGATCACCTCATATATTATTGACCCATTGGATTAGCCTTTCAAACATGATTCCAAATATACTAGGCTTTTTAGGTTTATTCCTAATTGTCCGGGAGAAAATAAGAAAAAAAGGAGTGGAATAATTGCATTTTTATTGAAAAAGATGAAGTATAGAGACCACCAACAAAATATAAAGGTAATCATTCAAGTAAAAAATCCATATTATTTCTTAAATGGGATATTCAGAAGCTGGACTATGAGGAATAAACCTAAAAAACTTAGTATATTTGGAATCAGGTTTGAAAGGTTAATGCGCAATAGGTTGATAACTCTGTCGATAATATCCGCGGTGTTCCATTTAAAAAAGTATAACTTTGCTTCGTCACACTTTTGTGACATACCCTGTAATAGGCAATCCAAACCACATGACATTCAAGATGGCGTGGCGGCCACACATGGATCAAAAAACACAAAAAAATATCTAGTCAAAACTCGAAGCAGAATAATTAAAATATACATGAAAACACATTCAAAATAAACTTGCTTGCCACCACGCCATATTGAATTTTTTGTTTTGACAGATGGATGGGATTGCCTACATGTACTAACTTTATTGTAAAGTTTCTGATTTACTATAGGTCTGTTTCATTGGTTGAACCTAGTTTGCTGACTGTTTCTGACTGTCTTCAATTTCAACTAATGAAATTCGCTCTGACTGGTTTGTGATTTCTGCAGAAACAGACCTAATACAGCTTTCACACTTGACATTTGTCTCTTCACAAACAGGTGAGATATATGGCGTGGGTGAAATATAGCCACCACCCGTTACTTGCAATACTTTCATTGTAGTTGAAGTACTTTTCAATGTACTTCAAGTCCTTGTACTTACCGAGAAATCAAGTACAATGCAAAGTACATTTTAAAAATAGTTCAAGTACCCAAAAGTCTGTCGATTTTAATCTTTATACTCGAAAGGAATGTGAGCTGGTGGCACCCTACATTAGAAAGCCAATGATCACCTGACGTCACACCTGTTTTATCATATACTCCACCCCCTCGCTCCTCATACGGAAAGTGACAGATTGAAAACGACGGACAAAATATTAACTACCGTTTATCCACGAGTAAAGTACTTCAAGAACTTATAAGAACTTGGAGTACAATTTCAAGTATTTTTCTTAAAGTACGGGACAGCTCGGTTCTGTATCAAGAATGATCCCAAACTGCCAAAAAATTTATAAAAAAAACAATAAAATATACGAACAGGTTCTGTGGTCGTATTTTCGAATTCATTCGAGTACTACATTTCGTACACGAAATTTGACTGACAGCTGTCAGCAATGTAAATTAAATGGGGAGCATTCGAAATCGTATTAGTTGTATTCCTTTCACACCTAGGAGGAGCTCCGGAACAGCTCCGGGGCTTCACGCACTAAAAGTGTTTGCTTCACCACGCATCTGTTCCCTGCAAATCGGGGGCGACTAAACACCGGAGCGAGTAGCTCAAGTGCTTGAAACTCTTGAAAGGAATACAGCTATTGAATTTCGTATGCGAGAATATTCAAAAATTAGGCAATTCAATCCATCTGTCAAAACGGAAAATTCAATGTGACGTGGCGGCCAAGCAAGTTTGTTTTGGATATGTTTTTATGCGTATTTTAAATTATTTTGCATACAGTTTTGCTAACAACTTTGATTTTCATTATTTAATAAAATATGTGTTGACTAGGTACCTGAACTATTAATTCCGGTAGAAACTAGATATTTTATTGTGTTTTTTGGCCCATGTGTGGCCGCCACGCCATCTTGAATGTCACGTGGTTTGAATAGGCTCCTTGCATCAAATTTTTTTATTGCGGATTTCGATAGTCCATGAAAAATAAGTCAACACGTGTTTTTTCTTTTTCTTGTGAGTCAAAAATTGACGGAGATACAACGCTTTGAAATGTCCTTCCGACGTCATAACTTAGGTGTAATACGTTGTGAGTTGTGACGTCGCACATGCTCAGTATATCTATATATATAAAACTCAATATTTTTTATAACTTCCGAAATAATCATATTTTGACAAAATAGAAAAACACGCATCTATTTTTTTTCGATTTCCTACAGTTTGCAATAAACAATAATCAATTTAATTTTTCATGCAAGTACCCTATTGCCTAATACGAGATCCGAACATTTATTTTAACACCAACACGAATCGTGTCTTTGAACGCACCCCTAATAAAATGTCATTCCCGCGGTAACCGTCAAAAAATAAAAATGTGAGGTTAGAAAAAAAAAAAGAATCAAACAAAAACAAACCATCCACGGAAATACAAACGAAAATGTTATCAATTTGTTCGGCGAGAAAAATCGATTTATCAAATCTCCCCGAGCAACAACAAACATTCGACTACAAATAAAGACACGCAAGTGGCACAAGGACATGATCTTGCTTTGTCGCGATGGACGCCAGGACGCAAAAGTTGGAACACCAACGGCAAATTTTCGAACAGAAAATGAAGATGAAACGGCTACCGTCGTCGGGCATGGTCCAGGTTTCGGACGCCCGCAGCAATTCCGGGATAAGCAGAGATAGTAGCGGGAATGGGAGAAGGGAGCTGCACGGGTATGATGGTCCTTTACAGTATGCCATGGGTCGGGACAATAATCCTGATCAAATTCTAGTTATGTCATCAAGTGTAGATAGTTTTGGTAAGAACAGTTTTGAACTTTTATTTGTATTTGAGGCATTGCTTATGAATCTTTAGTGCCACCTAGAGATATCTTTTATATGGAATTGAATACCTAATGAAAATTATGTAACTATTAATGGGTATTGAATTTCAACATTGAATTTTATTTCTGGCATTGTCAATTTAAAGTAGATACAATAATTATTAGGCCCAGTTATTCTTCTTCAGATAAACTTGTTGGTAATTATCTGCAAGATATTTAACAACATATTTAAGTGTTCATGAGATGTCTTTATGCAAAAGATATCAACAGATTTCCCTAGATTACTTGGGTTCCCCGTTCCTTCTTTGATTTCTTCAGATTTCCTTAAATCTCCCAATATTTTGGCTAGATCTCCCTAATTTTTCAGGGATTTCATAGAATACTAGCACAAGTGCACAGCCTGGACGCAATTCCTGAGGTCTTCTCCTTAACACAACATGCACATTTTCTCCTCATCTATTACTTTCCTGGCAATATCAAAGCTACATTTATTACAATATGAAGTAGGTATAATGTTTTTATTTCAGTCGAGATTTCAGTAGACAACCTGGTAACATGATAGGTATCTTCTCAAATATTCTCAATTATTCAATAGAAAATTAAATTCTGAATGTGTGCATGGTCTCACTCAGTAAGATTTCCCTCAGATTTTCCCAGATATTCCTCATTTCTGTCATAGATGTCCTCAGATATCCCCAAATCTCCCCAGATTTCCTTAAGATTTTCCTGAATCTTCCCAAAAAATCTACACACAACCCCATTTTGAAAACCCAGTGGGTTATAATTTTCCCTCGAATTTTCCTATTCCATGCTTTTGAATTTGTTTTACTTAAATGTTCATAATTTAGTAGTCTGAAATAGACAACATTTGGAATGAAAAATCAAAGTAGTAGAGAAAGAAAAACTACTCTAGTACACCAACATTCTTGCTCTGGATTCAAAACTTGGCTTCAAGCTTTATGCACCAATGAAGCTTCTTCTCAAATTTCTCTCTGGATTTGAAGCTCAGAAAAAATATGAGCACATCATAGAATCTGATAGTTAAAGTCGAGGTTAAAGTGCTCAAAAACTCTATCTTTGTCATCTGAGCTCTGAGCTTTATTTTAGCTCTAAATTTGATAAATCTGAAATACATAACTGTAAATAAGATGGGCCTATAGGATCGGAAACTTTTTCTTGAAAATTTAATTTTTATAATCCTCAAAATCTTCTCCATTTAAAATACACATGACATTGTTCTGAATCTGAGATATCTGGAAATATAAGCAAATCACAAGATCTGAAAATAAATTTAAAGAAAACTTAAGTTAGGATTTATAACATTTAATTCCCAGACTATTCACATTTTTCCCATTTATGCTAAACAAAATAAAAATCCTAAGAGAAATAGTCTAACAATATTAATCAAACAATTATTCTTAGATACAGAACTTTTCTCGAGATAACTAGTAGTAGTAGGTAACATAACTGAAAAAAAAAATTGTGCTACTGAACTAACAAATAAATATACAATTTTGTAGGGTTAAGTAAACACAAAATCCTACAAAAATACAAAAACCATTACAAAACCTCAATAGAAATTTTTAAAAATCCAGGGTTTTGCCAACCTTACTCTCAAATTCCAAACCTCCCAAGATTTCCCTGAAGAAAGAGTGGTTTTTCCCAGTCTTGTTCTGTTTTTCATATTATACATGGGTAAATTTTACAATCTATCTCGGTTTTGAATTTTTTGACTTATTTCCTCATTCCACCATGATTTGTCACCCCAACTTTCTTTGACTACTATTGTTTTTTCCTTGGTTTTTTTCTGGTGCATATTTATCTAATACATGTATGATATTGTTTGCTTAGGTGTCTGATAAATGATTAACATTGAAATAGTTAGCCTACAACATATTCATAAGTTCTAGCTGAAATGTTAGCATACCTATTCATAAAATTATAATTTCTGAAATTTATTGTTTTCTGTTCTCACAGAAATAGAGATATCATCAGGAGTTTTCTCTCGACTGGAAAATCCTATTATGTTTATCCATGATGGCATTAGTAGGTAATGAACCTAAATTAACAGTATCATCGCAACACAAACTAAACTTGTTCAAATTGTCATATTCTTTATACAGTGTGTTTCAAAAGTCTGGAAACGGTCAAATATTCCCATAGCGGCTTGAAATAAAATTACGAAATTTTCTGCAGAGGGGTAATTAATGATGCCCGATTCAATGATGACATGGACAAGGATGCCAAGTTTACCGGTTTTTAGATAATGTAGGTAAATTCGTTTTTTTAAATAGGAATACCACTTTATTTTCATTGCAATAAATTCGGCGCTCTTTTGTTGTTAAAACCTCTTGATATCGTGTCCCTATTTTACACGGTTTCTGTAATGTTGCGCCTTTTTGTTCAAAAATCTAGGAACGGTCAAATTTTCAAAACGACTAAAAGTAGGATTACATTTTCTGGGGGTCAATTCGAGATTTGAGAAAATATTACCCCAGGAAAATATTTTATCTATCTCTTTTAATAATACCGGCAAAAATGACACTAAAAAAACTGGTTGTCGAGTATAAATTGATATTTCATACAGGGTGTATCAGGTTTGACTACAAAAGTTTAAACACTTGAAAATATGGCCCATTTTTAACAAAAAAGTTTTTTACAACATGACGTCCAAACTCCATTTTTAAATTATAACAATTTTTGACAAATATTTGAAAGATAAAGAAAATTTTAATCATTATGAGATCTTTTAAAAAAATTAACTCATTCAATTATGAAGTAATAATGCATTTTTGGTCAATAACAATAATAAAAAATTGGAAAAACATGAAACCTTCACTCGTAGTTCGGTAATAATATGTTCATAAACGTCGAATATGCAGATACTTGTTAAGGCAGAATTGTTGCAAAATACTCATTTAGCTGCCAGAATTTACAGGGAAAGATTTCCCAATAGAAGGGCACCCACCTGATGAAAGAACATTGTGCCCGTTTTACAAAGACTGCGTGATATGTAGGGTTTCCATAAAGGTTTTTCGGAATCCAGGACCTAGGAGTCAAGAAATCCGGACAAAATCCGGACTTCGTCGATAAAATTTTTATAAAGGATGAATTTTGTTTATTTTTTGCAAAAAAAAAAAATTACAAAAATTAATAGATATGCTTTGAGCATTTTTTCCGTTATACTGAAGACATAATGACAAATACAAGGTACCAATGACAAGAGACAAAAATATAATAACACTTGTGTATCAAAATCAGGGATGATACACACTACTACTACAGGATGGCCTATCCTCATAAGGCTTGTGTGTAACAAATCCCCCCCTACCTCTCCAAGCCAAACAATTAGTTGTGACATTAGCAGCATGGCGTTTCTCGCCTTGACGTAGGCTGTTTCTGTTTAAATAGCTGACGACTTAGTGTATGTATTCTCCTATTTCTCCTTGTATCAAAATGGCGACCAAATAATTGGATACAGGATACAATTTACTTGCCACCCCAGGATACAATTTACTTGCCACCCCAGGATACAAAATTAAAATTTCGAATTTTTGGTAGGTATCTCCCAAGGAGAATACACACTCTTGAGGAGTGCTTATCGGCCTTGTTTTGGGTAGTTGCCGACATATTGGTGTGAAACCATTTCCGACGTCATCAGCTGTTTAAAAAGCTTACGTCAAGGCGAGAAATAACATGCTACCTACGTCACAACTGGTATTTGGGCGAGGGGGAATTTGTTACTCGTTTGTTACACACAGGCCATATGAGGATAGGCCATCCTGTAGTAGTAGTGTGTATCATCCTTGGGTATCTCCGAGTTTTCCGGACACTGTTCCAAATTCCGGCTGGACTTCCCTGGACACCCTAAAAACCCAAACATGTCCGGGCAAATCCGGACGTATGGAAACCCTAGTGATATGGGAAGTGTAAGTGTGTAAAATTTTTTCTCTTGAATGTTCAGTGCAAAAATGTTATTGAGTGCGATTCACAACTTAATAAAATGGCACATTTTTTATTTTCACTAAAAAAGTGATAAAAATGCAAATTATTATTTACATTATTTGAAAGAGAATAACAAACCGAAACGTAAACAGGTGGAAATAAATGAAATGCTTGCAAAAAAATAGAATTTACCAGTTTCATTCACATTAATATCCTGGTAGAGATTATCTCTACAGTGTTGTCACGTTGTTAACATTTTTTTAAATTTAAATTTTGCGATAATTCCGAAAATACCGAGGAAAATACTAACAATTGACTTATGATTAATAGCCTCAATAGGACAGTCTTAGCTTGAAATAGGTCATATTATTGCATGTTAAAATATTTGTACTCATACCTGTATTGTTTGACAATTTATCAAAACAATAACATGAAAGAATACATGTACGCTAAAATTTAGAAGCATTTGTTTATTCTCCAGTGGGAGAGGTAATTATCAGATGTGTCAAGTTCCTTCAAAGTTTTGTCAAAATGAATTTCGAACTGAGTGAATCCCAGTATATCGATATTTTGATGCCATCATTGAATTGGGCATCACAATAACCTCTCTTCATCAAATTTTGAATATCCTATTTTAAGCCTTTGTCAAAATACTTCACCGTTCTCGAACTTTTGAACAAAAAGTCTGTGTTGCTACATTTCAAAAACCGCTTGAAATGGGGATTTGAAATCAGGAGGTTTCTCTTACAATAGAGTACCATAATTGTATTAAAAATAAGGTGGTATTTCTATTAAAAAAAAAAACGAAATTACCTACATTATCTGAAAACCTGTAAACTTGGCAACATTCTCGATGTCATCATTGAATCGGGCATCATTAATTACCCACATGCAGAAAATTTCGTAATTCTATTTCAAGCCGCTCTGGAAATATTTGATCGTTCCCAGACTCTTGAACAAAAAGGCTGTGTTGCAATATTTCAGAAACCGTGTGAGATAGGGACATGATATCAACAGGTTTCAATAACAATAGAGCGCCGAATTTATTGTAATGAAAATAAAGTGGTATTCCTATTTGAAAAAAACGAAGTTACCTACATTATCTGAAAACCGGTAAATTTGGCAATATTGTCGATGTCATCATTGAATCGGGCATCATTAATTACCCATATGCAGAAAATTTCGTTAATCTATTTCAAGCCGCTCTGGAAATATTTGACCGAGTATTTGACCGCACCCAGACTTTTGAACAAAAACTCTGTGTTGCCATATTTCAGAAACCATGGGAGATAGGGACATGATATTAAGAGGTTTCAATAACAATAGAGCGCCGAATTTATTGCAATGAAAATAAAGTGGTATTCCTATTTAGAAAATCGAAGTTACCTACATTATCTGAAAACCGGTAAATTTGGCAACATTGTCGATGTGATCATTGAATCGGGCATGAATAATTACCCATATGCAGAAAATTTCGTAATTCTATTTCAAGCCGCTATGGAAATATTTGACCGATCCCAGACTTTTGAAACACACTGTATACGCAGCTAAAATGATCTTTAAAAGCTCCACAATTTCTGCAGATGAATCTGCTTTCTTATCTTCAAATGTCATACAGTTGGGAAAACCTTTTCAAGATCTTATGTAACTCCAAAACCCATTTTTATCCTGATGGGGGATATTGTTTGCACCGACTAATTTATTTCCAGATGATACAATGGTACAGGATCTCACTACAAACAACATATCCGGCAGCGACCTTTTAGACGTAGAGGACGACGAATCTTCGCCAGTATCGCCCAATCAAAATGGAAACCTTGCAGTGCCCATAAACCCAGTTGGAGATTATTCCGACTTGGACAATGGTAATCAGGAAGGCACCAGTGGCCAGCTCAATTCTAATAATCTAGAAACTGAAGGGGATTTATCAAATGATGATGTTGCAGCATTTGTTCTGGAACCAGCGCCACCAAGAGTAAACAGATTTCATTTTATTTATTTAATTCAACATATTAATTTTTTTTGGATATGTAGGTCTTATTTCGTTGCCGGATAGCTAGAGATCGTCGCGGCGTCGACAGAGGTCTCTTTCCCACTTATTTCTTGCAACTGGAACGACCCAGAGGCAGAAGAGCTCTCTTATTGGCTGCTAGAAAGAGGAAAAAGAGTGCCACTAGTCATTACGTCATCAGTGCAGATCCTACAGATTTGTCACGCAGGGGCTCAGGCTCAGTAGGAAAATTGAGAAGTAACGCCCTAGGTACTAGATTCCAAGCATGGGCTGGTAGAAGTGGAGGTAAATTTCTTCATACACATTATCATCAATATTGTTTTGAATATTTTTAGGCAATACAAAATTAGATGATGAAGCTCTAGAGGGTCCGCCAAAAGAAGAGCTTTCAGCCATACTCTATGACGCCAACGTTCTAGGTTTTAAAGGCCCCAGGCGCATGACAGTTTTGGTACCGGCACTAGCCGAAGGACATCGCGCAGGTCCGGACGAACCTCTGGTGGAAGCCTGGAAATCTGGCCGTACAGACAGATTAGTGCTGCTGCGCAACAAAACACCTGTATGGAACGATGACACCCAATCGTATGTTCTGAATTTTCACGGCAGAGTCACACAGGCTTCTGTAAAGAATTTCCAAATTGTGCACGACAGCGATCCGGAATATGTTGTGATGCAGTTCGGGAGGGTGGCTGATGATGCTTTTACCATGGACTATAGATATCCGTTGTGTGCGCTTCAGGCTTTTGCCATAGCTTTGAGCAGTTTTGATGGGAAGTTGGCTTGCGAATAAATAGTTTGAAATTGTCTTTGAGAGTAACAGATAATGGACAGAAATAAAATCAGACATCACGAGGCTTCTTTTTATTTTAGTTTGAAGATTTGAGTTTATTTGCAGTTTTTACCGATATATCTGTTACTAGCAATGCACGCCAGATGTTGCCAGTTAACTTAAATGAATGATCTGAGATACCAGTATTTTAGTATGTAAGCTTTTTGATTGATATAATGATATTCTTCACACATCAAATTTTTTGATCTGATATCTGTAGAAGGAATATTGTTTTTGTGTGAATTGACTATTTATGGATTTGATAACATTTAAGTCTACACTGCCTGAACGCTTCTGAATGAAACTTTACAATAATTATACAGGGTGCATTGGTAGTTTTGAATTTTCAAGAGAACGTTTAGGCAGTGTAGTAGCATTATAATTGTTGTGCCTTTTAGTTATTTATAACACGTTTAGATGACATTGATTCCTATATTTATTGCAGAATAAATATATTTTTAACAAATTTCATGTACTTAAAGTTTATAATAATTGCAGTTGATTTTTTCAGCAAATGCTGACTGAATCAGTTGATCATTTTGACAAATCAAATTTGTGCCTTGTTTGTTGCATTTTATTTAAAGATGTATCATTGAAAACTATTGGTAGCCTTAGCAATAATCAATATAATTAATCACTGCTATGATATAATGTAAAATATCAGGTTTAAATATTGTCTTAATCGAAGTAAAGTGTTGTTGAAAGATTTTTATTTTCAGGGCACTTACTGTAGAAAGAAAGTTTTATATTTTTTGTAGTTTATTTCAAAAATCAGCCCAGAAACTTGAGAAATAGTTCAGTTACTTTTCAAGTAGAATAAATTTGTAAGATATAAAAAAATCACATGTTTGAACGGAAGGGATATATGTATTTTGCTAGGATTCTGCATCATTTTTCTGAGAATAACTAAGAGTTGTTTCAAATGCAAAAGGATAAATGTACAAATAAACTCTATGTATTTACTTTGGTACCAAACAAAAGTTCCACATTGTTACTCAATTAATTTAGTTCCAGGTACTTAAAGCTATTTATGAAAGTCAAATAACAACTATTAGATTTTTTTTTAAATATGCCTTTGTTTAACATTTGTATTATAATATTTTCCAATATGCAAGGAATTTGGATCGTACATGAATCGATTTAATTATGATAAATGCAACTTAAATTCTACAACAGTAGGTATTTAAGTTCATGGTATTTGTATGAAACATGTTAAGAAGCTACGAAAATAAAAAAAATATATGCAAATTGCAAGCATTGTTTTCTTCCAAAATGAAAATAAATATGTCAAAACGTCTGGTTTTCTTATAAAGAAAGCTATAACATACCTAAAATTATTCTATATATCTTACAAAAAAATCCACTGAAGACTTTGTAATGTAAATAACTATTGGAATGACTACAATTAGTTTTTGAAATTCTAAAATTTAGATATAATTTATGAAAAGGAAAGAAATAGATAAAGGTACTTACCCCTAATTGCATACTTTTCGCATCCAAAACGATCCGGAACCAAATGCCGGTCAAATCCTGCTCGGACGTCACCGTGGCCGTACCGTACCACCTATCCGGTTCGTTCGTTTTCTGTTCGTACTGAAATACATTTGGACAAGGAGAAACGAGCCGTTGGGAAAATACCGTGTCCGCTGAAAAAACCCACGTCACGATCGTCAACCAAAAAAGATGCATAATTTTGAGTTGATGTATTTCGGACGACCCGTCAATCTGGAATGGTCAATATTATTTTTTAAAACTTGTTTTATAATGTGTGCAGGGACGAGTTTGCAATGTTTGTAAATATAGCTACCTACCTGATTGGTAATTACTTACATACGTATATGCAAGGTTTGAAAATTTTCAAAAATTACAGAAGTCTTCTTAGAAAGTTTTTATTATAATTTTATTTCCTAGTTTATGTATAATAAGAAATACATATACCTCCAACAATTACTAAAAAATTTAATTATTTGGATTTTCTGTTTTTATTTGTATCCTCTAAGAAAATAATTCCAAAGTCGAATTTTCCAATTTACATTAAAATCTGTGGTTTTAAATTTGACCTGTGTCTGTTGGTTTGGTTTGGGGCTATGTAATTTTAATGTCAGAAAATTATCCGGAATTATAATGCGCAACCAATAAATTATTGTTATAATCGCTTTTCTTCAAACAACAGTAATTTATTTTTCAAATTCGTATTTATTTGAATATATTGAATATAATAAGGATCACTTTAGTTGCCTGGCTTATGGATATCCTATTTTAAAGTGATACTCACCTGTTGCAGTTGGTTGAAGAGAATCAGAATAAGTACAAAGTATCTATTTGAGTATTAATCATCCAAGTTGAACAACTCATAAGTCAATAAACAAAAATACTTCAACTAACAATAAAACCAGTTCTCAATAATAATAATTATGTGTATTTTAGTTTTATTTTTTTTGGCCAATTGATGGTGACACAGTGACGAGACGAATTGGGCATAAATAAAATATCGGAGCCCAAAATTCTAGTCAAAACAACAAACCGCAAATGATGTCTGGGTACTAAGAGATGGTCATATGAAAGACCATAATATTTGCTTTAAAAAAAAAAGAAAGAATTTCCCAAAGTAGTCAAGTAGCATTCAAGGCGATTGGCGAAGAACTAATTTCACGGCCAGGAAATGTGGAATCCCCCGGCTTCTGGCGTCTTCGAACGGTCATGTGCGGTCAAATCAATCTGCCATGGTCATGGTCAATAATTGCTACCCTTTTAGTAACTTTGGCGGCGCCACATCTTGAGATCATAATCTATATTCCCTTCCCTGTCTCATCATAAAATTGGTATACAAATTTAAGCATATAAATTGACGCAACAAAGACGTTTATCAGTTTATTCTGATTCTTTCTTTACTTTGGCTGTTTTCGTTCAAATAGGCAACAAGTAATAATCTGGAATTCCAAAACATTGCAAACACTACAATCAGTATTCAAGATTCCTAGTCCAAAAGTAGTCGAGCATTTTGAAGGTCGTACGTTGCACTCTTGCAGTTTGTTTAAACTGTGCGATAAGCACACAGTTGAAATAAATTAAGTAATAAATATAGTCATTAACTATGTAGATAAAGTATTTTCTTGAAATTCAAGTAAATTAGTGTATAAGTACTTTTAAAATTTTTAATAATTTACTGCAGTGAGTGTCGAAAAAATGTCGAAATTAGTTAAAGAAGACGACATCCATGTTATTCATGGGTCAAAATCTCATGAACCTCTATCAAAAGAAGCTATAGGAAAAGAAATCTGCAAAACCTTCCAAAGCATGCAACAAGATGCTGTAGCCATGGTACTTAAATATTTTAATTTACTCACCTCACAAACTAACAGTAGGTAATTATTTTCAGATAGATGTTTTCACTAAAGAAAAACTTCTTTACTCAGAACTGTTCCAAAAGTCTGTAAATTTAGCGGTCAAATTAAGACAGCATGGTTATTGCGGACAAAATACAATCCTGGCAATTTGCAGTGAAAATTGCCTTGAATTTTTCACACCAGTTTACGCCTCACTTTTCAATGGTTCCATTATGGCACCCATTAACCACTTGTATACGCCCCATGAGTTGGAGCATGCACTCAATATAAGCAAACCTAAACTGGTATTTTGTTCTGCAAGTGTTCTTCCAAAACTTTTACAGTTAAAGAAGCAACTGAATTTTGTTGAGAAGTTTATTGTGTTGGTAATAGTGTAGCAGCAATTTTACAATTTTGGCTTTGTTTGATTGTTTTTTTTTTTAGAAAAGCAATAATACTTTTGCAAACACTGAAGATGTACAAAGCATGGACGACTTTCTTCAAAATACAAATATTTCAGTTTCAACTTTTAAACCATTTGAAGGAGTTGCTGATAATATGGCTGCCCTAATTTTATGTTCATCTGGAACCACTGGATTACCTAAAGGGGTGGTTCTGTCACACCAATGTTTAAACGTTATATTTAACTATAGCAGAGATCCTCGATATAAAGCTGACTCAGACACACATACCAGTCTATGTGTCCTTCCATTATTCCACGCTTACGGTCTGATGACATGCCTCACTGGCTTTTCAATGTCCCGCACGATAATCTTGTTCAAAAATTTCGATGAAGATATTTTTCTGAAAAGCATTCAAGACTACAAAATTAATTGGTTGGGCGTAGCGCCACCTTTGGTGGTTTTCTTTGCCAAAACCCAAAAGCTTAACCAATACGATCTCAGCAGTCTTAAAGGTTTCTATTGTGGTGCTGCTCCTTTGAGTAAAACTACTGAAGAACAAGTCAAGAAAAGGTATACAAGTGACAATATTTTTGCTTTTAAAAAATAAATAGTTTGTTTATAGATTGAACATAAGCGGTATACGCCAAGCGTATGGGATGACGGAAACAACTTTGGGCGTCACAGGGCTAGACTCTGACGATATGCGTTCTGGGTCATGCGGAAAAGTGCTAAGTTCAATAGCTATCAAGATAAGAGATCCTGAAACTGGACGATCTTTACAGGCTAATAATGTTGGAGAAATTTGTGTGAAGGTAACAATATTTATTGATAATAATGTCATGGTTCATTATGGTAACTGATGTATTTAAAACATTAATTCTTGGATAAGCGTGGCCTTTTGAGCTTATGAGGGCAAAACACTATTCAATAAACTGCCTTTAAAGATACGACAACTTAGTACTGCATGTAGAGGTGAAGAAATCTTTGACTTATTTTTATTATTAGTCTGACAGCAGGCGGAAAATCAGAAAAAAATGCCACTTTATAATTATAACAATCAGACTTCATAATGTACAAATTCGCAATTCACATGTGTAAGGTCTCTATCCAGTCTGTTTTTGAAAGTGTTCAAGGATGGGGCATCCACAGTGTCTTGGCTGAGTGCGTTCTATACATAGACTACCCGGTTGGTAAGGAAGCTCCGTCTAGCAAGCTTCGCGCATCTTACGTTTGAGTTTTTTGGAGTGTCTCCTCTAAGTATCATTTCGCCTCTCTTACGAAGATATCCAGTTGGACGCTATAGTATTCAGACATGATTTTGTGGGTCTGTATTAAGTCGGCTTTTTTAAGGCGTTCTCTTAGAGTGGGGATCTTCCCTGGAGCATCGAATTTCATACAGAAGTTCCTTTAGTTCCGCTGATATTCGTGTTACACGGCGCTATACGCATCAGTCTTATTTTTATGTATCTTCATAATTGTTGAACAGGAGTGATCCTTAAATGCCTTTTGGACAATATATATGAAGGTGTTGCTCTGTTTACTTTTCTCGCGATGTGGCTTTCCCATTTGAGATCATTTGTCACTACTCCAACGTCTTTTTGGTGGTCAACCTCTTTGAGGGCTTTTTCAAGGAGGGTGTATTGAGTATTTGGGTTGTTTGGACCGATATGCAGCAGTGTGCACTTTTGGACATTCAGCGACATTAGCCAATTTCCAGTCCACACCTTCACAGTCCTCAGATGGACCTTTTGGGGGGTGAAGTCGATAGTGGTTATGGAGTTTACAGTGCATGAATTATCAATAAGTTTTGGCGTGTTGCCGTTGGGCTCTATATTGAAGACTTCCACAAATTGCCTAATGAACACTTCTGAGACCAAGCTAGGGTGATGCACCAAGTCTCCCGCCTGGTTCTTCAGTGAGACGTGGTTGATTCTTGAATTTAGTGATCTTGATACATATGAAAAGAAGTTTTTTTCACTAGCTGTGGCTATTTCACTCTCACATTCTTTTCTAGCTTCAGTAATTAGCTATTCTACTTGGTTATTTTGTGCCCTATATCTCTCATAGTGAATCGTGGTTCTGTTTCTAGTGTAGCAGTCCCACAAAGAGCGATTTTTCTTGAGAGTTTTAAAGATGTGGCAAGTCAACCAGCGTTTGTGTGGATTGTTTTCGACGTCTCTGAGAAGAATGCATTGTCCAATGTCCAATACTGTTATTTATGAGTCAGTAGCGTTGGTCGATATCAGGGTCATTTGGGAAGTTGTGGAGGAGAATTCGTTGACATTGGTGAAACTGCTGCCAAAACTGTCTTTTTCTAGTGACGTGGGTAGCCTTGAATAGAGTGGTAATCTGTGTATTGGCACTTATTACATGGTCGCTTTTTCCCAGGGTTGGTTCAGCCTCAATACAGGTAACCAGCTTGGAATCACTAACCAAAAACAAGTAAGTTCCAGCCTTGGTTACATAACCTGGTGGTCGGTAAATGCAGGCAACTACAAATTTGACTGTTCCGATGTCGATATGTAGCCATATAAACTCTATGGTTGGTGGCATAGACCTATCTATTTTACCAGACAAAGAGGTAATTATATGAAAACTTCATTGGATAAAAAAAGACACAGAACGCTCATTGCGCAAGACGAGGCAAAACGTACCAAGTTATGTTAGACTTACGTATAGCAATCCGTTCTTCTTATTTGCACAGGATAAAAAAGGAAGGAGAAAGACTGCAAAAGCATTGCCTCGTGTTGCGCGCGCATACCAGGTAAAAATAGATAGGTCTATTGATGCACTGCACTCCTTCAATTTGTGACTCTGGATATCTATGGTACTTATTTTTTTCTTAACATATACACAGACTCCCCCGCCTCTTTTGTTTGTTCTGTCTTTTCTGAATGGTTTGTAAATGTCAATACTAGTAAGGAAATCATTAATCTCAGACTGCAACCATGTCTCACCCACCAGTATAATAGTTGGTTTATCTCTTATGGCAAGAATGCATATTTTTTTTATAGCGCATCAATCTTGGTCATGAGCGCACTGGCGTTGGTGTAATAAAATGTGGCTTCTATCATTTCCCCTCCTCCACTAGTTTTAAAGCACTTGTAAAACTTAACAGTTTGAACAAGTTCTTCATTTCGAGTGCCATGTAAACCATATCTCCAAGAAAATTACATCTGGAATATATGTACTTAGAAATCTGTGTAGGACCACCAATTTGAGTGTCGCTCTAATGGCCTACCATGCTCTGGTCCATTCCGTCATTTGCTATGCTCTGTTAGCCTGGGGACATTCGGCTCATGCCTCTAGAGTGTTTGGTTTGCAGCGGAGGGCAGTGAGAGTTCTGGCTCATGTCGGATATCGAGATGACCCCAAACAGTTTTATTGTGATTTTCAGATTCTAACAGTACCATCACAATACATTTATGACTGCCTACTGTACATGCACCGTAATTTGCATAATTTCGCGGCTCTGGGTGAAACACACCATCATGATACCAGACATCGCGACAATATTAGGATTAATTTTCTCAGACTAGGAACATCAAGGAATGCAACACTTTATTTTGCTCCTGTCTTTTATAATAAGTTGCCTGTCTCTGTAAGAGAGTTGACAGCTCAGCGATTCAAGTCTGTAGTTAAGAAATATTTGTTAGGCCAGATTTTTTATCATTATAGGGAATTTCTGGATAGGGATGTTGCTGCTGACTTTGATCTACTGTTGTGACACTGTGTTTTATTTAATTGTTTAATTGATAAATTAGTATCTATGATAAATGACAAATGTAAAAATTTATAAATTTGTATACATGATTATTTAATAAATTGAAATTGAAATTGAAATTAGATGTGAATTAACGTTCTATGTATTTTGACCATTCTTTCTCAGCATATTACGATTTGATTTGATATTCTAGGCTCCTTGTGTAATGATGGGTTATTACCAAAACGAGCAAGCAACCAAAGACACCTTTACTCCTGATGGTTGGCTAAAAACCGGTGATTTGGGTTATTACGATGAAGAAGGATATTTTTATATTGTCGATCGTTTGAAGGAGCTTATCAAATATAAAGGATATCAGGTTGCTCCTGCTGAACTGGAATCAATATTAATCAATCATCCGAAAATCGATGACACTGGAGTGGTAGGATTGCCAGACGAGCTGGTTGGCGAAAAACCATTGGCTTTTGTGGTTAAAAAGGCTGGAGCTGATATTACTGAAGCTGAGATTAAACAATTTGTAGCTGGTAAGATATTATTAGCTGGTTGCGTTTTTGTGATAAGAAAAACTGATTTTAGGTTTTGTATCGCCTCAAAAACGTCTCACAGGTGGTGTGATATTCCTGGATTCAATACCAAAAAATCCAAGTGGAAAAATCCTTAGGAAAGAGCTGAGGAAAATTATTAAAAATACCTTAGCATCTAAGTTATAAATAGAAGATACTTATATAAGAAGAAAAATGTAATACTTTTCAACAAAAAGTTTTCTTGAAACTAAATAAATACTGGAAGTTCTCCAAGAATCTCAATGTAACAGTAGTAAATTTTTCTTCTAAACACTAGGTTATACCACAGCATGCTATAATGTCATTATTGAAATTACTAGAAGAGAAGGGATTTCTGATCATAAATACCTGCGGTAAAGTGCTACTTTCCACATGCAAATAAGTGCGATAAAGTGCACTTTACCGCACGCTCATGGGTAAAATTTTGTTCCTCATACAATCATGCGGAAAGTATCTTTACCACCCTTCAACAGGTCGACCAAACTCCGTTTCGCGTCGTTTCAAAACGTCAAGATCAAAAACATTTCAAGGCTTGTTTTCTATATAGGTTTTCCCCAAATACAAACCAATAATTTATTTTAACAACTTATCTATAAAATATCAACTACAAACATCTCTTAATTATGGTATTTAATGGGTAAGGACCCATCTACCTTTCAAAATCCTATTCATGATAATCCTTCTACCCTCTGGAGTGCTCATACGTGTTTGCCAACCGTGTCTCCTGACTCTTTTCTTTTCGGACGGTCTTGGAAAGTGGCACCTTATGACCGATCTGGTAGTCACATTAAATAGACCTCCGGCTTTTTGAGGAGCTTCACTTTGAGGCATTTTAGACGAGAGTAGGTGGAAATTTGAGCTTTGTTGTGCTCGAAAACCCAACTTACTAAAATTTGAAGTTTAAGTGGGCGTTTCAAGGTTGATGAGTATAAATTAAACTCACCTAGTGTTGAGTAAACCGCTAAATAATCGTCCAACTAAAGACATTATTATTTGGAGTTTATGTGAAAGTGAAAATGTATTTTGAAATAAAATATCAAATATAATTTTCTAACCTCACTTTCCAGCTTCTTCTTTTCTTTACAAGTTGAAAAATTCCTTTGATGAACGCAACCTGATCCGCATTTGTCCACGTGTCACAAAAGATACGGGACGAGTTCGGAGTAACTCCAAATTATTGACAGTCGTGACGTTTTTACCATATTTAAAACAGCTTAAGGCTTGTTCCCACGAGGCGATTTTTGTTGATCAACTAAAATCGAATCGACTTTTCGTTTCTCCCAAGTTTCAATACTGAACTGATAGTTGAGTTATGAGTTACTGCATGTAGAATTAAGTAGCATGCTAGAACACAACAAAAAAAGAAAAAAACGACGTTGAGAAGAAATTAGATTTTATGGCAACTCTATGGTGTATTCCTTTCAAGAGTTTTTTTAAAGCACTCGAGATATTTACTCGCTCCGGTGTTAGTCGCCCCCGATTTGAAAGGAACAGATATTGAGAAACCGGCCCATAGAAATTTATTTTACCATTCCACAGACAGTGATGCCAACTCGAATAAAAATCGTACGATAAGTCATAAGTTAAATGATGAAGTTGAATTGGGTCAAACTTTTGTTGAAGCGATTTTTGTTTTGTAGGTGTAGGTCCAGGTTCCTAAAGCTCATAGGTTGTCTGGTAATGGGTAACTTGATGACGCATCTGGAGTGCCTTATGGTGATTTGCGTTATAGTGAGGCATACAGATGACGTCATAAAAGTTATCAGGCAACCTCGTTAAAATCGCTTTGTGGGAACCTGCCTTTAAGGTTTTTCCACACTGACAAGTTAGTGACAGTGACTAGTGACAACTAACATTGTCATCATGTATATATAACAAAAATTGAGGTTAAATCCTTTTTATGGGTGATTTTCTATGGGCAATATTTGGATAATTTTGGAATATAAGGATTCTCTAAATGTAAATTACATAAAAAATGGTTTTTTTCTGTTGTAGTGACTGCTATTATATTTTAATTAAAGTATGCATCGAGCGTGAGTGGTCTATAGTGTTTAGATGATGTCAGATTATGTATTGTTGTTAGTCGAGTAAAGGAGTCAATGTAAGCGAATAGAAAACTCAAATAAAATGCAATATTTCCTTATTTCAGAAGACCTGTTGCAATCAGAGGTTGTAGTGGACTTTGAAGGGCTAAAAACTTAGAACTTGGGACATTTTAAAGGAAAAATTTGACTAAATTAACACCATGCAAAGGAACCACCGAAGAAGTTATATGAACCCTCAAATGGGCGAAGACATCTATTTGGCCCAGTATTTGGCTAGTTCCACCAGAGAAAGGTTGCAACAGGAATTGCAAGGTAAGAATTTATATTAAAATCCATGGGTGAAATAAGAAAAATCACCTTTTACTACATATTTCACCACACTGTAGTAGTGAGTTGCGTTCTTAAACAGAAATTTAATGTAATATAGCATTTAACTAAACTTAAGAAGTTTGTCTTATGATAGCCAACACTGGTATTCATGCAAAAATTTAATTTAAAATTTGATATAACTATTGAACTGGATGTCAGTCAGTGCAAACAAAACTTGTTTTCCCTTTAACTCCTAATTTAAGTGCCTATCTTCCCTCCTATTTAAAAAAAAAGTTGATTTATTTACAAAGAAATATATCTAATTAAATTCAATTAAGTAATAGTTATTTACATTACAAGTGCGTTTATGAACATGATTACAATAACGAGTGTGAAAGATTAGAACCCTAATCACACGAGTTTTGTAGTCATGTTTAAACACACATGTGATGTACAATGTTTTATCTGCAAAGCGAAAAATAAGAATGTTTATTCCATTATTTCCGTTTATTAGTAGATAGATAGATAGTGTGCTTTATTGTCATAAAAACATTACAATTTGTTTGGTGGACAAAGCAAAACTTAACAACTAACAAAACTATTTAAAAACCGTCAGAAACAGTAAGAAAATTTAACAGCTCTAATATTTAGCTAAAGCACAGTATATTAAAAAAAAAAATAGACTGTGCTTTGCTGACAGTTACAATAAACGGTAAGAATAACCATCTGATCAAATAAAATTACACATTAATATTACCATTAAATTAGTTTTAAATAAGACAAAAAAAAGACACCATAGTTTACACAAACTTTAAAAGTCGAGATTAAATCTAAATCTAAATTAATCTTTGGTAAATGTCCAAATTAATATAATGAAAAATATAAAAAATAAAAAATATATAGGTACTAGTAGGTATTAGTAGTTGTCTACCTTCATTTTACCTTTACAGGTTTACCTTTGACATTTGTCAAATCACCAAAAATAGTTGTGTTATAGATTCATAACCTAGTCCATAACACCACTAGTTGTGTTATGAATTCATAACCTAGGCTATAACGCAACTAGTTATGTTATGAGTCTCATGACATAACTCAAATACCAGAAAAATGATTATGTAAAAACGTCATAACCAAACGCTTGTCGATAAACTCAATTTATCTACAAGCGTTTTTAACTGAAAAATGCACTCGTGCACTCGTGCTCTTTTTCAACTAAAAATGCATTCGGGCAAATTTCCCAAAAATTATCAATAATTTCCATTGCACTCGTTATATTACTATTGAGAATTTCATACATCTGTCAACTGGTATTCCAACAATAAATTGACATGTTTTGATTGTTGATTTGAAAAAAAATTTAAATTTTTGATTTATGAAATTCTCTCATTAAATACAACTCGTGCAATAGAAATATATTTATAATTTTCGACAAATTTGCACTCATGCGTTTTTAACAAATTTCCCAAAAAATATCAATAATTTCCATTGCACTAGTTATATTACTATTGAAAATACCTTTCACCCTATCAACTGTTTCAAATACTCTTTTTAAGTCTAGAAACATGGTCAACACAAATTCATCTTTATCTTAAATTTTTTCCCACATTTGAATAACTTATTAACTCTGTTGACTTGAAAAATCGTTGGAATAGAATAGATGTCTCTTTATTTATTACCATGGAGATGTCAAAAAAATTTCGAGAAAAATCAAATAACAACTGTTTGGCTATTTGTCAAAACTAACTTCATTCAAAAATTGAAATAAGGATGCAAGAACATCAAGGCAGGACAAGTCCAAATTCTCTGCTCTCTTTAGGTCAGCAAAGAACTTGTATTTTAAATTGTGTCAGCCAGTTCTTTCCATAATTTTATCCAACAATTAATTTGGTCAATAAAAATTTCTTAAAGCCTACTTATAGGTTGTTGATTATAAGCCTAAACAATTAAAAAAAAAACATAAATTGTAATAATTATTTCAGAGCGAAGGCAACATCCATCAGGGCGATCTCCAACACCGCCCTTACTAATATCATCCAGAGATAGGCATTTTTCCGCCTCTGACTCATCTAAATCGAATGATCGGCGCCGGATTGTAGAAGTAATATCATCGCCTCCCTATCCCGGAGAAGACTACGAAAGTTTAGAGAGGAGGAGGCGAAAGAAAAAAGAAAAGAAACACAAAAAAGAGAAAAGGACCAAAAAGAAAAAGAAGAAAAAGAAATCTAGTTCTAGTGAGGCTAGTGATAGTGATTCAGGTTTGTTATTTATTGTTCTTTTATTACTTTTTGTAAACACATCTGAATTTGACTATTCATATGCCTGCTTATTAATTTTTTGTATGTTATTTTCAGATACAAAAAAAGCACCCTCTTATTCTCCAGTGTCAAACGATAGTCAGATAGCATCACCAGAAGTAGGACCGTCTCCGCCTCAACCATCTTTGACTCCTCCTTTGAGGGTTTATAGAGAATTTCATCATGCGTCACCCCATACGCCTCCAATGCTTGGTCAGCATATTAACAGGTAACTTTTAATTTTTCGTCAATTTAATTGTTTTTGTTTCTGTGATACAACAACTGAGATTCAAATATTTAAGATATTTTATGTGCAAATCTGTATCAAGTATCAAGGTTGAAGACTCACCAGCAGTGAGATACACTTTTATAAAGGCTTTGGTGATTTCATAAAGGACCCCGCACATTTCTTATGGAAAAGTGATCTATGTGGAATTTGGCTGAATTTTTGATATTGTGTAGAGGCAGTCGTCCTTAACAAAAGTTAACATTGCACTAATGTTTAATACCGAACAGTTTTTAAGATATCAATTAAAAACTTTTTTAATATAATACTCTTAAGTATGACGTCACCAATATGCTCGCAGCACCGAAAATATTTATTATCCTTTCCACTTGCGACTTTGACTATACTCTTCTCGTTTCAACATAAGAAAAAAAAAAAAAAAACAACAACAGGTACAAATGAAATCGCTATATGAATGACATGGCATGACATTGACGATTGCGGCAGGGCAGGAGCTAGGTGTTGTTTACCCATCCAGGATAATACACAATACACTGGTTTACCTACTCATTTGTCACTAATCGCTATGGCTATCTTTTTCTATTTCTTAATGTTAAAAGGAGAAGAGTATAGTCAAAGCAAAAGTGGAAAGGATAGTAATCATTTTCGGTGCTGTGCTCCTATAGGTGACGTCATACTGAAGAGTATTATATTAAAAAAGTTTTTAATTGATATCTCAAAAACTGTTCGCTATTAAACATTAGCGCAATGATAACTTTTGTTAAGCAGGACTCCCTCTACACAATATCAAAAATTCAGCAAAATTCCACATAGATCACTTTTCCATAAGAAATGTGCGGGATATCTCTGATTAATAACAGTTCCATTGCTGGAACCAGCATTAAAATATTGGCTTAAAAAATGCGACACCCTGTACACTATTAGTTATTTTTATGGGGTAAATTAGAATCAACCCTCCACTGTTGCTAGGAAGTTGTTTATTGCCATTTAATCGATTTCACGAAATATCGATTCCACTATCTGGCTACTGAGTTTCTGAAATATATTGTCTTGAATTTACTTCTGCTGAATATATTGGCCTAAACAAAAAGTGATACATACCCACATTTTGCACTTCATAACCCCACCCCAGTAGTCATTACAATAATTTTATAAAATGACATAATTTCTTAGACCTATGAAATGTTCTACTTCTTATCTGCCAACTATGTATATAATGTAATATAATAGTATAATTTTTTTTTTATTTGCAATGGTTTGTTCTCCTAGGCCCTTGTCCAGTCATCACATGACCATAGTGAGAGATGTAAGCCCGCCAATCATCATTGATGATTACAGCAGGCATTCGCCTGTGCCCAGGTAAAAAGTTGATTACCTAAAACTGATTTTTTTTTTAACAATTTATATATCAGGCCATCAACACCTGATCAAGTTCATAGTATCCACAGACATAGAATCCGATCTTCTAGACGGAGAGAAGCTCATAAACAACATAGGCGAGACCGTAGAAGAGCTAGGGAAGAGAAAGATTATTTCAGTCCGAGTTCTTCTAGTAGAAAAAGGAGTCGTTCTACAAGTTATAATCGGAGCAGGCATTATAGCCCTTCGCCTAACAGTAGTTCTAGAAATAAAAGACATAGATCAAGTTCTAGAAGGGAAAAAAGTCCCAGGCATAGGCATAGAAGTCGTTCGCCTCATTCTATGAGAGAAAGGCGCAAAAGTCCTTCTCCTCGTTGTATAAGAGAAAGACACAGACAGAGAAGTCCTTCGCCTCCATCTATGGGAGCGTCTCAACTATCCGATAAAATTACTGACACTAGCCTATTTGCTGAATTAGTTAAAGACAAGCATAAAAGAGAACAAGAACTAAAAAAATTGGAAGAAAATTTAAAATCCGAACAGGACAAGAGAGATAAAAAAGTTACAGAAAGTATAACAATAGAAGACGATGTTGATTCTAAATCAAAAGAAAAACAATCAACTTTTACTAATGCAGGAATCGATGTGGATATTGATAATATTCCTATTCCCGACGCAACGCCTAGGAAGGATAATTCAAATAATAAAAATGATAACTCACCTTCAACACCTCTTACTTTATCTGATAAGACCCCAAATGTTAAAACTAATGACATTACATATAAATCAAAAAGCATTACTAAAATGCAGTTGCCACCAGGAATGGAAAACATTGAGTAAGTATTTTATTATCATTATTTTAAATTGTGATATTTTTTTGTTTGTTTTTAGGCTAGAAGACATTGAGTCTCCTCCAAGTAGAACACCTAGCCCAAGCCCTAAAAAGGAGAAAACACCCCCTAGAAAAAATGTTAGAGATTTACCCATGCCACCCGGTAAGCAATAATAATAATTATTAATTTCTCCCTTAATTAAAAAAATCTTTAGTTATTCCTGGTACTGAAGAACTTAGCGGTGACGATGACGATTTACCAATAGCATCTCCAAAACGCATTTCAATGAAACTAGACAAGGCTCCAGTGAAAGTAAAACCAGAATTGAGACGTCCCAGAGTGATAAAAAGAAGGGCTTCTAGAAATTTCCAAATGAGCGGTAAAGATTGGGGAGAACGTTGCGTGGATATGTTTGAAATGATAGCTCAAATTGGTGAAGGGACTTACGGGCAAGTTTATAAAGCAAAAGACGTGCACGCTAACGAACTTGTGGCCCTAAAAAAGGTGAGACTGGAAAATGAAAAGGAAGGCTTTCCCATTACAGCAGTGAGGGAAATAAAAATTTTGAGACAATTAAATCATAAAAATATTGTCAATCTTCGAGAAATTGTTACTGATAAACAAGATGCTGCTGATTTTAGAAAAGTAAGTTTAAAGAATTTTTTGAAATATTTTCATTATACAAAAATAATTCTAGGAAAAGGGTTCCTTTTACTTGGTTTTCGAATACATGGACCATGATTTAATGGGGCTGTTGGAATCTGGAATGGTGGATTTCAATGAAATTAACAATGCTTGTATTATGAAGCAACTTTTAGATGGTTTGAATTATTGTCACAGGAAAAACTTCCTTCACAGGGATATCAAGTGCAGTAACATATTGATGAACAATAAGTAAGAATACACAATTTAAACTTTGTCATGCTGGCCCAATTAGAATAATTTATTTATGTAGTTTTCTTATATGACAAATAATTAAATTTGTCTTTAACAGGGGAGAAGTGAAATTGGCTGACTTTGGTTTAGCTAGGCTTTATAATGCAGAAGATAGACAACGTCCCTACACCAACAAAGTGATAACTTTGTGGTATCGTCCTCCTGAATTGTTATTAGGTGAAGAAAGATATGGACCATCTATAGATATTTGGAGCTGTGGATGTATTTTAGGAGAACTGTTCCTCAAAAAGCCTTTATTTCAGGTAACACAACATAAAATATTTAGGAAACATATGTATATTTTATTTTAATATTGAAGGCAAATGCTGAATTGGCTCAACTAGACCGTATAGCAAAAACTTGTGGGACACCAACCCCTGCTGTATGGCCTTCAGTCATAAAACTACCCCTTTTCCATGCAATTAAACCAAATAAATTATACAGAAGGCGTCTGAGGGAGGAGTTTGTATTTATGCCTAGCTCGGCACTAAGTTTGTTAGATAGAATGTTAGAGTTAGATCCAGCTAGAAGGATAACTGCCGCAGATGCCTTAAAGAGTCCTTGGTTGAAGAATATTGACCCTGACCAGTAAGCAATTTTTATACAATACTTAACAATTGAATACTAAAATTTCTTTTCATAGAATTCAAGCTCCGGCACTTCCAACTTGGCAAGATTGCCACGAACTATGGAGCAAAAAGCGCAAAAAGAATAATAAGCAAGAGCAACAAGGCAATTTACCCGTGGCCCCAGTGAGGCCAGTTTTGGTAAGACCAATAGGCGAAAACGAAGCAGGATAAGTAAAATTAAACCCAAAGTGTTTTATATTATTTTAATTATTTAAAAAAAAAAAGAAATTGTTATAGAGATGTAAATAATATGGTAATTATTTACTTGCCAAAATTTTAATTGATGAATATCCTATTATGATTAGCCAGTATTGCAATAAATAATTACTTTCAAGTTATCTCATGTCAAGAAAGATAATTATTTGCAAGGAAATTTAGTTTATATTCGAAGAAATGATATATTGTGTGATATGATATTTCCAATCAAAAATATCAAAAATTTTACTGAATTTTGAGAACACTGACACTTTTTAAGTGAATATTTATTGTTGTTTGGCAATGTAAATGATTGCCTGAAAAAAAAATTGTACAGGCTTATCCATATGAAGATAGTTGCCAATGATTTTAAAAATTATTAGATATAGTTCTAGAGAATTTTAATTGTAACTCTTGGGAGTCTTTTTAACAACACACTAGCTTTATTATTTATAAACGATTTCAAATTTTTGTAAAAACATTCTTGATATAGGTTTCTGTGTAGATTAAGGTTCTATAATTTTATTAAACCAATTTAACAAACAGAAAAATTACTAGATTTTACTTGTTTTGTAAGAGAGAAGCTCGATTGTAAAGTTTTTTCCTAGTCAACAAATCAAATTTTGAAGATAGTCGGTCAATACTCAGTTTCAAATTTTTCTTATAGATGGCTACTAGATTTTTACGGGTCCCCTTTTTACATTTGTTTTTTTTTTTTTGAAATTTTTGGTTGGAAAATTAATTTTTACACATGAAAATAGTTGTAATAATATTCTTTATACAATATTATTTTTTAATTAAGAGATTGGTACATAATGATTGAAATAATTAAACTTTTTTTTTTGTTTTTCTGAGTTTGTTTCAATTATTTCTCACCAACAAAATTGTCCCATAAAATTTTCTGCTGTTAAAAAGCAACATGTAACAGAAAAAAAAATGGTACGAAATTGGAAATGACCACTTGGTATATTGGTATCTTCAGCCGTGAAAGGAAAGTAAAATCCGATTTTGTCATAAGAACCAATGTGTTAGAAGAGGATTTTACATACATTCTTTCTTAGGGCAGAAACGGATATACAGGGTAGTCCAACAAGCGGGCCCCAGTCAATAGTAGCTGAACTTATGGAAAAATGTTCTGTATAAAAGTTTTAGCATTTCATCTCTGCTATAACCCAAAATTATTTTCAAGTATACAGGGTATCTCAAAAAAAAGTAATCACAAATTTTATGTTTTTTTGCAAATAGAACACCGTCGTCGTATGTTTTTATGTGGCAAATGAAGCTTCTATATGCTTTGTATTCAACTTTAAAATCGTATTTGGGTTGAATGCAGCGTTGTCAAGTTATGATGTTTCGAAAAAAAATATAAACCAAAACTTACTTTTTTAAAATTGTCATAATATCTCCGTCACTGTACATTATTTCCCTTAAAAATTTACATGTAATCTAATGATGGCCTAGTTGCTCCTACATTATCTTCATTTTTCGATTTAAGTATACAGGGTGTCCAAAATATTTATCTAAACACGTCAATTTTAAAGTCCATTTTAATTGAGTTTTTCAAATACAACACCCCGTATATTATTTTTCTATCGAAAAGCGGAAAATAATGTCCTCTTTTAGAAAATATCATATATATCGTAACACGAAGACGCAAAAATCCTCTAATCCCTTATTCTGTTTACAAGTTGACATTTTGACAGCCGAGTTGAGTGATCTAACCTAACTTTTTTCTGCTAGTTTTCTATCCTTTATTTATCCTGAAGATTCCTGAGTTCATAAATTTTCACTTGGTGTTTTTCATGGAGGAATTATTAGAACTTGCTGTTCTTGCAGACGTAAATGGAGCATAAACTAATTTTGACATAGCTTAGCGTTACGGTAGGGCATCCGCTAAGTCCTGTTATGTTAGGCAACGGGCTCCGCTAACGCTAATCTGTGCTAATACCGTAAGAACTGTCATACTTGTCAAATAGCGTTACGGTATTTGAAATTTGGACAGCACAAGAATTCTCTATTAAGATTTTCCCTTAACTTTGCACAAAAAACGGTAAAAAGTAAAGTAATTTGGTAGTTCTACCTGGAAAGTTTTTCGGGAGTTTTGAAAATTTTATAGGTTTAGACCAGGGTTGTTTGAGAGAGGTAGGTTGCCTGATAACTTTATGACGTCATCTGGGGTGCTTCAACATAATGCAAATCTCCATAAGGCACCCCAGATGCGTCATCAAGTTACCCATTACCAGGCAACCTATTAACTTTAGAAACCTTGGGTTTAGACGCGTTTTTTCCGAATTTCTACTTTGCCACCTCTTATTGAAAAATTTCGCCAAAAAACAAGTTTTTCACAACATCTCCTTACCTCTCCTCCTTATATATATCGTCTCCCAACGAGAATTGAACCCGGGTGCTCCATTTGCTAGGTAAATGGTATACCTACGTCATGTAGGCTACGCTCGAGGTTGTTTGAGAAAGGTAGGTTGCCTGATAACTTCTATGATGTCATCTATGGTGCCTCAACATAAAGCCTAGTAGGTACTCATAACCGCGAAATTCGCTTTTTTTTGACATTGCTTCGAAAGTTTGACGTTTGATTCACGCATAAAACGTCAAATTGTCGAAGTAATGTCAAAAAAGAGCGAATTTCTCTGTCATGAGTACTAGGCTTAATGCACATCTCCATAAGGCAACCCAGATGACGTCATCAAGTTACCCATTACCAGACATCTATTTCCCTTCCTACCTTCTTCTAATCAAGCTGTGCATATCCCCTCTCCTGTCACTGCTGGTATCGCCCCACCACTCGCCACCGATGGCACTGTTTATACTCCCCAGGACTCCCTTCATGCCCTATACACTTCGTAACGCTCGAAAATTCTCACCCTCACTTCAAAAATGTCGAGTGTAATTTCGCCCCTGAGAATCCAAAATCTTCAGAAATATTCCGGGTTGTTGGATAAAAATGTGGTGTTCCGTTTCTAAGGTTGTTTGAGAGAGGTAGTTGCCTGATAACTTTATGACGTCATGTGGGGTACCTCAACCAGTGGAATGTATACTACGTAAATGGATGGCACCAGCATTTATCACGTCTGAGGCAAATTTTTGATGGAGTAAAAGGGGTGGCCGTTAGCCGTCTTTGTCTTACGCATTCTTAGACAAGGCTAGGTGGATTTATTATACCCCACCATTGCTCGTAAACATGTACCATCGTCACCAAAAGTAACTGGGACAGCATCATATTAGCTCTTGTCCTATTATATGAATTTTATTGTCAAATATTTGTCAAACTATGAATTAAATGCATTGAAATGAATGACAGTAGAATTAGTCCAGGAGATTATTGTGCATTATTTGTGTCCCAGTTACTTTTGGTGACGATGGTACATACGTGTGCGACCGAGCAAACAACGCCTTTCATTGTTCCTCTCACTACCATAAAATTTGCCTCAAAAATGGACATGGAAAGCAACTGTTAGGTCCGTTCCAGTTACGTGTAGTATATAGCTCAATGGCCTCAACATAATGATCTCCATAAGGCACCCCAGATGCGTCATCAAGTTATCCATTACCAGACAACCTATTAATTTTAGGAACCTTGCTTCGTTTCTAGCTGTCAACTGTCAAGATACGAGCGGTTTGACGTTTGATGAAATCCCGCCAAATTTGTTGGACACGCCCCAAAGCCGTTAACAACGTTGCCACTTATGTTCGCTTTATTCGGTACAAGTAATCAAATGATATCGTTATTTTTCTCACTAAACCCGCCAAAAACTCTCAATAATAAGGCTGACCAATAAAATAAGGTAAGTTTTGAAAATTGCACTGCAGTAAAAATAGTAATTTTCAATGCTTCTCTATTACACAAATTTTAATAGTGCAGGGCTGGGATCATGACAAGTAGATTTGACTAAAATTGTACTTCATGACGCCAGAGGTTGCCTAGCAACTGTGCTAGCAACCATCATGATTGCCTGTTCTGTATCTGTACGAAGACTGTACGCGATAAATTGGTCGCAGTAGGTGACGTCATGAAAGTAGAATTCTACTCGTCATGATCCCAACCATCTGGTAATATCGAGAACAATAATATAACGATTGAGTTTAATGAATTAATTATGGTTCAACTATTTTGTCGTGCTTCATAAAACCTAGTCATCAGAATGTTTACACTGACCTCTGAACCGAATTTACCGAGTAAGCGAACATAAGTGGCAACGTTGCACGGTTTTGGTGCAAGGAGCAACTCGCGAATTCCATTGGTAAAATCAATGCAAAAAAAAAAATGTATTTTTATCTCCTTTTTATACAAGCTGATAGAAAAAGACACGACTACACTCGGTGCGCAGTAACCCTTCCAATGGAATTCGCTATAATTTGGCGGGAAAAATATTGTCATGGCCTCCGCACCAAATATATCGAGTTTGATATTGGTGACGTCACGTAGTCGAGATTTATACTGTCGGGAATTATTCGTATTCCCAGCTTACTAGATTATTTTATTCTTAATTTATCAAATTAGTGTTGTAGTGTTTCTATTTCGCGACACGAAAGTGGGGACATCTGAAGACACAATTAGTAAGTAGTCCATTATTCTTCCTATGGAAAGTGGTTGGTGTAAGGTGACGTGATTTAGAATTTTTCCCGCATTTTTTTTTGTTCCTGGTTAGTTTTGTGCCTTCATCCCATCCATCATTCATTCTTCAAGAAATTGAGATCCAGCTAGAGTTACAGGGAAAATAATGTTGTTTGTTGCCGAATCCATTTTCGGTTCTGGTAAGTCCAAGTTATTCTACAAAAATTGGAAACTTTAAGTGGAGCACCTCCAGAAGGGCCACAATTATTATTTGTTGATAGTTTGATTTAGTTTTTTACTAATAAGTTTCTGCATATTGTACGGACATGGGTAAAATTTTAAAAAAATAATAATTTTGGTTGTTTATCAATTATTTTAATATTTAGGTATATCTTCATATTGCTTTCCAATAACACACCTTGTTTTCGTATGTAAAGTCCGTTTTTTTTTTTAAAGATAAAAGTCAAAATGACATTATGTTGGTAATACAATGTTAAATTGTTAATGCTTCCAAATTTTTTATGTAGAAAAGGCTTGTGTTGCCAACATAAATAGTTACTAAATTTTTGACTTGGGGAATTATCTTTAAATAAAAAACAAACTTTAGGTAAAGTCTGTTTTTTTTTAAAGATAATTCCCCAAGTCAAAAATTTAGTAACTATGTTGGCAACACATGCCTTTTCTACATAAAAAATTTGAAAGCATTGACCATTTTACATTATATTGCCAACATAATGTTATTCTGAATTTTATCTTTAAAAAAAAACAGATTTTAGGTAGTGTAGGTAAAGTCTGTTTTTTTTTTTTAAGATAAAAGTCAAAATGACATAATGTTGACAATACAATGTAAAATTGTCATGCTTTCAAATTTTTTATGTAGAAAAGGTTGTTGCCAACATAGTTACTAAATTTTTGACTTGGGGAATTCTTTAAAAAAAAACAGACTACTCTAGTTTTGGTCAGGAAAATTAACTTTTTCTGCGATTGACAAGAAATTTCAGCATTTTTGACCGGTTGACAGGTCGCAAAACTGATTATTCTGGTATTTCAATAGACCTATCTATTTTTACCTGTTATGCGCGCGCAACACGAGGCAATGTCTTTTTATTGGCTAGCTAATACAGGTGTGAGGTGATCGTTTTGCACGCTGGGCGTCTCTTTATCCTTGTTCATTGCACGTGGTCCGACAAGAATAAATCTATAGTTGATATTCAACTTGACAAGTGTCATTCAAAAGTTGTTTGACATTTTCATTGACAAATACGTTGCACAACACGCGGTTTTTCTCCTTTCCTTTTTATCCTGTGCAAATAAGAAGGACGGATTGCTATACGTAAGTCTAACATAATTTGGTACGTTTTACCTCGTCTTGCGCAATGAGTGTTCTGTGTCTTTTTTTATTTAATGAAGTTTTCGTATTATTACCTCTTTGTCTGGTAAAATAGATAGGTCTATTATGTTTCAATAGTTGCTAAGGAATCAATAAATAACAATACAGGAAACACTTTCCCGGCCTAGAAACACTTTTCCGGCCTAGGCCGGGAAAGTGATTCTCGTACTGCTGAATAATTGGAACTAAAAGACAATTATTTAACAGGTATTAAACAGATCGCAGAAAAAATAGTATGTGCATTCCGGTGGAAAAGCACATTCTCGGCCTTTGGTGTTTGTCAACTTAAACCGTCGGCCGAGAATGTGTCACTTTTCCACCTAAATACACAATATACTATTTCCAGTGCCGACCGAGTCCGGTAAAATTTTCTAACTGAAATGTCAAATTCAAATTTTACCCCCCTAGTCAATTGCCTAGGGGGGTTTCCAAGCTTCAGTGACTATAACCACAGTGGCGACAACAATAGGGAAGTTTTATATTTCTATTTTCTATCTATCTATTTTTTTTTTAGATACTTCTAGTGATGAATATTAAATAGTTTTCTTTTCTTCCATTTTAATTTATACGTTTTCCGAAAAAAAAAAAATTATTGAAATTCAAATCAAAAACTTTGGCGCCGAAACGAGAGGTTTCGATATGACAGCGATCGTGACGTCAAGATTTCGTAAACAACAAACGCTGCAAAACCAAGGTTAAAACGAACTCCTGATGACGCAGTGCTGTTTTTGTGTTATTTGTTTATAAGTTTGCGTTTGTGGAAATTGTCGCAATGGATGAAGAATATTGCAAGAGACTGCTTTTGTAAATTTTATTTCACTTGCAAGTTCCCTATTAACAGGTTTGTTCACAGAATCGAGACGTCAAAAGGTAGCCATCATGGAAGCATTGTTTTGGCGGGAAATTTTTTATTTCAAATTTAGTATTAGAAATAACGGTCTCCGAGAAGCTTTAAACGTTTTTGAACCAATTGTGACGTCATCAATGACTGAAGAAAATACAGTGTTTTGAAACTGTTTCAAAACGCTTTGTCGCAAAAAAATGCCTCACTTTATTAGGCAATTCAATAATGAAAATCAAAGTTGAAAGCAAAACTGTATGCAAAATAATTTAAAATACGCATAAAAACATATCCAAAACAAACTTGCTTGGCCGCCACGTCACATTGAATTTTCCGTTTTGACAGATGGATTGAATGGATTGAATTGCCTAATTTCAGGCGATTGACCAGTCGGTAATTTTGACAGATGAGCAACGCATTTCACGTCATTCAAGACATAAGCTGTTTTCTCGCGTTCACTTTTTTCCGACAGGTCAAACGGTCAAACGCTTGAAATCCTCTCTAAAATAAGAGAGGGCTATATTTGTCGAGGGATTAAAAAACATCATGAAATATGAAATGGAATATTGTAGGCACTTTACTTCTCAGGCCGTGTTCGTTATTTTCATCTTTTTCGTCGATTTGCTCCGAAATTTTGAGAGGCACGTGACTGGATCAGACAGTTTCAATTTACAAATCACGTGCCTGTCAAAATTGCGGAGCAAATCGATGACTAAGATGACAAAAACGAACACGGATTTAGTTGGAAAGGGAAAGAAAATACAGGGTGTCCCACGAAGTTTTACCTGGGTGATAACTTCGGTGCGCGTCATCGTATGGTCCACTGTCCTCTTGGTTGCTGATACATTTTTGGAATGTTTTATAGCTATTTTCCCAACAAGTGCGCAAAGTGATACTTACCCGCACGTTCTGGAAACAAGATTTTTTCTACGAGTGTGCGTGAAACCCCACTTTTTCGTACTAGTGCGGAAAAGTTTAAATATCTAAAATTGGTAGCGGTACACGAATATTAACTTTCATATCGTAGAAAAAGTAGTGTTTATAAATGTGCGGAAAGTCTCTTTTCCTCACTTGATTGCAGCTTCAATCGCGTGCGGGAGAAGTGACACTTTCCCCCTAGTTAAGAAAAATATACTATTACCTACGAGTGTGCGTAAAGTAGTACTTTTCCGCATGGATTTCCATGTGCAGAGCTAAACTAAAGCGCAGAAAAGTAAAACTAAGTGTCACACGTGTTGACTTTGACACTTGAACGCCAGATTTTTCCTCAGGATTTTTTAGCGACTAACCGTTTGTAACTGTATTATAAACGGTAACTGACGATAGGTCTGTTTCTGCAGAAATCACAAACCAGTCAGAGTGAATTTCATTGGTTGAAACTAGTTTTCTGACTGTTTTTAACCAATGAAATTCGCTCTGACTGGTTTGTGATTTCTGCAGAAACAGACATATTATGATGTACTTTCATTTACCTAAGATCTGGGGTCATATTTTCGAATATTCTCGCATACGAAATTTGATATAAATTCGAATGCTCCCCATTTAATTTACATTGCTGTCAATGAAATTTCGTGTACGAAATGTACTCGAATGAATTCGAAAATAGGACCCCCGTACCTACCCTCAATGCAAAACCAATGTGGTGGATGGTAATTGATAATTGATCCTTGAACAGTAGATGGCGCAGGCTGGGCAAAATTATGTTGACGACATTATCACAGGAGACAGGAGAGTCCATTCTCAGTTCTCAACAGTTTATGAAGACTACATTATGGGTGCCGGAGTTCTGCATATTTGATTATATTTTGCTGATAAGGTTTAGGGTTTAGGAAAACATTTTCGAATTGAATGAATTTTTATTAAAAATAATTTAAATTTATAAGATACAAAAATGCATTTACCTTATTTTATTTATACCTACATTAGCCACATTAATTTCTACAAGTTTTAACGTCGTCCTATTCCAATATTGAATTTAATGCAAACAAATGTGATAAAATACTTAAAAATAAGTCATACAAAATATTCAGTTCAAACAAAAAAGTCTATTGAGCTTAACTACCCATAAGAGTAGGTATTTTTTTTTAGCCGAAGGGTCCAAAAAAAAGGGTGTATAGCCAGCCACAATATAGTTTCAACTTCTAATAAATATTATCCTTTATCCAGCTCAGATACTTTGCCACATCGGTAAATATCGAATATTGTTTCGGATCACAGATAGTTTGCGTTTGCTTCACAACGCCGAGCGAAACTAGGCCTCGTAGCTGCCAAATTGTATTTTCGCCTGAGGTTCCTGGTCTCTTGAATACCATACCTCCTCCTGAATCTCCGTTACACACCGCAGTATCTGAGAATAAAGTGACATGACATAAATGAATTGTAATAGTAGATTATACCACGAGTCAATAATGATAGCTATTATTCCCGAGGTATATTTACGAACTGAGCCGCGTTAGCGGCGAGGGAGTAACATTCCGAGGGAATAATAGCCATTATTGCGAGTAGTATACTTTACTTTATTTACGACAAATTAATTTATTTCAAATTTTCTTTCCAAAAACGCTCTTTGTTCATCCATCTCAATACAAATACACAAGCACTACGCGTTTGACACTGACACTGAATTTGTTCTATACTGTTTCCATGGTACTACCTACTTATTTAATTTGAAAAATTTTGTGATTGGTGTGCAAGCGGGATTAATGACCATTAATCCCTGCGGGAATAATAGATGTCATTAAACTGCCAAAATCACAAATATAATACTTACATTATATGTCAGTCGTAAATAAAATACCAATTATTATTATTGACTGAGAGGATGATTGAGTGAAGGCTGAGAACTAATACAATTTTGGAGTAGAGGTACAGATGACATTGAGAAATTATCGGGGAATTGAGACTTACAGCTTGGTAGGTAACTTACCGTTCCTAAATCCGACACAAAAGTTCTCATTTGTCATGAATTGGGAGAAGAAATTTCTGTTGGAAAACAGACATGTCGCCGTGGACACTATAGGTAGTTCAGTTTGCATCAAATTTTTTGATAGCTCGCCACTTTCGTTGTATCCCCAGCCAACTACTGTGCCTGAAATTGAAAAGCGATATTAAATCCAAGTATTAGTAAAATAAAATAAGGCCTAGTCTCTGAGACTTCATTTTGCTGTTATACTCCAGATGGATGAAATGAAGAAACAGCTCTTCCATGCATGAGAACAAATTTTCTGTCATTTGAGCTTTTATGCATGGCACTGAGAACAATAGACCACTTGTTTGAGAATCATGGGCCAAGTGGTGATTTAATTTTTATAATGCACTTTGCAAAACAACCTTGTATAAATACAGGTATATCAACACTAGATCCGTAACTAAGTTGAAGTATTGAAAGTAAGAAATTGAAAGGACTGAGTCCATACCAAGATAAAGCGTTTTTCGATTTGATATATACCTCTTTGTCCCACAAGTCGTTCGATATTAGTTTCTCCTTCCCATAGACAACAGGGTCTGACGTAGTCGTTAATTTCAGCTGGCGAATTCAATTTCAGAATAGCGATGTCGTTGTAATAAGTCGTCGAACTGAAGTTGGGGTGAACTAGAATTTCGTCGATTTGACGAATTTGCATCTCAGACCCGAAGTTTTCCAAATTGTGTTTTCCTGAAATAGAACATAACTTATAAGACTTTTTGTATCAACTCTTTCTTTGTTAATATTGTTGTAATAATAATTGTATGTAATTCATATTCAAATTCAAGTAATTAAACTTTTACTAGGAATCACTTTCCAATACAAGATATGGCCGATGACGACGTACGCTACAAAATCCGAATTCGAGACTCAGGAGGCAAAAGATCATGGCGGAAATGGAATATTCGGACATGTTCCAGATCTTGAGAAAGCTCTTTTGGTAGGTAAAGAAGCGCAACAAGAATCTAATGATGATGAAAACACAAATCCCGAAGGTCACTTGAACAAGCATTGCGGAATTCCTAAGGTAACAACCATTTCACAGTTACATCAACCATATTATTATAATTCCTTATGTTAGGTACTTATAAATGCAGTCCAAAGAAGATAGGCCAATTTTCATTTATCAAGTTTAAAATTCCATCTTGTTCTGGTTCATAGTTCGATCTTGGTTAACTTTAGATTATGTCCCAGCATTTTGTGGCATTTATATATAGTTTATAAAATGTTGGATCCAACCAATAACAGATATTTCATGTTTACTATTCTTTTTAGGTAGATGATCGCTTTCTGTGTGTTATATGCGGTAAAACATTTAAAAAGTGGATTTATCTTAGTCAGGTAAGTGAGAATACATTTTCCACACAATTTATGATAAATTACTTTCCAGCACCTCGACCAGATTCATCTAAGACCTCGTTCCTTCTGCTGTGAATTTTGCGGTCAGAGATTCAATCAAAACTCGTCCCTGAAGTCGCACATCCATTCGAAACATATTGAAACCAGAAATTTTCTTTGTGAAATATGTGGAAGAAAATTCACTACAAAAATAACTGTGGAACGCCATATCAAACTGCACGACAAAAAAATGAATTCCGCATATCAGCAATTATTTCAGTGTGTTATTTGTAAGTACATATACTATTCAAATAATCAATGACTATACCTATTCCATTTGTGATCTTCAAGAGTACTTCAGTAATTGCATTATATAGTCAAATCCAAATCCGTTTTTAGGTGACGGAGTTTTTCTAAACAAGTTTTCCTTAAAAAGACACCACATCAACCAACATATCACCGATTTTGTTTGGCCTTCTTGTGGCCTTTGTGGAAAAATGTATTACTCAACCGCAAGTGTTCGATTTCATATTGCCAGATTCCATGGCATCATCTAGACTTAATTTTAAGTAAATACTAATATGTATAAGTATTACTGTATTCCATCATCATTAAGATTCAATTTTCAAAGTAAATTTAATATGTATAAGTATAATGTATATCTTAAACTAATATTATAATAAACGTTTCCATATACCTAACTACTTAGGTCTTAGGTAAGTTTGAGTAATTTGATTTATAATACCATCGACCTGATACTACTCATTCTGATCAGAACAAACTTTACAAATATGAATGGTTTTGGATCCAATTTTTTGGAAGAAAAAGTAAAATAATCAGAAAGATAAATAATTTACAATGCAACAATATATTTCATTTATAATATACCTACACCAGGAAGACACACAGGAGAACGTTTTTGTGATATCTCAGAAAGTCTGGATAGCTTCATTCTTTAGTAATTTCTAAATTTCCAAAAACAGTAGTTTATATAGAAAGAGCTATAAATTATTAGTAGATATGGTCACCCAATATCTAGCATTATCTTACCTAGATAAATAACAAGTTTCTCCTTTCGAGCCGGTGCAGATGATTTTTGTTTGGTAACGCAATGAGCAGCGGTTATCACGTGGCTGGCCGAAATCAGTGTTCCTCCGCATGTATACTTCAGTTCTGTCACAGTGGCGACACGGGCAAGGTTCAGATAAAGGGCAACATGCCAAGGCCACTGACCTAAAACAGTCATATAATGAGGAATGAAGAGCTTGGATTATAGTCTCTTACCAGGAGTAGTTTCCTGTCCGTGACTGATCAAAGGAGTGGGCCTTTGCAGGACAGTACCGCACTGAGCAGATCTTCTAGGTATCGGCATGGGAGTGGGTCTGGAATTAGGTCGTTTACTTGTAATGAGCGTTGGAAAATCGCCTTGGTAAAAGTCATCGTCATCATCATCATTATCATTATCGATATTGCTTAGGGGCCTAAAATATTTTTGAACTATGCAAATTTATTATTACAGATTTTGCCGTACAAGTTTTTATTGAATTTTAGGCCCTGCCACCAGAAGCATAAGATAATGATCTGAAGGCCTATCAATAATGTATCATATCTTTTCGAGAATTCCAAGTTGTTACTCACCTGTTTTGAGATTGCTGTGTACTGGTACTGTAGGGTCTATCGGTTGTCCGTGTTACCATTGGTCGGTGAGTGGTGGCTTTGGAACTCAACGAAACTTCTTGTGAATTAGGAAAACGGTCATTATCAACGTCGGTTTCGCGGTTGTGATTATGTGATTGTTGGTTGTTTTGATTATAGGATTGTTCGTTGTTTTGATTATAGGAATGATCGTTGTAGTTATGGCTTGGCTGATTGTAATAATTTTCGCTTGTTTCGCTGCTCGTATTCGGTTTTTCAACGGTTATGTGTAGTACTGGTTTGGTGGGCTCCGATCTTGGAATCGGACAAATGGTTTTGCCTGAAAATAATTTTACACCAAATGAAAAGTTTTGAAACATATAGTTATGGAAATCTTTCCAAAAATAACAACTTCCAAATCCAATAAAAAGATTTCTATCATCCTTTCTGGAGAACAAGACAAATCAATTCGGTATATTTTTCAATGAGAGATGAGCCTGAAGTTTCTTAAGAAAGGAGTTCAGTTTAATTTTTCAGTATTGGTGCAATTTAATAATTAAATTGTTAACAAGTGTTCGGTTTTTCTTGTGCAAAGTCCAATCTGTTACAATATTGGCGGTAAACAAGAAGAGATAGCGAAATGTTTTCCCTAAATTAAATTCCTCAATACTTGATCACTGTACAAATAAAAACCAATTTCTTACGTATTTTCATCTATGATAAATAAATACGTCATTATGATATCAGTGAAGGAAGGATATGATTTTACAGGTAGGTACATACCTACTATATAAAAAAATTCAACATTTTGAATTGAAAGAGAAACATTTTCTTGGTAATATTTCCTTATTTCCATAATGTTCCTGAAAATTCTGATTTGAATTTGAACTGTTTTGGAGCATCCTAAAATGGTTCTGGAGTTTCCAAATTGTTCTGAAGCGCTACAGAATAAGTGTGTAGCATTCCAATCACTTCTAAATTGAATGAGAAATGAATTCTGTGGGAAATTTTTGTAAACGTCTTGAAGACGTCCCTAGAATGTCTACAAACGACATTCAAAACGTCCTGCTTACGTCTTTAAGGCATCTTAAAGTCACTTAAAGACATTTTGAAGTCGTATGTTTGAAAACCCTTCTTCTTCTTGGTGTTTAATCCTGCGTTAGTGCGACAGCACTCTTACGCAATTTTGGGTGAGTCTACTCACTACCATGTGTTGTGTTTAAAGTCAATTTTTGTTCAGGGAAAGGGAAGGATAGGAAGGATGGGAAAGGAGGGAAGGGGATTTCATTCACTAGAAGAGAAGTGGAGCTTTTAGATTTCTGAAAAAAGTCCTGTAATTGACATTTGTATAGTTAGTTACTTTGTCATGTTTCTTAACGGTACTCCTAGTCCTGGATTGTATCAACAACGCTCAGGTCCGTATGTAGGTCCGCATTGCGAACATACCACGTAGCGCCGACCATCCTACGGATTACCTTGTTTTGAAACACCTGCAGTTTATTTTGACGTGTTGTCTGTGAAAAAACTCTTGCACCGTAAAGTAAAGTAGGTCTGATAACTTGTTTGTACAGTAATAGTTTGTTTTTTAGTGTTAGTTTACTGTCCTTGTTAAGTAATGGATAAAGCAATCTCACTAATCTGTTGCATTTATTCAGTTTATGATAAATGTGGGGGCTCCAAGAAAGTTTACCAGTGTTGCCAACTGCGGATCAACTATTATTGTATAGAACACTATAAAATTATAGTACATTTGTAGAAATTATAGTATCCTGCTGGACACATGATGACCACCAATTGTCCTGGTGGGACACACAGAGATCGAACTATTATGAAATTTTCTGGACAAAACGAGAAAAGTCAGGGGCGTATCATACTAAAATTTCAAATTTTTCCAGTGAAAAATACCCCATTGGAAATTAATGAAAATCAACTAAATTAGGTATAAATGCATCATTTAACATTTTCTTTTTTTTCTAGAAAACTATATCCAGGGGAAAATTATGAAAGTTTCTAGAAAAAAAAAAAGTCAGGGGCGTATCATACTAAAATTTCAAATTTTTCCAGTGAAAAATAACCCCATTGGAAATTAATGAAAATCAACTAAATTAGACAAAAATGCACCATTAACATTTAATTTTTTTTCTGAAAAACTGTCCAGGAGAAAATTATGATATTTTCTGGAAAAAAAAGAAAAGTCATGGGCGTATCATAATGAAATTTCAATTTTTCCAGTGAAAAATAACCCCATTGGAAATTAATGAATATCAACTAAATTATGCGTAAATGTACCATCTAACATTTTAGTTTTTTTTTTTGAAAACTATTCAAGGAAAAATTATGACATTTTCTGGAAAAAAAGAAGAAAGTCAGGGGTGTATCATAGTAAAATTTCAAATTTTTCCAGTGGAAAATAACCTCATTGGAAATTAATGAATATCAACTAAATTAGGCAGAAATGCACCATCTAACATTTTAGATTTTTTTTGGAAAACTATTCAAGGGAAAATTATGACATTTTCTGGAAAAAAAGAAGAAAGTCAGGGGTGTATCATAGTAAAATTTCAAATTTTTCTTCCAGTGGAAAATAACCTCATTGGCAATTAATGAATATCAACTAAATTAGGCATAAATGCACCATCTATACACCTTATTTTTTTTCTGGAAAACTATTCAAGGGAAAATTATGAAATTTTCTGGAAAATAAGAAGGAAATCAGGAGCGTATCATAGTAAAGTTTAAAATTTTTCAGTGAAAAATAATCCCATTGGAAATTATAAAAATCAATTAAATTAGGCATAAATGCACCATCTAACATTTTATTTTTTTTCTGGAAAACTATTTAAAGAAAAATTATGAAATTTTCTGGACAAAATGAGAAAAGTCAGGGGCATATCATACTAAAATTTCAAATTTTTCTAGTGAAAAATAACCCCATTGGAAATTAATGAAAATCAATTAAATTAGATATAAATGCATCATTTAACATTTTATTTTTTTTTCTGGAAAACTATCCAGGGGAAAATTATGACATTTTCTGGAAAAAAAGAGGAAAGTCAGGGGCGTGTCATAGTAAAATTTCAAATGGATAATAACTGTATTGGAAATTAATGAAAATCAACTAAATTGGGCATAAATGCACCATCTACTCTAACATCATTTTTTTTTTTTTTTGGAAAACTATTCAAGGTAAAATTATGATATTTTCTGGAAAAAAAGAAGAAAGTCAGGGCCGTATCATATTAAAATTTCAAATTTTTCAAATGGAAAATAACTGTATTGGAAATTAATGAAAATCAACTAAATTAGGCATAAATGCACCATCTAATCTAAATTTTTTATTTTTTTTTTGGAAACCTATTCAAGGTAAAATTATGACATTTTCTGGAAAAAAAGAAGAAAGTCAGGGGCGTATCATAGTAAAATTTCAAATTTTTCCAGTGGAAAATATACCCATTGGAAATTAATGAAAATCAACTAAATTAGGCATAAATGCACTATTTAATATTTTATTTTTTTTCTGGAAAACTATTCAAGGAAAAATTATGACATTTTCTGAAGAAAAAGAAAAAAGTCAGGGGCGCATCACACTAAATTTTCAAATTTTTCCCGCGAAAAACAACAAAATTAAAAATACTTTTAAAAATTAAATAGGGGTGCGTTCCGTTAATATCTTTTTTGGAATAAAAAAAGGACCCGCTCAGGAAAATCAATGAAATTGACAATTGAAAGAGTAAACCTTGTCACCAAAAAACCACTATAATAACACTTTTGACAGTTGACATTTAAAATGTCAACTGTCAAAAAATACATGCTCTATCAATAATAAAACGACAGAGCCTATTCAGCTGAAAAAAAAAAAGAAAAAAGGTGACTAGACATAAGGGCTTGCACGCCAACACATTAGGAAACCAATAGGATTAGGATTTGTTGTTAATAGAAAGTAGGATTAGGCAACAAATTATGATTAAGAAGTGAATAGATTAAGGGCTTGCTTCCAACAAATTAGGATTTAAAATAGGCTAAGGAGAACTGGAATAAGGAATTTTCCAGTAAAAAACTAAATAATTTGATAATGCCTAATTATAGTATTTTAGACGTACTATAATGATCTTTGATACCTAGTACATAGTATTCAATTATAAAGTGTGTTTTTTTTTAAGGATAAAAGTCAAAATGATATTATGTTGGCAATACAATGTAAAATTGTCAATGCTTTCAAATTTTTTATGTAGAAAAAGCTTGTGCTGTCAACATAGTTACTAAATTTTTGACTTGGGGAATTATCTTTAAAAAAAAAAAACAGATTTTAGTACAAATACTATAATTATAGTACGGTTGGCAACACTGAAGTTTACAGTCCAGCAATAGTCCTAAATATTTAATTTGATTAGTCCATGTAATTTCGGAATCGTCCAGTATGAGGTTGTCAATATGTTTGTCACGTTTGTTGGAGATCAGGACGGCTTGGGTCTTTGTCGGTCCCGGTCCAACGTCTTTCAGACGTCTACCTAAAGACGTTTTTAGAAGAGATTCTAAAGACGTCTACAACGAGTTATTCGAATCTCAAGCTACCCAGATAAACCAAGTAGCAGTCTTGGAAACCAACTATAGTACAACAAGAATCACAAGAGCTGGAAGTGAATTATGAATTTGCAAGTACGGCAAGTAGTAATAATGCCCATAGGTATAGTATTTTTCACAATAATCGAGGTAATGACTGCAATGAAACTACTCATTGTATTTTGTATTTCCATTGTGTTCATGACAGAGCTCAAAACGTCCAGGTAGTAAAAAGGAGTCAACCATTTATTGTGAAAAATACTTTACCTAATTGTCATCATATGAGTGAGAAAGAAACCAAATTGAAAACCTGTTGTAGAATAAACGACAAGGACGAAATAAAAGCCAGTCCCATTGTGAGACAGCAAGCAGTAGGTATCAGCCAAATGGCTAACAAGGAAAATGTATGACATGACCCAACACTCAATATTAAAATCAATAAAATACTTGCTGGAACGATGTTACGTCAATCAATCGCCCATGCATGTCAGCATCAGAAAATCCAAATCAGTAACTTACCGTTTAATAAAATTTTCTTTACTGTAGGAACGACGCCTGCCACATTATACTTCACAAAAAATCGTATTAGGACAGGAGGGCCAGCTTCTAATTTGTACTGACTGTTTCTTATCGAAAACTCAATGTTGTCTTTCGATACAGCTTCGGCAAACCAATTCTGCAAGAAAATTAAAAAAATTTAAAAATAATAAAACTTATACAGATTTGTATATTATGTCATCATACGATTACATATAAATCGTCTCTGGATGAATCCGCTCATTATCTGGTCAAACCAGTAAAAACATGTAAAGTTTCTGATGAAAAATTGAAAAATTTCCACAAACAAACAAAATAGCGGTTCTGCCGTTCTTTTACCGAAACCACAATTCTATACAAAACAAGGTCAGGAATTTAATTATGCATATGCATTTTAAAATATTGTTCTTATATTAGAATAATAACGAGAAATTATTGTTTGTTTTGCGTATCTTTTAATAATTTTTTCTCTGCATTGTTGCAGTATCTTGACGTTTGATTATAAAATTTATATCCTGAAGTTGTTATTTTTATTTTATTGAAATTTTATATAATAATTATTATCTTTATTTTTCCTTGTTCGAGATGCGTTTCGGCAAAATTATAGCTCCTTGATGGAATTTATTCCCACATAAATCACAATAAGTATTTTAATTTTTGTTTTGGTAAATTTTCTCACACTTGCTAATTAATTTGTCTCTAAAATATTAATGAACACAAAACTTAGTTAAATTATTATATTTTCCACCTATTAGAGAATAAAAAAATATTTCCACCAATAAATTGGTACCAAAGTTAGTCTGTACTTACCCCTAGCAAGTCAACTTTCCTATCCATTACGATTTTGAGCCATACACCTTCCAGATCTTCGTCGGTACCGACTGTCACTACCCCGAACCACCTGTCCGGTTGTTCAGCACTTCTTTGCTCGTACTTGAACACTTCCGGACATGGAGATTTCAATTGGCTGATCACTTGACCGTAAACAATGCTTATAACCAGTGAATATAAGGTTATAATTCGAACTAACATTGTTTGGTATAGCTGGAAAGAAAACAATATACCTAGTTAGAGACACATTTTCCTTTTTCATTTATATTCCCGGCTCTTGAATTTTTGTTTTTGTACTTATATGCCAAAAAATTCAAGAGCCTGGGTTTGGAAAGAAAGAAACCTCGAGATTTTGGTGAATGGAAAAATATGTGTTTACTTATACCACCAATTCTGTTTCTTCTATTTTCAAATTTCCTCACTCCATTTTTTAATTTTTTGTCTATTCTAGGCTCCTGAATTTTTGACTAGGGTTTTTTTCCTATATATTTCAAGTATAGAGCCTACTTATGTCTAGTTTGTGTGATCCAGGCTCTTGAATTTTCTTTATTTCTCTATTTGGAGAAAAGGCGGAGATTCAAGAGTCTGGAATAAAAAAAATATTTCCATACTACTAAAATATTGAAGGTATTCTTAGACGGTGATATAATATATGTAATTTACTCCCTCATACTGTTCATTAAATAATTTTATGAAGTATGGATTGAAAGTAAAAGAAGAAAGGGGAAAAACAGCGCAATAAGTAGATCTCCTTGGATATTTTTTTGAACTTTGCCTCAGAAAATCCCCCAAAAAGCAAGACTCATCGACAGACAAATACCAAAACTGTGATAATCAATAATGCCCACTTAAAATATCATTAAAGTTCAAGCAATTATTAAATACTATAATTAAAATTCCATAAAAGAAATCCTTGTTGGTTTTTGATACTTTTTTCTTTAGCTTTGTCGTAACAAATAATAGTCTACGTAGGTACTTGGATATTTTTATACAAAATTGAAGATTATATAGGTACCTACATCTCTTATGAAAACAATTTAAAGCAAAAAAACAATAGTTAAGTAATAAAAATGTTAGCATCCTCCTATAATTGTTAAAATATTCTTTTTCATTAAATTTAATTTTTTTTCTAACTAAAAACTACAATTCTAGGTAAATAAAAAACTCACATGTAACCATATACAATTACCAATTCAAATGACTTCAAACACCATATAAACTAATTATCTTAATAAGTACTTACTGTTCACTTTAATTATTGATATCCAAAATGGTTATAAACAAAATCACGATTCAGTTCTTTCTGAAGTCATTTAAAAAATAATTACTATAAATATCTAGAAAAGTTCAAAAAATACCCGAAAAGATCACGGAGGAACCGAATACACATATAAATAAACAATATGAAACACAAGATATCGAAACCTGTTTATCACTGGATTAACTTAAGGAAATTCCGTACTACCGAGTACCGTGGCAGTTAAGTTAATCCGCTCACGATATGCCCGGTAAAAATTTTAAATTATTTTTCTATTTACGCCATCTAAAGGAGGTACTTTGTATTTATGTAAATTTTCTATTTTTACTTAATGCAAGGCAACTTAATGAAAAATGGTACCTACCAATTAGTGATTGTTAGATTTGTAGAATCGTATAGATGGCATTTAATACACATTATTGCGATTACAAACCAGAGAGGTACCAACTTTTCTTACAATTTCGTCGACTATGGGGTTTTCTTCAATCTCATTTTTATTTGAAATAATCTCTCTATAGTTTGAGTATATATCAAAAGGATATTTCTTCTATCTCTCCTAATGATGATATAGATCATTCTGCATTGGTTTATAATAGTTTCTGATTCTGATATTCCTCTACATCTATCTAATATAATTGACTCATTATTTAATAGCCTCGCTCGCAAGCTCGCTCGGCCATAAAATTATTCGTACAATAAAGCCTTACTTTATGTACTTGTTATATAAATAGCTATTAATGTGTATTTCAGAACAATGTTGTTCTGTATTTTCATTATTTGGAGTTTCAGGTTTTTGTGATAATTTCAATTTCAAACGTGCTACGCATCTGAAATGAATTATTTGGCCAAAGAAGACAAAAATGAATTAGTGCTATGAAATTTTGTTTTCTCCATATACCGGGTTTACAGCTTCTTTGCAAGTTACTTCAAGTTCAAAGTTCAACTTATAGGGTGTTCATTTCATTTGTACTGCTTTTCTTGCTTCAAGCATATCTCAGCAGCAGATCGGCGTTCCATATATAAGCATAAGCTCATAAATAGCAGCTCGTAGCAGATCTTCCTGATAGCGCGAGACGAGGAATCATTATCCGAGCCTTATTAGTTCCATTGACACCTATTTAACTACTTTTCCCTACGTTACATGTAAATTTTTCAGGTAATAATGAGGATTTTATGATTAATATAGTAGATTATACCACGAGTCAATAATGATAGCTATTATTCCCGAGGATTATTACGAACTGAGCCCGTTAGCGGCGAGGGAGTAACATTCCGAGGGAATAATAGCCATTATTGCGAGTAGTATACTCTACTTTATTTATACAAATTAATTTATTTGAGATTTTCAATGAACAAATTTCATCCGTCTCATAATTTTCAATACAAATCCACAAGCACTACACGTTTGACACTGACACTTATGTGGAATAATGACCATTAATCCCGCTACTCGTCATTAATCCCTGGACGGCGATTCTCGAATCGTGTGATCCCTGTTCTCATAGGAAAAGCACGCTAGGTTTCTATTAAAATCTATTACGACGTATTCTCGAAATTAGGGACCGTTCACTTCCTATGAAAGTTGAGAGAATTTTATTCTCCTACTTTTTTTGAAGAGAACGTCTGTTCTCGGGAGAACCAAACGTCAAATATGCGCTGTATTTTGTCAATTGTGCAGTCATCATCCATGGTATTTTTTTGTTTCTTTTGCAAATCATTTATTTATTATCAGTAATAGCCAATTGGGTGCATTTGGATATTGTGTTCAAGTGGAAAATACTGGCCAATACGAAAACGTGGGAAACCATGAAAGCTGGGGTTATAGGAAGAATTCTTGTAAACTCTGTCTAACCAAAGTTGAACGTTGAAGGTCACTTACTCATCTTTGTAACCATAGGATTCACACGTTCGGACCTTTTTTGGTATGATAAACACAGTGCGCGTGCAATAAAGACAGCAGCAAGAATCATGTCTGTGATATATTCGAGTAAGTGACCTTCAACGTTCAACTTTGGTTAGACAGACTTTACTGAATGATCTACTAGATGCAGAAGAAGAAGAAAGGCATATAAGGAGATTTTACAGAAGAGAAAATCCTTTTGATTAGGCAAAGATCTTTTTCGAAATTTAATTGAGTTAACGACACCTTTTATACGGGCTTCAACTAGAAGTTTATCATTAAAAACTGTGGTAAAATCGGAGGTAAATTTTCCACTTTGAAGTTTCTCATTCTGCCTTTAACAAATTCAATGAGCATTTCTTTTGGAGTATGATTTATAGGTAAACATCTTGATTTTTCCAAATGCATTTTCCACAAGAACCAAACAACACGAAAATAAAAATTGTAGGTAAATAGGTGTTTGACGTGTTGGAACAGACCTATTCCAACACGTCAAAAACCGTCCCATGAACGGTTCCGAAACCACATATTATGCAAATTGCTTGCGTTTATCATCGCCACTTTGTTGAGGGAAGAATAAGCCTAGAAATTTCTGGGCTTAGTTAAGCTTATCTTAATGAGACTAGGTTAGACTGGTGGAAACAAAATTATAATATAAGCGGCACTTAACGTTAAGTAAACTTAAATTTGCGTTGGTGGAAACGGCCATCAGTGAACGAATTTTGGTTTCTACGCACAAATTTTACGCTTTGCGCAGAATCGTGACGGTGCATTGTACGGTTTCTTGCTGTGTTGGAATAGACCTGATTAATGATTTGATTTTCAGTAAATCAATAAGCAAATAATGAGGTTCCGTCCCAAAACACAAATAAAACAAACTGATTTTCTTCTTTCTCATGTCATTCGTCCTTTTAACGCACTAAAATTGTGGCTAATTCTACATATTACTGTTGGCAACAACGCATTATGATTTGACAAGTTTTCTTTCATTCTATCATATTCCCATACTTTCGAGAATACCAACTTTGGCACCAAGAGAACGAGTGTGCGATGTGATATCTCACTTCTCTTAGGGGAACGTTCACTTCTACCAAATTCGAGAATCGACTACCTGGAGGAATAACATATGTCATTATACTGCGAAAATCACAAATATAATACGCACATTGTACATTAGTCGTAAATAAACCCTTATTATTTAACCTGATGAATAAACCTAGACAGGTAAATTTTGCAGGTAAATAGGGCTAATTTAAATCAAAATTCCATCTGTTCCCTTTAGTTTAATTATGGGTTTGTGTGCCAATGACCGGCCATATTTGTATGTCAAAAGTCACGTGATTTGGAATGCCTAATATGACGTCATCAGGAGGATCATGGAGATTTGCGATATGTTTAGGAACCCAAGATGAAGTCATAAAAGTTATCAGGCAACCTACCTCTTTTCAAACAACCTTAACATGATACATATTTCTTATGAAAACAAAAAAAGTTCTTGCTTTTTTCATTTTCTTATAGGGATTGATAGGGATGTCATTCTTTCTGCAATTTTTAAAGCGTTTTCAAATAGTTTTGTCGAGCTAACATCAAAGTGCCCTTAACCTCAATGGCTCTTGACGCTTGAAACCTTCTATTCCAGACTTCTGGCAATATGGCCGAGATTTTGGCAGTTACTTTTAAGTTTTTTGTGCGCAAAATTATCTTGCATTAGTTTAAGTGAAATTTTATGTTTTTTTGGTCAGTACAAGCCCATGGCTGCTTTTCAAGAAAAATGCCAACGCTATTTTCGGACTTCAAACTTTTACGAAGTCCTGAATGTTGATAAAAATGCTAGTGAGAGAGACAGTAAGTATAGTTTTATTGATACTTTTATATAGGTACCATTTTTGTTTCTTGTCATATCTTTATCTATCTCATTGATGGTTTTGTATTCTTTCAATCTTTCTTTAAGTTTTTCTATGTTCTTGATTGTTTTACTCAATGTATTTACATCCTCCTTCTACCTCTTTCTAGCTTCCTGTTGATTCTGTATTGACAACATTTGAATGATCACTTCCTTTTTTAAAGTCGATTGACTACCTATTCTTTTATGACATATCTCAAGCAGAAGAAACACGTGATTTTGACGTCTTTTTCAGGTCATGGTTGACCATTTAAATGACGTTTCTCATTCTCTAAAAACACAAAAAATTTCCCGCCCTTTTTTTGACGAAACATTGGTAGAGAAAAGAAAAATCAAGAACCTGGAATTAATGAGAAGTTCTCTCTCTTTCTCAACAGTTCTCCTGAACTAGGATAATGGTTCTGTTCAAGAAATTGATTTGTAAAAGATGTCCTGATTATCTGTATGATAACAGTTTCGGTATGATATCCATATGCAGCTTAGACATTTACAATAACTCCTCCCATGCATGCACATTCATGTAGGATGAAGAGATCATTTAGCTACCAAATATCAAAAATGTACAATAAAATCTTGCTGATTACAAAACTGCTATGTATTCACTTAATGTCTTGACAATGAAACATTAAAATGTTTACTGGGCGCAGGACTTTATTTTAAGGCCAGAAAACAGATTACAAAGACTGATAGCCGTTTTCACCAACTATTTTAGGAGAGCCTTATCGATAATTATTCCCTAAAATGACATTTTTACATGGAGAAATGTCAGTTTAGGGAATACTTCGTTAAGGCTCCCCTAAAATAGTTGGTGGAAACGGCCATAAAACCCACAAGGTTTATTTTAAAGACCACACGACATGACATATCTATGACATGACATTTCCTAACTTGCAGGGTGGCCCAATTGTGAAGCATACTGCACTTTTCCCCTCTCAAAAAAAAAGTAAGACTTTAGATCCAATCTTGGGTTTGGGAACCCTATTCGATCTACGTACTGGGGTTCTAAACGTCAAATCCGTACCAACACTTGTCACTCCGGGATCAACAGGATTATCGCGATAGACATCTTGCTGAAACTCGGGTAGATAAGTCTCCTTACTGGAGACTTATCGTCTATATCAAGGTTTTTCCCTGAATGACAAGCAACATCATCCGCTTCCGAAATACATGTAGTAGATGGTTGAGGTAATTTATTCGGTGACCGCTCAGATAACGTTTATAACTCCAGACTAACAGAAGGGTACTTACCCCAGTTGCACAACAATATTGGTAAAATATTATATTTACATATTGGCCCAAGAATGGAAACGACAGATTATTTTTTTTGCCCAATATATATTGTAAATATGAATCCGATATTGAAGAAAGATATTGTCTCAATATTGCTTATTAATAAACATGTAATATTGCTTTTAGAAATATACCCAATATCTGTTTTTCAGATTGGCACAATGTATACTTTTTATATGAATCCGATAGTGAATATAAATATTTCTCCAATATTACCTACCAATTAATAAATATGAAATATTTCTTCTAGAAATATTTACAATATTTCCTAGGAATATTTACAATATTTTTTTTGGAAAAACACATGTATTTAACCAAAGCTCCAACACCTGCAGACTAGACCGGTTTCCGGCTTCGAGCTTGTGAGCGAAGCACACCAACTTAAAGAAACAGATTTGAAGGAAACTCAAACACTAGGAAAGAGCAAGGCCATCAGTAGCGCGTGGTGCCCTCTCTCGGTAGTCCTGATTGATATGGAAAAGATACATCTCCTATATATCACCAATATAGGATAAATATTAAATATAAACATGCATAAAAGATATTTCCAAACATGGATTGGATCCAATATTGGATCAATCTTGGATTCACATATTATATAATAATATTAATAATGTAGGAAAAATATTAACCTCCAATATATTACCAATATTGGCTACAAATTGCTAATATTGGACCCATTTACAATATTTTACCAATATAGAATCAATATTTGGCCAATATGGATAAATATCACTGTTATATTAGAAAAAATTGTTTTGCCATATTATATCCAATATTGGCTTAATAATGCAAATAAAAACATTATCTGTGCATATTGGCCCATTAATGGATACAATACTATGGTAATATTAGAAAAAGTTGTATTGCCAATAATCCACCAATTTTGTCTAAATAATGTCAATGAAGATATGTTTTCTGTATATTAGCCCATTCTTAAGTAAATATAATATTACAATGTGGAAAAATATGTATTGCCAATATTGGCTTAATAATGCAAAAAAAAACCAATTTTTTTGTGCTTATCGGTTCAATGATGGATAAATATATCACTGTTATATAAGACAAATATGTATTGGCAATATGTAACCAATCTTGGCTATATGCTGCCGATAAAAATATTGTTTGTGCATATTGGCCCATTCTTGGATAAATATATTATTATAATGATGAAAGAAGTTGTATTGCCAATAAATGTCCAATGTTGGCTAAAAAATTCCAATATTGGGCCAACATACAATATTGGTCCAATGTATCCGCAACATGGGACCAACATTGTGTGCTACTGGGGTATGTTCTAATGCTAACGAATCCTTACATTTACGTATATAGTATCACAATATGGAACATTTTTATGACATTATTTACTCTAATTAAATAAGTCACTGAACTTAACACTTTTACAATAACGCCATCATATGCCCAAAATTTATCTGTTTTTCTGAACTTCACTAACACTTTTTCACCATTAGAAAAAAAATTACTTACAACTGGATTAGACTGATTTTTAGTTGTATTATAACAATATCAGGTTTTAAAAGATCTAAACGTGTACGAGGCTTTACTTTAAAGACAATTTCAAAAGGTGATAATCCAGTGGTCGTAGTTGGTGTATTTCTATGTGTAAGTAAAAACTGGCTTAATCTAGCTGACATAGATAGGGAATAATTACCTTTGGATTCATCATATAGTTGTCTATCTAATTTTTTTTCAATATCTTGATCCCCGTTTTCTGCGGTTCCATATATTAGATGGAGGGTGAATTAGAGGGGTTAAAACTGGGTCAATTCCATTTGCTTGACAAAATTTGATGAATTCAGTTGAGTTAAATGGTGGACCGTTGTCACTATTTGGTTAGGTAGGCCCATCATAGAAAAGGTTATCTTAAGTTTCTCATTGCTAAAAAGTCATTTATATTTGGGAGAGGATAAATATCCTGACGCAACACTTGGTTTAAGGTCACCTTAAAATCCACGCAGACCCTGATATCCCCATTTTTTTTGGTACAATTCACAATAGGACTCGCCCAATCACTGGTACTTACCGGAACCAAAATACCATCATCAACCATCTCATCAAGCTTAAGTTGTAAAACAAATGGAACATTGTAAGGTTTCTGGAAAATAGGAGTAATATTTTCTTTGAGTTTCAATTTAACCTCAAATACCTTGATGGGTTCCTTAGTAGAACTTGAAAACACTGATGGAAACTTTGCTGCAAAATGAGAAAATGCTTGGCTTTTATCAGTATTTTCACGTTCAGAAAAGTTTGACACAGTAAAAACTAGACCCTTAAACAATTTTTGAGAAAGTTCATTGGAAATCACTGACCTTGATGCACCTGAACCAATTTCCATAACAATAACCATTCAGTTGCAGGCAGTTAAAGCTGCCAATCGTGCCAGAATATCATCCGAGTCGTACTGCTCAACATATTCAGAGGCACCCGATGTGACACCTGAAGCAGTCTCCAACGCCTCTGGTTCATCTAAGTTATGTAGACTTTTTGCTAGGCACATTGACGAAACGTGCTCTTTTTTCCCACAAGAAAAACAATTCCATTCCATAGCAGCGCATGTAGATGGCTCATGAGCTCTTCTACAACGAAAACACTTCTGACTCACAGGCCTAATATTTCTCACCAACTTCCTGGAACCAGCACCTTGACCAACATTTATTTTTGATAAACTGCACTAACGCCCTGGATACTACTATCTGGTTGAAATAATTTGGTTTGAGCATCTGCTAGCTCAAAACTTAAAGCTAATTCCACAGCTGACTTAAATGTCAAGTTTTTTCCAGTTAATAATTTTCTTTGATAAGAAGGTGATGCCAAACCACATACAAAACGATCTCTTAAGGAAAGGAAAGGCATCATCTAGAAAAGTATTGAATGAGCATGACTTTGCAGCATTTTTCAATTTCACCACAAAAGATGACACCGGCTCAACTGGATCTTGAGTACACTTATAAAATTTAAATCTTTCAGCAATAATAATTGTTACTGGACTGAAATGGTTTCTCAAAGTCGTTTTCAGAGACTCGAAATCTTTGTTGCTGGGTAAATCAAGGGCCAACTGATTCTTAAGCACTTCATAAGTATTGGCACCCAACAAAGTTATGAACATTGCTACTTTTCTTTGATCTGGAACCTCATTACAAATAAACAGTTGGTCTAAACGTTCGAGCCAACTCACAAAGTCACAGTCACAAGATTCCGGATTAAATGGTTCTATGTTTTCTATTAATGCCATTATAAATAGGTACTTTCACTGGACAAATTAAATTGAAAGCACCACACAGCAAAAACACTACTGATGTGGAATGGATTCGAAGTCACTAACTCGTCGCCAAAATAAAATTCTTGCTGATTACAAAACAACCTTTGATAATACGAGTTTAAGCAATTTGTCAAGTAAAATATTAAAGTTCTTGTCTGAGCTCATATACCATCACCCTCATTGTCTCTCTAGTCTGTATAAATGTGAATAACTTTATCCATTTTCACTTTATACTCTTTACCTTTTATATTCTTAATATTTTTGTATTCCAATATTTTTTCTTTGTATAAGCACCTGTGCTAAATGACTTATTATTACCTATGATTGAAAGTAATACCAATCCATGGTAATACTGGATTTTATTCTGTAAGG